TTGAAAATACAAACGAAATGTGCTCATGCCCCCTGGACATCCTATAATAGCGAAGCTCTCGCGCGCGAAGCGCGCCAGCGGAGCACCATGGGTAAGAAAATTTGGTAAACTATCCATCCGATAAAATTTGGTTATTTTGGCTTGTGCACGGGTTTTGCTTTGGCGACTCGCGATTGCCCTCGAACAAATGTTACCAGCGGGCCGGGGGGGAGGTTTACTTTAGGCCAGTGATGTCCAGTAAGCCACCCAGCAAGCCCAGGGTGGAGTTGATTTTTTACAGTGGTCTACAGTTTATTGGATTCTCTTCTTCGAGTTTCACAAAATCTGCTGAATTCGTTTCTCTACCTGGGAAAGCTTCATTGTTTTCCATCTCTGGGGCAGTCCTATTTCTATGAGCCTAGCGTGTTTACTTTCCGTTACGTCGGAGATAGAATTTCGCGGAAAACGTAGTGTTGGAATGTGAACGATGGGGGCTGAGATTTCATCTCGTGCCTCCTCCTATCTTGTGTATTATATTGTATAGAGAGTGAATTTGAGCAAATTATCACGAAACAAGGACAACAACAAGTAACTCCAGAGTAAGTTTCACTGACTTTTATTTGGTATTTCCTACAAATTTTAAGATCGTATTTTTACCCCATAAAAAACACTGTAATTTAAATGGCTTCGTACCTAGCCTGCGAAAACATCCGTTTCTCCTCGCTCTTCGCCGCTGGGGACGTTTCCGCAGGCTAATTCGTACCATCAAAGAGCCTGGGTTACCTAAGGTATTTCATTGCTGTTTATATTATAAAATACAGTTTTTCATGCGCGCGGCTTTAATTCTTGTTCCGTTCTCCGTTATTATGTTGTACCTATTTGAAAAAATTTGCCACTGCAAATCGGTGAAATGCAGAATAGAGTAAGAGTTATGCACATCGCAAATTTTATATTACGCAAAAGTTCAGAGGAGATAAAGATCAGGGCACACTTAGCCATAATTAACAATTATTCCTCGAGCCCGAATAAGCTCTGATTCAATAGTCCTTGAGGCCGAAGGCCGAATGGGCTATTGACTCAGAGGCCATGAGGGCGAGAGGAATAATTGTTTTAGTAAAATCTAACTAGTTGGTCAAAAATATCGAGAATAATAAAATTTTAGCTAGTTAAAGCTAGACTTTAATCCTTTTTTGCCGCCAAAAAGACCGCGCTTTTGGCTACTAGTGGGCTATAACTTATAGCCTAGTAGTAGCTCAACCAATCAGAACGCAGCATTGATAATACACCACTAGCTGGATTTTACTAAAAGACGTTTTTCACGGATTACTGCAATAATCTTCCCCGATGGAATGTTATTTTGATATAAACTGAGTGGCTGATAAATTCTAGACTAGAAACAAGCCTGTTTTATTTTTCTCTATTCAGATACTAAACATTCTCTTCTAACCTGTTCTAGGCGTTCAGATAGTGGGAGGGGGGGGGGGGCCCTCTTTCTCTTCACTATCTGAAGGGGCTACGTCCACGGTGACTATATATGACTTTTGTTACAAGGAGCTGCGTTAACGTCACCCAAAAAATGAATTCGGGCTGTTTTAAACTTCATCGCACTTATTCCACCTCGTTCAATTCGACAAATGTTGGCGACTTTTTCAGGAGTTGAATTCTAAAAGACTGCTCCGAAGTTGAGGAAAAGAAAAAGAAAGTCCTTATCTCGTGTTCACCGATCCTTAACAAGACGTGGAGTTTTTTTTAAAACGTCGCAGTCGTGCGACGAAGGAAACGAAATGTACAAAAAGCGTGATGCACGTGTAAAGTTGTTGTTTTGCTGATCTACAGGCTTGTTTACATAGACCCTAGGTAGATGGTGTAACCCGATTAAGAGGGGTAAAAAATAACCCGCGTCAACAACCCTGTCATCCCCCCGCCAAAACTGACATGTTGTGACAGTTAATGCTCTTCTACTCTCATTTGAAAATGAACGATTATATACACAGGCGGGCAACCTCACCTTAGCAGGTTATTTCACCTAACAAGGGTCCCCCACCTCCATGTAAACAGACCCTTGACCAATTGCTTTTTTAGCGCTCTCGTTGTCGTCACCTTTGTTGTTGCTTAAGCTCCCAACATTTCAGTTTGTAAACGGCATGCAGTAAAAATAGCCTGACCATAGAGTTTGAATTAGAAAAATTAAATAATAATGATTATTTTTTATCATATTTCTTCTTTGACAATTGCCAATTACCTGATTTCAAACGTTGTCTCTTAAAGGTCAGTGGACAAGAAAGACATTTAGCACGGGTCCAAAAAGGCATTTCTTCATTGAAATCTTAAGCAACAAGAATGTTGCCATGCCACGCGTCGAAAATGGCCACCAGTCAGGAGTCTCATTGCGTCTCTTCTGTTGAAGAGTATGGCTAATTACCATAAATTGCCGCTTACAAGCCCTGAGCTTACACATCATCTTGAGGGGTTTTAGGAGAGTTTATAAACAGAGGGGCTTATATCCGAGGGGGCTTAAAACAGAAATAGAAAAAGCGCTTTACAACAAGCTATAGTAGTGCAGATCAAAATAAGTATTGCATTGACTGACTTGTTAATTAAGCTTCAAAACATCATGATAACGCGTTTTCACCTCAATACAGTTGGAAAAAAGGGGTGAGGGGGAGGGGGGGCTTATATATCAGATGTATTAACTAAAGACGGAATCCACCAGGGAACTGGGTAATAATATTTTAATTATCAGTGGACAAAAACCATGTACCAGAATAATTAAGAGCATATTGCATTATTTTTTGCATTTTTAAAGGGCTGAAGATGTAATTTGTTATCTGTAATAACACCACAAAAAATTTCACAAAATGTCAAATTTCACAAAATTGCATCTTACACATGAAATTTTCAGAAGTTTACCTGTGTTTTCATAATTCTTGTGAAATTTGACATTCATTTTCTCGGACTCCAATGAGAAATTTTCTTTGGTGTTATTACATATGACTAATTACATCTTTAGTCCTTGAAAAGTGTAAAAAAGAACGCAATATTCTTTAAATTATTCTGGTACAAGATTTTTGTCCACTGAGAATTAAAATTACTCATTTTCCTGATCTATTCCGTCTTAAATTTTCTTTGTTTTCAGGTAGAATACGGGCCTATAATTGAAGAGGTGTTATCGTAAGTGGGGAGTTGATACACGTAAGCGAACGTTTTCAAAGGGTGTTTTCTGGAACAACATATCAAGAATAGGATAATGTGGACATCTAGATATTAAAATTAGATATTACCTAGTCATCCTGGAGGGAACTTGAGCTTCCGCCCACCTAAAACATGCAAATGGATGTGATAGACAGACTGACAGCCATGTTGACCATTATTGATTACCACACGATAGCCTTCCTGGTCAATACCCTTCTGGGCTGCTACTTTCTTCGCAACAATCATACAGTGACCAAGAAACTGAAAAAAAGAAATAGCTGTCATCAAGGCCTGTAGCCCGTAAGACCTGTTACTGCTGAGCTCACTTGATTTTACAGGTGATCAAAGTGGAAAGCTAAAGGTGGCACTATAAAGTTTTGAGGAGATGTTACGGGTGAATCTTTATTTGCTATGGGCGGCTGTAAAAATTAATGACAGCCCTGATACATTTGCATTATAAGGATTTCTCTCTCAAAGCGACTGGGTGCAAAAAGGAGTTGAAGGTGAGAGGACGGGTTAACAGGATCCAGAATTCCCCAGTTCTAGCCTGATCTGCTACTCCACTTTTCCTTACAAAGTCTCAAATCTTTGGGCAGAGTGCAGGTATCAGAGCTGTCTGTAGGGAGGTCTATTCTACAAGGCTGTGTTCTAAGGAAAATTGAAGGAAGCCCAGTGCTCTGAAAATGTAAAATCTAGGGTGCCCAGCATATGATTTGTATGAAAAATCTGAGATTTTCTAGTTGCCCGGGGGGCAAAAGTTGGGCACCAGGGGTCACCGGGCTCTGCTAGAGCACAGCCCTGATTATGTCTATGAAACTCCTGGGGAGACTAGAGGAGGGGGGTTACTTGGGTTAATTTCTGCTGGGTATGTGCCACTAGCATCTCAGAATCCCTACCCCATTATAGTTTTTTCTGTGGCCATATTACAAACTCCATCTTAGTCACTTTGGGAAAAAAGTAATTCTTGCAATCCCAACTTAGTCACGTTCTGTTTATGCATCTACCCTATAAAGCCTTTTAACTTGGTTACCCTGAAATGAACTGACACATTTATTAAAACTTAATGTGCTGCAAATCTTTCTATTTTTAAATCCCTACATACCTGAATTTTCTGACCCCCAAAAGCCTGAAAATGGGCGACTCCATTCTAGTAACTCTTATAAAAACGCAACCTCATCATAGTCAAACCAGGCATGAAAATGCGACCCCATCCAGTGACACATACCCATTAGCCTACTTCTAGGAAATAACTTGCTCCCCCTTCAGATGAAGCTATAAAGGGGCCAGAGTAGGGGTACGTTTTTAGTCAATAGTTTGATAGTCCAAAATACCCTCACAGGGAACCCAAACGCCATTACTCTGATCTCATGGGTGTCAACTTTTTAATACTGATAGGCTAATGGATTTTGGGTTCCCATGGCACACACCGTTCCAAATTCCTGGTTGGGATAACAGCTGTCTGAGGATATTAAATACATTGACTCATCCAATAAATTGAGTTAGGACACAGTGCAAGCCAGCGAGCCATGCAAAAGAAAAATAGGAAAAAAGAGAAAAAGCAGTAATACGAAAAAAAGTAACAAAAAGCTAACCGTAGTAAATGAGTGTTTAATGCCAAAAAGTGCTTAACCCTAATCCGCAAAAAAAAAAAAATTTTACCCAAAACATCACTTAAACCTAATCCATAAAGTGAGTGTTTAAACCTACTCAGTAAAATGAGCACTTAACCCTCATCAGTGAAAGTCGATCAATACTGCATAATTCTGCAAATATTCCATCAGCAAAACCTTGGAACTAAGCAGGAAACATTTTTCATGCATTTACAATTTCATAAAACTCTATTTTTCCCCACAGCTTGTATGGCTCGCTGGCTCACAAATTGTCCAGACCCCAGTAAATTTAACTTGCAATAACAGCAATGTATCCTTAATGACAGAGCAGTCATATAAAAATCAAGGGGTAGTTAAAAAGAAACAACATACTTGTTCATCCTCATCTGTAGCATCAGTTATCTTTCATATTTCTTTCTTTGGTATAACCAGGAAATGAACTGGGGCTTGTGGATTAATGTCCTCAATGGCTATGCACTGAAAATAAAGCAATCAAATTGATTGTAACCAAAAGTACAATGTACCTACTCACTTGTTGCTATTTCAGTTTATAGTTTATCCAACTTTATGGTTGATAATGGATACAGTATGAGGATATATTAAATTTCCCTAAGAAAGTGGTGGAGTTGGGTGGGGGGGGGGAGACAGGAAGGAGAATGTGATATTTCATACCTATGTTAACCTACGATAGGGCTCTTTCTTTGAGAATAGAGGAAGAAAAAGAATGCCTGATATATATATATTTTTCCACAGGCCACCTTCCACCCCCCATTTAAATATATTAATTTGTGGCCGACCTGTCCTCAAAACAATAATGATGGCTATATTCAGTTATCATTTCCTTTAAAAACTAACACAAGATTATTTCTGTGATAGGTAATATCATCTAGAGTTTTATTTCAATATTACAGTTGAACCTCCATGTGTGACCATGTCTCATTTAAGCGACCACCTGCCATAAGTGACCACTTTTAATATCTAAATGTTAAACCATCACACTTTTCCCTGTCAAAGCCTTATGGCTGGAAACTCTTGTAAATGACTGCCTCCATAAACGACGGCAACTCTTGTTTAGCATGAGGGTTTTCAGATTTTCTATTGTTTTTAAACCTCTTCTTGAGCAGCGACCACCTGATGTAGTGTAGTTCTGTTTTTTGCGTTCCCAACATCTACTATGTTACCCAGCATAGCAGACAAGCTTTTAGAAACAACATGGATTTACATATAATATTATTGTTACCTAAAAATGTTCCCAACACATTCTCTCCAAAACCTAGATCTGATGTTTCCAGATCTCTCCTCATAAAAGACCTCCTGCAGTTTGACTCTCATTAAGCAACCACCTCTGATAAGTGAACACCAACTCTTCCCATTTTGAGTAGTCACTTATGGGTGGTTTGACCGTATTATCAACCACAAAAATGAAAATACAAACTTAAGGTGATGTTACACAGGACAATTCAAGAAGACAATTTTGAGCACAAACAGTGTTACAACATTGTTTCCCTGGGGGTGGGGGGACTCCATATATGAAAGGGGTGGGGATGCTCATTGTCTCGCTTAGGGGTGTAAATTTCGGATTTTGGTCTCACTTAGGGTGTTCTGGGCAAAACACTATTATATCTAACCATAAAGGTCTCTTTTAGGGTTGCACTCAAAGAAATATTAAAAACTTCTATTTTTTCAATTCGTTTTATTTACTCAATTCATGTAATCAAAGTTTAAAATGATCACTTTTAGGGGTCAAAAAAAGGTTTAGGGGTCTAATCCAAAATTTACAACGAGCATCCCCACCTCTCTCATATGCGGAGTCCCCCCCTGGATTGTTTCAAGTGGTTGCAACACTGTTTTAACATTGCAATGCTTTGTCGCAGATCCAAGTAACATCACCTTTAAACCTGGGGGAGTATGTTATCTAAATGAATCAACTAAATCTTATTCAAACACCATTTAATTGCAAGTGTCAAAAATTATCCAGAAAACATAAAACCTCTAAGCCAATCAGAACAGAACTGTGCTAGATGTTTTGTGTGTGGACCAATCAGAAATACGTAATTCCAGATTTTGGCCTTTTTACATGTGATCAGGTAATGGTGGGTGCACTAAAGGGGAGTTTGAGTATAGTTGTGCCGCTGAGGTCTTCAAACCCTGACCCTGTTTAAGTGAAAAAATGGTATTTACAACAGTGTAGTATAACAGAACAGACAGAAATAGCTATTTTGCTGGCACGGACCAGAGGAATGGCTTGGCTAGGAGAAATTGTGGGTAGTTTTTTGAGACATGTTTAGTTGTACATATTTGCAAATTTGGATCAGTCTAGGTCAGCATTCATTTGAGCTCCTAACTTTTTTATTTTCCAATTTTGTTATATAATTTTGTTTACAGGCATTTGGAAGCTACCTTATTGGTAATTAATTTCGTCTCTTTCGAGATTGTAGAAAAATCGCGAAATAAATCCTCTTGATTTTTAAGCACGAGAAATTTTATACCCATATAGAAAATTCAAAAAAAGAATTAACTTGTAATAGCAACAATTGACATATAAAGGATATGTATGGACAAACTGGTTTTACTGGTGAGCTCCTTTTTGTATCTTCACTTTTGAAATAACTTAAATAGTTTGCAAAGATTTCACACATTATTTGATGCAGTTTATTGAAACGTTTTTAAAGGTTCAGACTTTTGAAAAACTAAAATGAAGTTGAGAATGGTTAAATAGTGAATTTCATTGTCCTTTTTTCACATTTGCCTGTTAAAATCATGAAAATAAAATTCTGCAAAATACTCTCTTGTCAAAATTGCGAAATTAACTACCCAAGAAATTCAGTTCCAATAAGGTAGTTTTTGTGTACCTCTGCCCCTGAGTTGTCGGCACCGCAGCTGATTTCAGCAGGCAGCGATGTACGTTCCCTTTTTTCCACAAAGTGGTTTTGGGTTTTCGTATCTGGCAGTGTTATACTTAGCTTCTTTCAAGGATTGTTTTTTGCCAGAGGGTGTTTTGTAATTAAGTGTGGTCTTGTAATCTAATGGTAATTTTGTAACAAACTAGCTTTGAGGTTTTTGCTGACCTACGGGCCCCTGTATTTATTCTTGTGTGGGTGTCTATCTGGGTAGTGCAGGCAAAATAGGTTCATTTTGCTACCCTTTTTAAGACAAAGACCTCATTTAATGACCCAGTATTCATTTTGTTTTACATACAGAATTAAGCAATTTTTAAATTAAACTTTCATCAAGAGATATCTTTTTGAAAAAAGTGTGGGTACCACAAATGTAAACCGCTCATTTCAAATTTTAACTCTCACCCTATCCCATCCCCCACCCACCAACACGTCACTGGGAGTTTGAATGTGAACGAGTGCCCATAGCCATAGGGAAACCGGTGTGCGACAAACGCAGACTGCAGACTTGCAGACTTGCAGACTTGCAGACCTGCAGACCTGCAGACCTGCAGACTTGCAGACTAGCAGACTTGCAGACTCGAAGATTTGCAGACCTACATTTTTTGTGACAGGGCTTTGGACTAATTTTATTCATCCTCTGTTTACTGTTGGGGAATCGCAAAGTATGTCTGAGGCAAACAACAGCGCTAACGGGCTGCAAACACAACAGTGCCCGATTCGACAGGTGACTGGAAATCCTTGCCGTGGAAGACTTAACATCGGAAGAACGGTGACCTAAACTTCAGCGAGAGCAGCGAAGAAGAAGACGGGTGGGATCATCGAGCGGCTTTAAAACGGAAGGACATCTGTGAGCAGGAAATAAGTCAGCACAGAATTTGATTGTCGGCGAATTTCTGTAATCGTCCATCGTTCTGCTAGTGATAAGCTAGCCGTTGTTCACTCGTCTTGCTTGTTTCGGGCTGAGTCTTATTCCGGTCAAAGAGAGAGAAAGAGTGTCTGGCAAGGTTTCCAATCAAAGATTTGTGAACTCGTGTCTGGTAAAATCTCCAAGTGTTTCTATATACACGGTTGTACGCACCTTATAACTTCATCTGCGCTTAACGAGTGTCTTTTGGTCCATAACTTTCACTGAACCAACTGCTCCACAGAATGTCACTGATAACAAGTAACGCAAAAGAGTATCGAAGTATGAGTGCACAATAAATGTCACAAAATCTACCTGACCGGTCCCTTCGAAATTTTCTGTCTTCATCACGTCATCATTACCTACCGATTCCTCGCGGCCCCTGTTCAAGCAAATCGAGATTTTTTTCTGCCATACTGACTGTATATTACAACTGTAAGTACTTTCCTTAATATACGCGCGAGTTACTAGAGTGCCTCCTCGGGATTGAGCCTGCGGGGGCAATTATCCCCCCCCCCCTCCCCGTGAGTTCCGAACGTCTCTGCAAGTCCGCAAGTCTGCAAGTCTGCGAGTCTGCAGGTCTGCAAGTCTGCAGGTCTGCGGTCTGCAAGTCTGCAGTCTGCGTTTGTCGCACACCGTAGAGAAAGGGGGTGAACACAAAATTACCTTATTTTCACCAGCCCTCATGCAAGTGCAGTGACTGCAGGCTGAATTTGTTGAATTTGCAGGTGTGCAACTATAGGTGCGAGTGTAGTCGGTGTAGAATTAGAGTTCGAGTTACACATCGTTCTTGGTTTACCTGATCATCCTCATGAAGAAACGTAGCGGGAAGTTCACGGCGAATGATTCGTGAAAACACCGAGTTCCCTTTGGACGCCATATTGAAGGAAGAAAGCGACCGTTCCCCAGTCCTACGCGGATTTGGCAGATTTTCGGCGTTCTGTGCGCGAGTGTGGTGGTAGCAGACGGGGAGAGAGAAGTCTGTGAATCGATAACCGTGTTCCCGTATCCCGCTTCCCCTAGCCTTCCACGCAGGCGTTTTTAGGGGAGGGAGCTCCCCTAAAAACGCCTGCGTGGCGTTTTCCCGGAATGTAGGGGAAAGCCTCTGATTGCTTGTAGTGTTAATGCCATGATGCAAGTAATTTCCGGTATGGTGATTGGTGAATGAATCTCAGAATAGATTCCCGGGGAAAAATCTAGCCTCCCGTGCAGGCGTTTTTAGGGAAGCTCGTTTTTCATCCCTCAAGTCTTCGTGGGAGGCTAGCAAAAACCTAGTCTGTGTGCTACGTTTACTTGTATTTCGGCTCTCTGGAAATAGGTTTGTGAAGTGAGACCACCGATCAATTTTTTATTGCTGTACCGGTTGCAGGTGCATCTGTTCTGTGCCGGTAGCTTATTGTAAACAAAGGAGAAGGACGTACAGAAAACAGCACTAAATTCGAGATCTTATATTTGGATTTCAGCGTGGACATTGTGAATAATTTTTCGGCTAGCCTGTGTACAGACACCAGGGGGCGTCTGTACACCGGCTTCCGTGTGCCGGTCATGAGTAGTAAAATTAGAGAAAAGTGTGATCTGTTAACACCTTTTGAACTGTCAGAGGAAAAACAAACAAAAATGATTTATACAATTGTATACCGGAACACGATTAACGTCAGCGATTCACAGATCGCCTGTGTAGAGACGCCTCCTCCCCTCAAAAAATAAAAAAAAGAAGGATCTTGTAAAGTGTTGCTTTGTTTGTAATCGTCCATTGTATACTAAATTAAGTTTGGGTGACCTGTGCTCGAGGTTGCAAAATGAAGTTCAAAATTAGATTAAAACACTGCCAGTATTTTTGTTATCGTTTCGGGGAAACCTTCATCCACTAACTCTAGGCTAGTGTGTACATTTTGGAGTTTAAGAGAAGGCTTTCTACCTTTCCACTTAATTACATATTTGCCCAAAAGTAACTAAGATGCATATATGGGGTCTATAAATGGCCACAAAATAGACTAAAATGGGGTGGGGGCTCTGAGAGGCCAGCGGCCGGCACACCCAGCAAAAATTAACTCAAGTACCTCCCCCCCGACCCTTCCCGGCTGCAAAGCATACAACCACAGCGTTTTAATAACACACCGCTCTTCAGTGATTGGGTTAGGCACTGAACTGACACGGTTAGATTGAGTTAGATCGGTAATTTTATAAAGAGAACAAGCCAGAAATTATAGGAACTCGCAGCTAGGACTTCCTACCAATGAAGCGAGCTCCCCTACCTCCCCTGAAATAACAAATTTGTTCCAAATTTCATTGACACTTCCCGTTTTTACGGAACGAATCTAGCGAAACACGGTGATGAGTGTATATAATTGGTGGGAATCACGCGTATCACGAATGACAGTTTAAAGCCATTGAGTGTTGCTTTGCTTACCCGAGTGTATTCAGTATCTTTCAAGCGAAACGTAGTAAATTCCATCTTGAGCGGGTTCGCTGAAGTTTAATTTTAAATGGCTGATAAGCTATCCGTGAGTGATCGTGTAACTAAAGTTTATCAAGCTGCTCGAGACGGTTCTTCTGATCTGACTGATCTTTTAAAGCAGCTGAAAACTGAACAAAGAAAAACCGCTTTGGAAACAAAAACTAAAGATGGCGGCCATTTTGTCACTCCTCTCATCACCGCTGCTCATAATGGACACCTGACTTCTGTGAAGTTTCTTCTGGGATATGGAGCAGACATCGAGGCTCGAGGAACGCTTAAGATAAGGGACCAAGTTATAGAGGGTTGTACACCTTTGTGGGCCGCTGCTGAGTCTGGTCGTCTTGATGTTGTGAAGCTGTTAATCGAACAAAATGCAGACGTTGAAGGCAGAACATCGACGGATTCGACGCCTTTAAGGGCTGCTGCCCACGAAGGACACCTTGACGTTGTGAGATGTTTGGTTGAGAGAGGGGCAGATGTGAATGCACGCAATCAGTATAAGGGCACTCCTATAATGGCAGCGTGTGACTATGGCCATTTAAGTATTGTTACTTATCTTATTAACAAAGGCGCCTTTGTGGATCTACAAGCCAAAAATGGCAATACTGCACTTCACGCCGCTGCTGAAAGGGGTCACTTGGAGACAGTCAGTCAACTTTTGGTTCTTGGAGCATCACAACTGCCAAATAATAAAGGTTTAACACCTCTTCTCTATGCCTGTGATAAATGTTCCATTGAAATCGTGGAATATCTTATCAAAAGACCGGAATGTACAAAGGAACAGAGAATTGATGCTCTTGAACTTCTTGGTGCCACCATTGCCATTGATCGACCTTGTGACACTGAGGACATGAAGAAAGCTTTTAGTTATATGAAGCGTGGAATGGAAGAGAGGTATGAAGACCTGGCGCACCCATTGCTTAAAAAGAAAATGGAACCTGTGGAAGCTTATCAAAATAGAAAAGAGAGTCAAACTCTTGAGGAACTTGCTCTGTTAGCGGGTGATGCTCATGCTATCGGCATGGAAGGACTTATCATCAAAGAGAGAATTCTTGGGTCTGACAATCCAGAAGTTCGTTTCTCAATCAGATACCGGGGAGATGTTTTCGCTGACAATAAGCAGTACGAGCTTTGTCTTGGTTTGTGGAAACGAGCGATGGAGAAAGCCACGAACAACGATGATTCAATAATAGGAGATCTTGAATCCTACTTATCTGTATTTGGAGAAATGCTACAAAACAGAATACTCTTAAGACCAAACTTCATTGAAGACGTATTTGAAATACTAGTTGCTGTAAGTGAGAAACGGACAGAAAAATTACAAGAGGGGCATGGAAACGAGGAGCTAAAAAACACGCTTTATTATGCTCTGTATCTTTTGATGATATACACCAAAGTTAAAATTCAAAATGCCAGCATGATTGACTGTCTTCAAAGATTCCTGCGTTTAAACCTTAGTTGCAGTGATGGAAATACTCTACTGCACTTAGCTGCGTGGCACGAAACTCCAATTAAAGAAGACAACGTGCGAAGTGTGTGCAAGCTTCCCTGTGTTGAGACCATGAAGCTTATTTTACATGCAGGGTGTGATGTAAATGCCTTTAACAACGAGGGAAATACACCTCTCCATCTAGCTGTGACGTTCAAGCCTGCTGATCCTGAAGAAGTCGTGATTTTGTCAGAAATGCTGCTGTTGCTGTTAGATATCGGTGCAGACCCGAAGCTGGCAAACAAGAATGGTCAAACACCACTGGACATCTGTCAGCCTGACGAGGCTCGTAGGATCCTGTCCGAGAAAGGAAGACTGAGTGCCAAGGGTGTCGATTTCAGAGATGTGAGTTAGTTATGAATGTTAACATATTATAATTCCCTAAAATCATTACAGTAACCTGTGTCCCGAAATGAGAGCTAGTGTTTACTTCCGTGTACGTACGTGGCGTTTTCGTGACGTATCCATGACAGCTAGATCGTGGTTTAGAGACGTTTTAGCATAAAAATAAATAGTGTGGTTTATAGTCCATTAATTGTACTTCGATATAATAATATTCAACATGATAGCGAGTCTAAGAGGACAGAAACAATGAAACTAAATAAACATGTTTATTCATTTTCTTGGTTTGTGTTTCCTACAACTCGCCATTATGCTGAATTATGGTCTGTTGCTTTGGTACCCTCTGAATTCGTAATGTTTTATTTTCTTTTTTCCCAAAGGATGGAAAAGTCGGAAGTGGAACTGGTACGAAAAGAGGGAGAGGAGGATTTGCTCCTAGAACAGGAAAAGACCTAAATGACAACAATCAGAAGGCAACTGTAACAAAGGAAATATCAGGTAAGAGAATTAAGCTATTAAAAGGACACATTTTGTTTTAACGAATAATTGCACTCAGGATCATCATTGAGCTCCACTACTGATGAGCCGTTAGGTGCCATTTCAGGTGAGGGGAATGTCACTCCTGAAGGTTTTTATCTTGCAATTGGTAGTCCAGCTGTCTCCTCTCCTCCAGCATTCCCTCTCAAACCAACCTTTCTAAATTCAAGTTCGGTCCGGGATGTGGTAGAGGAAAAACCACTTATATGCCACCACTGAAATGATCATATTTGTTTTTATTTTTATTTTTAAATAGGTATATAATATATATCTGATTTAATAGATTCCTTGCTTGTTCTATAACAAATTTTTCAACACTCAATAAATAAAATAATGAGGAGTGGCCTCACATCTTACATTTGTATAACCACTGTTTTTTTTTTTCTGGTCAAGTATTATTTTCCTATTCAACGGTTGCCCTCCTCTGTTTTGTTCCTTGGCTTATATTTAATTATGTAAGGATGTATAAATCTCGGTGCAACAAGCAAAAAAGCCACTCATTCTCTTTTAATATTGAATAAAATTAATCATATTTAGATACTGTCGAGTGTATCTAGCTAACATACCAGTGTCACCTCATTGCCTCAAAAATTCTTCTTAAATCACAAATACTTATGTATTTGAAGACAATAGAAATTTAAGTCTTACTTATGAAAGAAGACATAGATTTTAACCGAATGGAATATTGTCTTTTTTTCCTCGTTCTAAAAGGACCATTTCAAACTGTTATGATTTATATTAGCCTCAGTTATAATATTTTTTTCTGAACTGGTTTATTAGAATAACTTTTCAAGAGTGCTCAACTTTTCAGGAGCAATAAAGTGATGTATAGCCTCTGAAACCTGGAACTACATTTCCATTATAATATTAGTCTCAGTTTATTTATTTTTGTCTAGTACTGCATTGCAAACTGCCAAATAGCATTATTTTCAGTTTCTTTGTAACATAACTGAGCCAAATATTTTTTTATATAAGTTATTCTGTCCTATAGGAGAAAATAGTTCATACAGAACAAGGTTTTTATACTTTGTTTTAGGTATCAATAAATGCCATGTTCTTATTTAGACCACCAATGTTGAAGAGAAGGCCTTGTCAAACCTTTTGGTCCCTAATTTGCAAGCCCCTTGTATTATGGTTTCTACTTTTAGGGTCAGTCTATCTGATTCCCCTGAGTCAGAGGTTAGCCCGCAGAGTCGGTCCCTTATAACTCTTAGCTTGTAGTATTCTAGTGTTATCTCTTAACATAAGTAATTACGTAAGTAGAAAACACCAGCACTGGTCTGCCTGTATTACCTTTGTTATATCAATCAACAACAATTAACTAAAATTTTAACAGCTGTCGACGGTTACAAAATCACTCTGTTTTGAGCTTTATCAGAGTCATGTTTATGTCTTGCAAAGTTACATAATTAATATGTAATTTTCATGTTGTACGTTTTGCGTGGCGGAATTCAGTGTGTCTACTTGGTATATTTTTGTTGATCAGATCTATAGATCCTGCTTTTAGCTTAACAATTAGTTCATGCGTCAGCGTGCGTATGTCGAGATATTGAGCACGCGGGAAGTTTGGAGAGCACGAAAGAGGCGTAAGAGTTGCACGAGGCGCAGCCGAGTGCAACTCTAGCCTCTTGAGTGCTCTCCAAACTTCCCAAGTGCTCAATATCTCGACATACGCACAGCTGCAGCATGAACTAATTGTTTTATAACATTATCAAAGCGATCAATGCAGCAGTTAACTGAAAATTTTATTATTGAAGGGCGCGCTCAAAGCAGTACGCGTCAATGTTTACGTGAATATATCTTTTTTCCTCACAGTTAATCTTATGTTTTTATCCTGAAACTGAGAGAAAGTGTACTCTAAAATGATTGTAAAATCCATATTTAGGTGCCGGAAAACTATTAATTTACCGAAAAATTGTTATTGAGAGAAAACAACTTTGCAAAGAATGAGCTCACGCCATAGCCCGCACAGCTCGCGGAGATGACAACAACAACAACAACACTCACCTCTTTTCCTTACTATCGGTTAACAAATTCAAACGTTTCCTCTTAAATTTCTTTACAAAACACATGGTAAACGCTTCATTGTCTATTGCTGAGTTATGGATGCACTCAGGAGACTCAGGATTGCTAAGCTCACAACAACTCGAGGAATTACGAATAGTTTATTGACGTCATCAGCGTGCTCAATAGGAATATGAAGCACGCTCGCGCTATTGAATTTGATTAGGCGAATTTTCTAGCTATGTTATAAAGCATTTTTGTTTGCGGTCCTTTGGAGTATTTGTAAAATTGTTATTGCTTTCGACATCAGGAGAACGCAACCTAAACTGAACGCGAGAAGCCTGGGTACAAGGATTTATAATTAGCCGAAACAATCTTGAGTTTTAGGTTAGTTAACTACCAGAAATACGTCATAGACTCCAAGGACAAGGTGCGTGCATGTAAAAGCATCAGAATGGGCGCAAATGCTATTTCTTCCATGTGCAGGTACGCTAGTCTGATTAGAACTAAAGTGCTTAATATTTATCAGTTTAGTGGTTTTAAGGTATGGAAGGCTTGTATGGCTATGGTCTGTAACTGCTAAATGTAAAATACCTGTGTGTTTCTCTAAAGTAACCATTCTGCTGATATAGTAATAGGGGATTCAGACAGAAAGCAATATTCTCATTCTTACAGTGTCAAATCAGGGCCTTTCATCCCCCCTGGTGTCAGATAGATCTAATATAAATCTTAATATATTCAAGTGAGTTTTAGGGACACAGCTATTCTCTGGTATTTATTTACTTATTCATACAAACTATTCATAATAGCAGATCGCCAAGAACACTCAAGTGACCAGACATGATCAAGGCCGGGTTGTTCAAAGCTGGGTTACGATAACCCAGGGTTAGTGCAAATTTGAATTCAGATTTGAAAGCTTGAAAAATTAAATTCAGTTTAATTCTTTCTGTCAACAGGTTAATGATATGATACTCTTAAGAATAACAGAGAAAATTATCCGAGAAAATTAAATGCTTTTGAACAACAAACAAAGAAAGCCGGGTTAAATTTGACCCTGGGTTAAAAGCTAATCGGCCTTCGAACAACTGGGCCCGGGCATTTAAGAGTGCTGATGTAGAGGAAAAGTAGAGAGGACTGAAATGGACTCGGCCGAACCCTGAATCGTGGGATGATGCAATCGATTGTATTCGGAACGACTGAGTGTCGAGTGCAGTAAAAATGTTTAGTTTTACAGATTATTGGTCGTATAGCTGTTGTCTTTGACCCGGATATATAATGGGCTAACAATTTTGGCGACCCCGCCAGGACTTGTCTAATAAGAAACTTGGAAAACTACTAACAGTAAAAGTTAAAATTTAAAAACCACAATAAAAAACTACAAAAACTAAAGATAAAATCATTTAAGATATAAAAATACCACGGTCAAGTCGTCAATTTAAAAAAGTGCGTCTAAAAAGAATAGTTTTCAACTGTCCTTTAAAAATGTCCAGTGATCCAGCATCCCTTATATGCTGAGGAAGACTCTTCCAAAGAAGCGGCGCAGATTAAGAATCTCAAATAGGTTTCTTAGCAAATAATGGAACCGCCGACCATGTTCTTACACTACGAGCATTAATTGGCAAATATGTTAACTGTGACAAAACGAAAGTAGACGCATGTTTTGTGGACTTTAGAAAAGCATTTCGGTGTGGCACGATGGACTCTTATACAAGCTGTTACAAATAAATGTCCAAGGAAACTTCTATAAAATTAGTCACAAAACGTTTATACTCAAACTCTACCTGTTCTATTAGGATTGGAAATAACCAAACACAACTTTTTCAATACACTAGAGGTGTGAGTCAAGGCTTCATTTTAAGCCCTCTTCTCTTCAACCTTTACGTTAATAATCTAGCTTTTTCATTCAACAATATTTTATCTGATCCGTTCGTGCTACCAAATGGCACCAAACTCAATTCTCTTTTTTATGCTGACGACCTTATTATATTATCACGATCGAAATTAGGATTACAAAATTGCCTAAACAAATTAATTTACGCAACCACGAGTTCGTGAGAAAAAAAAAAACAACATGGCGGGTGAAAGTTGAGAGATACCGACTGATTTTATTTTTCTTTTTATAATCCGAGTTGTTTTTTTTTTATGATCCGAGTTGATCCGAGTCCAGTTTTATTTTATTTTTATTTTTTTATTCGATCCGAGTTGGTCCGAGTCGATCCGAGTTGATCCGACCCGGACTGGCGGTCCGAGTTGATCCGGTCCGACTTTTGTACCTGCCTATTTTCAAAGACTTTTTGGTCTGATTTTGAATCTTTTTAGCACCTACTTGATCCTGGATACTTAAAATCAACCCCAAGAAAACCAAAATAATGGTTTTCCAAAAAGGCACAACAAAATGTGATTATGTTTTTCACATAGGCAATGAAATGATAGACATTGTACAAGACTATACTTACTTAGGGACTCGCGTCTCGTCTCCCAGAAATTTTACACTCTCACTTGAACATCTTCGACAAAAAGCCCTTCATGCTCTATTTAGTCTAAGACGCCAGACACTGATTTTAGTAAACTGAAACCTTCCCTTGCAAATAAAATTTTTGACACAATGATCTCACCGATTTTAACTTACAATAGTGAAGTATGGGGTGCCTTTGTGAAGTCAGATTTTAAGTCATGGGATAACTCCGGAATCGAAAAAACTCACCTCTGTAAACGATATTTAGAAGTCCATAATAAGTCATCCAATGTTGCATCCAGATCTGAACTTGGCAGATTCCCTTTGATCATTGATATAAATAACAAGAAACTTAATTACTTAAACTATCTCCAAGAATTATATTAGAATTAGTGACCACAAAACGCCTTTAAAAAAAGATAAATGCACTTTATTTCAGTGTCAAGGTATTTAGCACGAAATAACTAATTGGGGACACTATTTTTACGTCCCTAAACGGTAACGGAACCACCATTTTACGTGGTCATCGAGCCAAGTGAAGGTCTAGCCGCTTGCAGTGCAAAGAGAGTACCTCTTCATTTCTCAGTTATTTAAGACCCTGAGTATTGGTCCGGCCCCAGGGTACTGAACCGGCGACCTCCCGCTCTGCAGTCAAGCGCTCTACCGACTGAGCTTATCCTGGCGCGGTCATTTACTTCATTTACTTACTAGTTATGTGCTATTCATTGGTAAAGTTTATCTGTGGGTTTGTAGAGCAAACAAGACACCGCCAAGTACACATGGTTTTAAAAAAGGACTGTGGCAAAATATGAAACTGAACGACTTATTAGCGTTGACAGTGAAACAACTGACTTCTTTAAAAAGAAATGGTTTATATCTCCTAAGAATTTTATTTGAAATAGGTCTTTTTTTTCTCACTGCCTGTTTAATTGTAATTCCTATTTGTCATAATTGCTTACAATAGCTTAAGTGAGACTTATATGTTATATATTGTTATTGTTAACTTAGTGATTTGTAGAAACTTTTTGTAACAACTCTGTTTTTTATTGGTATCCCTTTAGACACCAGTCATTGTCATAATCTGTTTTAGTGTTAATTAGTTGAGTTGTAAGTTAGTTAATATTTTATTATTATTATTATTACTATTATTACTATTCTTTTCTCTTTCTTTCCTGTATATTTGTGATTTACATCGTAAATAAAGCATAGTATTATTAATTATTAAAATATTTCCCCGATTTTGATTGGCTAAAAGCACGCGCATAATTCACCATAACCGGCTACTGATGACCAAATTTGGAAGAATTTATAAGCGTTTAATGAACCGATGATGTCAAAAGTGCAGCCTTCGTGCAGGTTAATTCACCGTTAACCGAGAAGACCTGGGGACGAGGTTGGGTTCTTTTGTTTGTGAAAACAAAAATGTCGGACATTTCACTTGTTTCAAGAGTAAGAACTAGGCGAAATAATAGCTAAAAACATGGCAAGAACAGCAAGACGACAACTAGAAGGGCGATATCTGCTGTTTCTCAGACAAGTTAAGGAATGGGTTGAAAGGCTAAAAAGACCCCCAACAGAGAATGCAATGACCCTTTTTAATGAAACAGAAGGATTCAAGTAAAGGGCTCCACAAAGATATGATAAGATATATCTCACTAAAATAGTTTTGGAAAATTCATCCCAAGCATCACGTGACATTCCTTAGACCATGACGTAACAAAACCAAGACCTGTTTTCTCAAACGGGGCAAGGTTGTTAAAAACTTCAGCCTAAAGGTGGATTAAAGCATTTTTATTAAGAGTAATTGAAGTCTTCTATAAGTCACGTGACCTGTTTTTCTTTATTTCGTAATCCTTGCTCCACTTAGGCATACGTGCAGGGCTATTTCATAGTATCCAGGCCATGGGAAAAACACTGGTACCTAAGAATATTTGCTGCTCTTTCATTTCCCTTCCCAAATTATGCAAATTATGAGGTGACCCATGCCTTAACATGCCTGAGTTGGAGTATATTTGCGGAGCTGAACAACCTAAACGTGCACTATCGAAGATTAACTTAACATCGATGGAGGTGAGCATCTTTTAGCTATGAATGAATAAATCGGCTTTCGTATCATATGAAGAATTATGGAGATCTCGGAGGGTTTTATCCGCCTCGGTCGATAATACCCCCCTCGATCTCCATAATTCTTCGTAAGATACTCAGCCTCATTCATTAATTGTTAATTTTAATCCACTGATTAATTTTCGCGCGATTTTATTGACTATTTTGGGTCACGTAGTATCAAATCGGAGGGCGGGTATCAGGCACTATCCCGTCCGTGTCGATATTTGCCCTACGATTTATCAGTGGCAAGAAAGCATGACAGATTCAACAAAGTGAGTATCTTTTCAGTTTTTATCTTTTTTAATTATTTGAAATGAACATACTAAAAGCAATCTTGTTTCTTGTTTCTTATAATCCAGTTTCACTAAAATTTTGAGCTGTTCGCAACTAACAGTTCCGGAAAGTACTAACAGAGAAATCAATCAAATAAGCTATGAATCGAAGATGAGCAAAATTTACGAGTCATAAGCTTAATATTTAAGTTTATGCATTTGAACAGAAACATGAATATAGTTTTTTACGCAGTCATAGCTGTCAGCTATGGAAAAAGCTTACTTAAAGGTGTTTAAGAAAATAAGCCTTTTTTGTTACTTTCAGCATGGAGAAAAGAGAGAGAAAATGCGTAGATGCTTAGAAGGCCATGAAAGCGATAAATTGATCGAGTCGTACAGTTTGCAACCAACTATAGAGCAACAATTCGTGTCATCTTCGATTAGCAAGAGATTTATAAGCTTAATTAAATCAAGTAAATTCCGGTCAGTTTAACTTGTTCTTTCAGATGGACCTCATTATTTCTTCTACCTTTTCTTTCTATGACTTCCTCAGCTTCCCCCATCCGCAGCAACAAATCCAGATTTTGCCAACAGGGCACTAACGTAAAACTTCGTAAAAGTTCATTTGAGCCTATCAAGCCCTGGTCCAATTACAGTTTCAATAAAAAATCAACCAATCAATGTGCTTGTTTGCGTCATTCGCGCGCATCTCACCTCTCGTTATTGTTTTTCTTTCTCTCCCAACATAAGATAAATAAACCCGTTTCTGGCTTGCTGGTATTTCGGATGATAATGCCCTTGCCGCTGAGAGATTGTCCTCAAAATTTCACATTTGCCCTCGAAGCGAATGTTTATTTTCTGGACAATCTTTCAGCCACGGGCATTATCCTCCGATATATATACTAGCTGCCAGAAGGGAGTTATTTACTAATTAACCCTAATTACCTTGCGTAATCGATTTTAACTCGTTACTACAGACCATTACTTGATACAGGTGATTTGTTTTACATTATTAGCTCCGTCAGAGATTCTTGCCCGAGGTAGGCTAGCTATTGAAGCCTACAGAAGAGCCCTTTTGGAAGGAGAAGGTTACGCAAGAAGAGTTCCCGTCGTGATAATTGGGCAGGCACGGACAGGAAAAACCAGTCTGAAGAGGTCGCTAAAAGGGGAATTGTTCAATCGAAATGAAGGAAGTACGGAAGGGATAGAGACAGATCCGTCCTATTTTAAAGTCTCGACAGACGTCTGGAGGACAGGTCAGAAAAGCGAAGATGCCGAATCAGAGCCAACGTTTTTGTTAGACCACCAGGTAGCCCAAAAGATATTTGAAAGCTTAAGGGAAGGAGACCGCTTAGTAGTCGAGCAAATGGAAGCGAATTCATTGCCTCCTGAACGTACTGGGGAATCTAGTAGTAGCTGGATCAAGTCTTCACTTCAAGACTCCAAAGTAGTCGAGAAGGTCAAACCCTATTCATTGCGTACAGGAGATCTGAGCAGTAGCAGAACCGAGCTGTCACTTCACTGCTCCAATGTATCTGAAAAAGCCCAAACCAGTTCATCAGTTACAGAACAGAGCGGGAGCGATCCATCATTTCAGGACTCCAAAGAGCATCTTTCTGTACCAGAATTACCAGAAAACATAGCAGCATTGGTTCAAAATTTGCTTGAACATAGCCAACAGTTTGAAGACGAAGACAACATATATTCAATCATTTGGGATTTTGGAGGACAGTCTCTTTACTACGCCACACATCCAATTTTTCTGACCAAACAAGCCATCTACATTTTAGCATGTGATCTAAGTCGTGATCCAGACCAGAAAGCCACAGCTCCTACGCTAAAAGGCATGTATGAGAATAAAATAGACACTCACTGCAAAAAAACAAATCTCGACTATCTTGATTTTTGGATGACGTCAGTTTATTCTTTGGTTAGCCCAAATACTAATCGTCAGGAAACTCTGTCATCTGAAATGTTGCCTGCAGTATTCTTGGCGTGTACGCATGCTGACAAGCCTTACAAAAACAAGGCTAATCCAAAAGCACTTGCCGAAAAAATCTTTGGCACCTTAAGAGACAATGTTTATGGTGATCTTTTAAAAGACGTCTTTGTAGTAGACAACACAAAGTCAGGCAGTGATGAAGAGTGCCAAGACGTGAAAAATCTGAGAGAAGCAGTACTTTCTGTTGCCAAAGAGCTTCCACAGATGGAGGAGGCCATTCCTTTAAAGTGGTTGAAGTATGAAAAGGTTCTCCGTCTACTAAGCAGGGAAGGCTATAATTGGATACCCATCGAGCAAGCCAGACAGATTGCCTCTCACGAGTGTGGAATTGATGACGATGAACAGTTTCGAACACTGCTTAACTTTTTACACGACCAGAGAATTTTGATTCATTTTAGTGAAACACCAAATTTGGAAAAAATGGTTATTTTGAGCCCACAGTGGCTCATTGACATCTTCAAGGAGGTGATTACTGTTAAACATTTCAAGCAAACGGATAAAAGAGTTGCGGGATTATGGCGTAATTTTGAAAAGACTGGAATCTTAGACAAAAACCTTTTAAATCATGCTTGGAGATCCTTGTCCGATAATCGAGAAACCTTCGACAGCCTCATTGCTATAATGGAGAAATTTAGCCTACTTTGTGCATGGCCCTCAGACGGGACCACTCAGAAGTACCTTGTACCATCCATGTTAATGTCTCCCCCAACAGGTGATCTCCTTAAGCACCTTGATTGTGTACGGACCCCTTCACTTTTTGTGGCGTTTGAATCAGGCAGAGTTCCACAGGACTTGTTCTCACGGCTTGTTCTGCAGTTTTATCGGTTGTGTCAAGAAGAATGGAAGAGTGAGATAAATCCTGAATTGTTCAATAGTTTTGCTATGTTTCACATTCTTCCTGATCGTGCAATTTCCTTAGTATTTATGTTGCATTCCTCGTCTATCGAAATAGTTTTTCACGATGGAAAGGATGTTCGTGATCTGAATACAAGCCGCACAGTTTATTCGCAACTGAAATGTCTTCTTAGACATATTTGCGAGGAGTCCTTCTGGTTGAAGCACGTGAAGTACGAAATGTGCGTTTCCTGTCCTGTGTGTTCTCATGAAGACGGTGTCAAGTGCAGTGCTCATGGCAGGCGTGGTTGCGAGTGTTTGCACCTTTTGTCGGAACAAGAGTTGCGTAAGCAGCAACATTGCGTCAAAGGAGGCATTAAAGCGGATCTCACGATTGACATCAGGAAGTTTGAACATTGGTTTGCTCTCTTAGATTCTCAGCAAAGCAGGATTCCGTTCACTCAGGTTAGTTCTTAAATTCGCTTTTCCTAAACACGATTGCGAGTGGCTCATTCGCCAGCCAAGAAACTTTGGGTACAAGCTTCGGTCGCGATGGTTTCTGGGATAGTTTGGGTGGATAAACATTGGTGGGTGTTTCTCAAATAGGCCATTTGCACGATGGCGTCATTTTACTATTGCTACTACCAGAATCGTTCAGGGTTTTGTTTTCTGGTGCAAATTAGGGCTTTTGTTATTCAATCCTCGCTGGGATTTCCAAATTTAAATATGAAAGAAAAACCGAAATGAATTCTGGTCTTAGTAGTAAAAAGTCTAAAAAGACGTCATCGTGCCAATGGCCTATTGGTTGACCATTCATAACTAACAATACCACCCAAATGATTCCAGAAATCATCCTGCCGAAAGCATCCTTCCCATAAATTCCCCAAACAAACACTAGGTAGACTTGAACTTACCAATAAGAAGTCGAGGGTGGCATTGAAGAACGTGGAATTTAAGTTCCAATGAAGTCCGGTCTTTTAAACGGGCGATATTAAGGGCTGGTGATGACTAGAAGCCACCTCTAAAAGATCCAAAAGCACTCGAGGTTAAGATACGTCGTGTCGCGATTCTGAGTGGACCTGTGGAAGTGATTGTCAGCCCCAAGCATTGCAACGCACTCATCGAACGATTCCCAGAATGATGCAGTTGCTATGGAAGAAGAGAGTTTTTGGCAAGAGTGAATTTTTGGTAACCTTGGCCATTAGACCCTATATTAGCTGGATGACTTAAGTCAGTGAATTGAAATAAATGCCCAAATCCTTCAAATTCCTTGTTAGCAGAATACCTTCCGTTTCAGTAAATTATTCTATGAATAGATTAATTAAATGGAAACTACAGGATCGTTTAGACAGGATCACTATTTATTATATGCTTTCATCGGCTTTTGAAACTGATCATAAGGCCCACACTAACATTATTTTTAAGTTTATAATAATAATACTGATAACAATAAGATTATTATTATTATTATTATTATTATTAATATTATTTTTATTTATTATTGATATTATAATTGTGTCGATAACAAAATGCTTGAGTATGATTGGTTCTTAACAGCCCACATTTATAGCTTAATTTTGCTATTGTAACTCAAAAACAGTTGGTGATCGGACAGTTAAAGAACCAATGAAAATCAAGTAGGAAATACCACTAGCCAATGAAATTCCTCAAATTCCTTGTTAGCAGAATATCAATCAAAATCGATGAAAAATATTGACCAGGTAAGAGATCCAGCTTCAACTGGAAAAGAGAAAGGGATGAAACTAACTCTTCCAGAGACTTTTATTTACATTAATAAATATTCCAAGACTGAGATTCTCGCATTTTGTTATTGACACAATTAATTGGTAATAGGACTTCGTGTCGTACAACGCAGGGGTAATTGGGCTCGTAATTTCAAATCGGAAATTTGAAATTACTTGCCCGATTACTCCCTGAATTGTACGACACGAAGTCCTATTACAATTACTTATCAGAAACGGTGAAATCTAATATCATTGTTTGGTATTTGATAAAGGATGCTTGGCTGGAGTTGCATTCCAGAATCCATAATTAATAGTTCCTTATGATTTAAAGTCATTTGCTGTATCTGTATCTTTACAGCAGCAAGATGTGACTCAACGTGACGACAATGAAGAACAGCGCATAACTCCTAAGAAAGGTAAGCCCATTTATTGTGGTAGTTACTTTTTTTGGCAAACATAAATATAGGCCTTTTGCAGAAGTTGGTCATGTGATTAAGCGGGATTGTAGCCCGGCATAGACAGCTGTTTCGCCCTCTTTGGGGCTCCTCAGTATGGCGTAACAACCAAAGAAAGCTCTGATGGCGTGATTCTGTGGGTGTTGAGAGTTCTAAGTTAGGGCTTAAATCAGAGTGAGCGGATATTTTCATCAGAGCCTTCTCTGGTTGTTGCGCCATACTAACGAGCCCCAAAGAGGGCGAAACAGCTGTCTATGGCTACAATCCCTCTCTGTTTTGAGTTCTTTCGGTTCCGTGTTGATGTCTTGCAGAGTTAATTTTCCTGTAGTACGATCAGCGTTGCAGTATTCTGCTTGCAGAATTGAAGTCCTTTGTGGTTAATGTTTGTAACTATTCAATGCAATTGTCTTATTTATTGTTATTTCGAAGTGAACGCTCTTGATAAGTTTTTTTTTACTCTAAGGACAAACTTCGTCAATAAAGCATGTTAAAATACATTAAAAAAAAACGGACGTAAAATATCAATTTTTAATATGGAAACATTTTCCCCCCCCCCCCCTTTTCCTTATCACCCCTCCCTTTCGAACGCACTCCCCTGATTAATTTGGGTTTATTTATTTATTTGCAAGACCTTTACAGAGCAAGAACGATACAATTGGGAGGGTCAAACAACAGAGCGACGCTCCAATAGGCCCTTCCACGGTTTTTCAACCTTTTTCATGACTCTAAGGAAAAATCCGTCGACACCACTGGAAAGAAGGCCTTAAAATTAGCAAAATTGTCAAGTCTTAAAGTGACACGTCGTAAACGAGTGAAGGTATAGCTCCGCAAAGTTGTGAAAATTTACAGAAGTTTGCATGGTAGGAGGAGGGGGGGAGTTCGTGTGCCCCCCCCACCATATGTAAAAAATCTGTATAAGATAAGATAAAAATCTGTATAAGTATAAGATCACATCTGTAAAAGAAGAAGAAGCTATATCTTTGATTAGTTTTCAACAAATCACTTTCAAACTTGGCAAGTTTGCTGATGTAAAGGCGCTCTTTCTAGCGAAGTTGACAAATTTTCCGAAACATGTCCACGTAAAAATTTAAAAAAAGTAGAAAGGTTTATTAAAGTGCGCCCTTGAGAACTATTAACACCCCTCTAGACGTTGTTGTAAAATCTTGGAAAGAGATTAAAAAACCCGTTTAAATTTCGTCATAACCGAAGATGCATGTGCTCGAATCTTGACAGCTCTTTCTTAGTCCCTGGGTTTTTTTTAACCATTCAAAACGAAAATAGAGTCTGAACTCAACTTAACTTTGTCACAAAATCGTCGTAACATTTTTTTGCCTCCAAATGTTGAACCCATTAGATGTGAAGCATCTTTCTTAACTATTGTTGAACTCATCCATGCGCAATGTAGCTAATAAACATGTCTTTTTGATAAACGCGATTACTTATTCGTAAGAGTGTGAGAAAATTAATATTTGGACTGTTTAGTGACAACATGGTCATTAATCTTTCTAACAATACTCATTTTTTTTCTTTTACAGAAACTTCATCGGAAAGATCTGCCATTGTTCCACCAGAAGTCATCATTAATCAGCTTAAGAATCGGGATCTTCCCAAACATGTGACACATTTTGATGAATACCGACTGCCAGTCGACATTTTGTTGCTGACGGTCGAGGATTGTGAATTTCTAAGCTGTCTGTCATATCTGAACCCTGGTTTCTGTAAGACTTTTCATAGAGATCTTGGCTTTGTGTACCTCGGAGATATGGGAGAGGATGAAAGGAAGTTAAACATTGCTGTAATGAGTGGCTACAGGGGTTCCACCTCTCCAGGGGGATCCATGGTTGTTGTATTGAACGCTGTCAACGTCTTAAGGCCCAAAGCAGTGTTCTCTGTGGGTTGCTGTAGGAGCTTAGACTACGACAAAGTAAAACTTGGAGACATAGTAATGTTAGACAAGTTAATTACATATGGCCCGTGCAAAATCACGGAGGGTGGCATTGAAGAACGTGGAGTTAAAGTCCCACTGAAGTCCGGTCTTTTAAAGGTGAAATTAAGGGCTGGTGATGGCTGGAAACCACCTTTAAGAAATCCGGAAGCACTCGAGGTGAAAATACATCATGGCACGATTCTGAGTGGACCCGTAGAAGTAATTGATAGCCCCAAGCATTGTAAGGCACTCATTGAACGATTCCCAGAAGCAATTGCTATGGAAGAGGAGGGTGAAGGTGAGTTTTTGGCAAGAGTGAACTTTTTGTAACCTTGTCCATTAGACCGTATGTAGGCAGGATGACTTAAGTCAGTATTCTTCTGCTTACATCAATCTTGCCCGCGCTCCTACATGTCCTATGCTAAGTGATGGAGAAATCTGGCGGCCTCTTCCGGATGAAGGATACAGGTTCGAGATACTATGGGCTAGGATGAGGTGGGAAGAGAGAAAAACAAACCATCCGGATATAGGTGCCGTGTGGTGGAGAGCGGGCAAGGCGAGGTGCATGGCCATAACAACAACCTGTGTGTCTTGTCTCGAAGATGATAATGAATGCATGGTGTATGTGTCTTATACAGTCGTTTGGGCAAGACCGCTCTAAATAGTACAGAGTAGACTCCCGATAATTCAAACTTTCAAGGGAAACAGAAAAAAGTTCGAGTTATTGGGAGTTCGAGTTATAGAAGGTAAAATTATATAGAAAATGTTCTAAAGGGAAATGAAAATTGGTGCGAGTTGTAGAGGGTTCGAGTTACCGGGAGTCAACTTATCCTATTTACATCAATCTTGCCCCCGCTCCTATGCTAAGTGATGGAGAAATCCGGCGGCCAACGTACGAATAATGCTTTCCGAGACATCCCACTACCAACAGGAAGACAACACCCCACACACCCAAACTCAAAACCCCCAGCCTTAATACCCACACTAAAGAAAAACGCTCGACAGTGTCAGGAAACAAAATTGCCGCGAGGCAACTTCTGTTCTGGAGCCACAAAAACATATCAATAAGACCAGGGAACAATAAATTTAGCACAAGTTAGTCGCCATAACTAAATAAAACGCTCGGCAGTCAATTCAGTCAATTCCGCTGAGGATAAAAGAACAATAGCCATAATTTGCACAAGAAAACAACAAACTCAAGGATTCTGGTAGTTGTAGTAAAATGACGTCATCGTGCAATTGTATCGGGAAATATCCAATTTGTCACTAGCATCCTCCTTTTTTAACGATTGTTTACCCTTTACAAAACAAGTTAATTATAAAGTAAGCTCAATGGCGAAAAACTACCGTATGCACTTTTGTTATCGCCGAACAATCCGACTGAAGCAGGAAAATCTCTCTTGCAATAAAATAAAAAGACAAATTACACAAGACATAAATTTACTACTCACAAAAACAACCGCTGCCAGGTCTTCTCAACAAGCCGTAATGACTGACACTGTTCGTAAATGTTGTTGTTCGCTAAACAAAAGAAAATTTTCTAGATTTCGCAGAGCAAAATATAAACGTCTTTTCAGCACTGGAAACGACTTCTTACGAACATACGAGTATTTTAACTTTAGATGGACTTTAAGACTCTTTTACCTTTGTTTCTGCTTATTTTTTACTGATCGTTGACGAATAAATAAGAAAATTTTCTGTCTTAGTTTTACAGAAAGAATTTTCTTTCAAACTAGACGATTGTGGTGTGTTTTACAGTTTGTAAGCAGCCAATGGAAGCGTTTGTTTTTCTGTGTCACGCGTTACGAGAATTTTGCAGTTAACTAAAAAGCAAGCATTTTTTGTCAGCTATGTTATAAAAGAATTTGCTCATGCTTTTAGCTGTGCGTTTATAGGGTTATGGATGCCCTTGGGAAGTTTGGAGAGCACTCAATTAAAGCAATTCGTTGTGTTTTTGAACTAAGGGTTCCTTGTGTGTAGTTATTTCATTGCGTAAATGCGACCGAGTTTGATTATGGAATTACAACCGGTTCAGAGTACTGCATGCAGTTGATACAGGGGCACCCAACGAGAATATAGTTTAAAACCACTTAAACATGGCAGGTTCGAAAATCCTAGGAGAGGCAGACAAGCAAGGCATTTTGGAAAAAATGTTCCGAAAATTCTAGATCTCAAATCGTCTTCCGAACAGATATTTTCCGAAAATTGTCGTTTGGTGCCCCTGTTGATAGTTTGAACGTTAAACATGAATTGCGATGGACAAAAGTAAAGCCATTCTGTATCATGCAGACATTTCGAAACGATATTTCTTGGTTTGCCACTTGAAAATCGTGTTTAACTTTCTGCATGAATTGAAGCAAAGGAGTCGTGACGTCACTGGACGGCATTAACGGCGGGTCGATTCAGACGTTTCTGAGGGAGTAATAACGACTGGAAGTAATCGGATGAAATCCAGGCTATCAAAATCCTTGTTAGCAGAACACCTTCCGTTTCAGTGAATTATTCTATGAATAGATTAATTAAATGGAAACTACAGGATCCTTTAGACAGGATCACTATTTATTATATGCTTTCATCGGCCTGTGCTTATCGATGCCTTATTACAACCCTAGCTATCATGGGCACCCAACGTCAATTTTCGGAAAATATCTGTTCGGAAGAAGATTTGTGGTCTAGAATATTCGGAACATTTGTTGTAAAATTCCTTGCTTGCCTGGCTCTCCTAGGACTTTCGAACATCTATAAAATGGTATAATTGCCCATTTTTAACGGATTTTTGCCCTAAAAAGGTCACCTAGAATTTTCGGGGGCGTTTTTCCTGGCTGGAATTTCTGAAAAGGTAAGTTTTGATCCCTATGATTTTCGGATCACTAGACTTTCAGCTAGAAAATCCGAACAGATGGAAAATTTTTAGGGGATAAAAATATGCCTATATCTACCGTTTAAGTACTAAAATACGTTCAACAATGCTATGTTTAAGTGGTTTTGAACTATATTCTCGTTGGGTGCCCCTGAGCTATCTCTGACAACCCTTTCAACCTGACTTTACTTGGCTTTTCTTACATTTTCTATGTTTCATAGCTACTTCACTACTTCATTTACGACTAATCTCTATTCTAAGGCCTGTTTGCTGCAGCTCACGACCTCAACTTTGAGTGGATCGTCATTAAAGGGATTTCGGATTACGCGACTGGCAGTAAATCAAAGGAGACATCTTGGAGGCCATTTGCAAGTTTAATGGCAGCTTCAGTAACGGCTCATATGCTCAGCGATGCCATCATTTTTAAAGACTGGCCTCACTTTGAGTGCAAAAGTAAGTACTGAACAGTTAGAATGCGTTCGTTACCAGCGCATTTTTCTTCTTTCACTCTTCATGATCGTTCTGTCCGTGGTCCTACCAGTGAAGCTTTTATCTTGTTTGTAGCCAGTGTAAATCCTTTTATTTTTGCAGTTGCAAAATCAAACTGTCGATGAAAAGTTGAACAATCCATCTGCAAATGTTAGACTTGTGAATCAAGTTATCTGTCTTTTCGCATTCCTATTAAGTTAATGTTGAGGTTTCGTACATAAAATGTCTACACATAATCAGTCCTGTCCTGTATTGCCAATGGTACTTGGAACTAGTGAGCAGAGTTTTAAATTTTTCCGGCAAGCTTCCCTGTGTTGAGACCATGAAGCTTATTTTACATGCAGGTTGTGATGTAAATGCCGTTAACACCGAGGGTAACACACCTCTCCATCTAGCTGGAAGTATAAACCTGCTGAGCCTGAAGATGTCGAGATTTTGAGAGAAATGCTGCTGTTGCTGTTAGATATCGGTGCAGATCCAAAGCTAGCAAACAAAAATGGTCAAACACCACTGGACAGCTGTGAAACTGACGAGGCTTGTATGATCCTGTCCGAGAAAAGAGGACTGAGTGCCATGAACGTCGACGTCGGAGATGTAAGTAATATTAACATATTATAATTTTGTAAAATCATTCAGTTCTTTGTCACGAAATGAGAGAGTACTTACTTCCGAGTCAATATGTTGTGTTTATGAAAATACGCCTCGCTTGTCTGTCCGTCCCTGTCTGAACGCCTGGAACTGCCTGAAATTCTAAAGTCGTCTCTGTTTGAATGAAACGATCCATTTCATTGATAGTGGCATGTACAGAAGGCTCATAGATTATGCTATATGATATAATAAGAGGGGGCACGTGTAGTTTTAAAGTGGCCCAATTGTTACTCCGGCCAATTTACTGACTAAGAACTGTTATGAACCGTTCGATTGGGTCCGTGCACGGTTCGGCCAACCCTTTTTTTAAATTTTCTGTTCCATGTTGAGCAAACAGAAAGATATGAAATTGACATCTTTTTCGATTAATTAGTTTGCAATGTTACAAGTGTCTAAATTGCTTTTGCTTTAAAAGCACCTTTTTATTGAAATTTTATAATATGACGGCGCCAAATAATTTTTGCACTTAAAAATAATGGTAAAATCTCCAAAAATTGCCAAAATTCCAGAAGTCCTTGTTTTTTTCTTGAATCCGTAAATCTTATCCCCCCATAACAAAAATTACTCAATATCTTCTTTTTACTGTTTTATGCTATTTTTTTCTAAAAAAAGATAAACAAAATTTGACTTCCGTTTTATCGTTTTTTGTTTTTTCGAAAGAAGAAACACAAAAAACGAAAAACGAAATTCGACTTCCGTTTTATCGTTTTTCCATTTATGTACAAACAAACACAAAAAAACGAAAAACGAAAAATAACTTCCGTTTTATCGTTTTTCCTTTTATGTACGAGAAAACAAAAAAACAGAAAAACAAAAATCGACTTCCGTTTTATCTTTTTTCGTTTTTTGTACGAACAAACACAAAAAAACGAAAAACGACAAATGACTTCCGTTTTATCGTTTTTCCTTTTATGTACGAGAAAACACAAAAACGGAAAAACAAAAATCGACTTCCGTTTTATCTTTTTCTTTTTATCTACAGACAAACACATAAAACGGAAAAACAAAAATCGACTTCCCTTTTATGGTTTCTTGGTTTTTCAAAGAACAGACACAAAAAACGGGAAAACGTTAGCCGACTTCCATTTTAACGTGTTTCAGTTTTATTAACGACCAAACACCAAAAACGGTAAAATGATAATTGACTTCCCTTTTCGTTGCCACTTAGGGCAGCCGACTATGTTGGTGCGCATGCGTTACTTGAAGCGAATGCCACTCTTACCGGCTCAGAATCCGCGATAGGTCGGTTCCGTAGGACGGGCTGATCCGTCAGTGAGAGATCGACAGGCCTCCTGGCAACCACCCGCTATAAGGCTAGCCCAATCGATATTGAAACGCAAATTTCCTTCCGTAGATAAGCCTCTCCGAATATAAGCCCCTCCAAAAATAAGCCCCTCAAAAAGGGCCTTTGAAAAATATAAGCCCCCGGGCTTATTTTCGGAATTTTACAGTATGCTACGATATTACACACTACCTGAATCTAATATTATGAAGGGGAGCTACAATCACCTCAGTAATTGCAGGTGTAACCACATTATGAATATCAACATAACGCCGTATGCCATTCGTGGCACAAAATCGCCTGACACTCCTTTCAGATAGTCCATTCACTGCTGGATGCTGTTGTCTTGGAATATCAGCTACTTCTTTTGTGTTTTGCCTTGCTCTTCAACAAGCTCCTTCACGTAGCGAGCAGTAACTACGTTTTCCATCCCCGCCATTTTTGAAGGACCCGCGAAAAAAGACACATACCAGGGTTATAAATACTGCTGACCAACAACACCTAGACGAGTTTCCGAATTGAACCACCAACCCCCACTCAAACCCATCCCCCCCACCCCTCCTCGACCCCTCTCTTTCCCAGCTCTTTGTTCACTTAAAGAGCCAGAGAAAACGAAAAAAAAAACAGAAACGAAAAATTAGGTTATATCCAGCTCTTTTTTACATTGATTGGTCGTACTTACAAAGAACGATAGAACGGAAGTCAGTTTCCGTTTGTATGTTTTTGTTTGTTTTAGTACATAAAAGGAAAAACGATAAAAAGGAAGTCATTTGTCGTTTTTCCGTTTTTTGTGTTTGTTCGTACAAAAAACGAAAAAAGATAAAACGGAAGTCGATTTTTGTTTTTCCGTTTTTTTGTTTTCTCGTACATAAAAGGAAAAACGATAAAACGGAAGTCATTTTTCCTTTTTCGTTTTTTTGCGTTTGTTTGTACATAAATGGAAAAACGATAAAACGGAAGTCGAATTTCGTTTTTCGTTTTTTGTGTTTCTTCTTTCGAAAAAACAAAAAACGATAAAACGGAAGTCAAATTTTGTTTATCTTTTTTTGGAAAAAGATAGCATAAAACAGTAAAAAGAAGATATTGAGTAATTTTTGTTATGGAGGGATAAGATTTACGGATTCAAGAAAAGAAACAAGGACTTCTGGAATTTTGGCAATTTTTGGAGATTTTACCATTATTTTTAAGTGCAAAAATTATTTGGCGCCGTCATATTATAAAATTTCAATAAAAAGGTGCTTTTAAAGCAAAAGCAATTTAGACACTTGTAACATTATAAACGAATTAATCTAAAAAGATGTCAATTTCATATCTTTCTGTTTGCTCAACATGGAACAGAAAATTTAAAAAAAGGGTTGGCCGAACCGTGCACGGACCGTCAAGTTATTACTAGCACATTTTTGTAAATATCTTTCGCCTGCGGGGGAAAGGGAGTTTTCCCAATTTCCTGTTTCATTTTTTCCCTCGCATCGTCTCTGCCATTTTTTTTGCCCCCTTCCACTAAACAGAGAGCCTGGGTACCAGGCTACATAAGTACCGTTTTCGTGACGGATTTATGACAGATCGTGGTTTAGAAGCTGCTAATAAAAAAAGAAAAACAGTTTAAATAGTTTAGGATATAGTACGATTATTGTACTAAATTACTTTGGTATCATCTGAGGAGGCATGTCTTGCTCTGTTCTCAAAGGCTGGAAAACTCGGAAGTGGAAATGAACGATTTGTTCCTGGAACAGAAAAAGATGCTAATGAAAACACGCAAAAGGAGACTGAAACAAAGGAAAAATCAGGTATATAAGAGAATCTAACCAAGGGAACAATTGGTTAAGACGAATAATTGTACCCAGGATCATTGAGCTCCACTGATGAGCCGTTTAAGGTGCCATTTTAGGTGAGGTGAAAAGAGAGAGTGTGTTTTAAAAAAGAGAGACTGGGGCCTACGGCCCCATATGGCGGATCCCTCATCGTTCAAGACAGTAGAAGATATTTGGACTGTTCTCACAGTCATGGACTCAATACACGTATGATTAACAAAAAATAAACAACAACAAAAACAGTCACACGAAATGTAATTTTTGTTTTTAAACGAAAGAAAAATAAGTCCAGCCCATGAGTGTAACCAAGAGAACAACAGGATAGGAGACTGAAAGTAAAAAATATTAAACATTCAAGCAACATACCAGGTACATTATCATGTTGAGATCAAATACTTTGGGTCTAAAATTAAAATAAATCAATTTAAATTGAGAGGAATCCCCCTAAGAAATGAGGCAACTATAGAAGATTCAGTCTCTAAGTTTGATCCTCTCTACACAGTAATTTTCAAGGAGTTATAATAACTCCTTTAGTGGAGTTATTTTTTGGGGAGTTATTTTAACACCAAAAAGGAGTTTAAAGAACTGTTTTTCAGGAGTAAAAGTGACCCCAGATATTGAGGAGTAAAAGTGACCCCAGATATTGAGGAGTTAAAATAACCCCAAAAAAGGAGTTATCCTGTACCTAAAATTTTTACTCCACTTTCAGAGTTAAATTAACTCCAAAAAGAGTAAAAACAACCCACGTAAGGAGTAAAAATAACCCCATTTCGGAGTTATTTTAACTCCAGACAGGGAGTAAAAAGAACCCTTTTTCAGGAGTAAAAATGACCTCAAATTCGGAGTTATATTAGAAGTTAAAGCAACCCCCAAAAAAGGGGTTATCCTGTACCTAAAAGTTTTAGTTCACTTTTGGAGTTATAATAACTCCCTAAAAATTACGATGTAGATGTTACACTAACGTCACTGAGCGTGAAACCATAGAAAATCGTCTCTTTTTCATGCTGTGAGGCGAAGCAGAAAATGGCTTTCTTCTATCTTTATTTCCTTAAGGACAATTGATGGAGTTGAGACAGCTGTTGGATAGTGTCCAAGAGCAACTAAGTCAGAAAGACGGACAACTGAGGGAAGCGACAAAACAACTGGCAAATGTTCAAGGGCAACTACAGGAGAGAGATGGAGAATTGAGGCAGATGACACAACAGTTTACAAATGTTCAAGGGCAACTGGAAGAGTTGTCGCAACAGTTGACAAATGCTCAACGACAGCTACAAGAAAAAGATGAAGAAAATACCACCATGGAGGAACAACTGAGAACAAAACAACAAGAAGTGAATGAACTGGAAATATCTCTTTCAACAGCTCAACTAGCGTTAAGTGAACGTCCACGACAACAGTCACCTGACTGGGTCATTTCACGCGATCAAATTCAGCTGACAGGGAAATGCATTGGTAAAGGAGGCTGGGGATGTGTTGTCGAAGGCAAGTATTGTGGCTGCACTGTTGCCGTGAAACAGATTTACGAGGTGCTTCTGAACCTTTCCTCTCATAACAGAGAAATGTTTGAGCGGGAAATGAGCATTGCTTCAAAATGTCGCCATCCTTGTTTGCTGCAATTCATCGGAGCAACAAACGACGAAGGAAGTCCTTTGTTCGTGACAGAGCTCATGGAAACGAGTTTGCGAAAATTGCTGGAGCAGCGATCTCTTTCTACAGTTGAAGTGGCCGTTATTTCTCTGGATGTGGCTCGTGCATTGAATTACCTGCACCAAAAGAAACCACGCCCCATCATCCACCGTGATATCAGCAGCGCCAATGTGTTGCTATGGCGACAAGCGGACCAATGGCGAGGCAAAGTGTCGGATTATGGTGCTGCTAATTTCATGCAACACACCTTGTCAGTTTGTCCAGGTGCTGCAGTATACAGTGCTCCTGAAGCACTTACTAAAAATCAGACTGTGAAGGTATGTCGTCTGCTAAACTTAAATCTTCAAACAAAGAGCCCGTTCACAGGCTAATTTAGAATATTGAATCCCTGCGATATACCGAAGGAGAAAGACCCAAGGGCTAAGAGATGCATTTTATGGCTGTTAAAAAGTAGAGAAAACGTTTCCGTTCTGATTTTGTGATTTGGGGATACTTATTTCTATCAAAAAGTGTTATAAAATGGTAAGGGGGTGGACCTCTGTGGGATTAACCCTTAACTCTCTTCCTTAGTAACCACGTTCGACATATATATCGTCCTGATGTATTGTGTGGTAAGTTTTAGTGACCTTAGGCCTTGATCGCGTAATCATCTAGAATCATCAAATAATACATCCTTGAATATTGTACTTGGCCTCCACTCTTCGTTTCGCCTCCGATAATCGCACAACCTCTGGGCGGACTCGCCGGTAAAAAACTTTGCTGAGTAACCCCCTCCCACCCGAGTAGACAGTCGAGACCAAAGACCGAAGATGTGAGTATTTGAGTAAACAGTGAAAGATTTTCGTGGTCGAGTTCCGGCCTCGAGTGCTGGGTGGAATAAAGAATAGTACATAAAAGATCTATTTGTGGTTTTACAACAATCTGAATCTTCTTTAGGAATTAGACCTATGCCCTAGGATGGATTACTAACTTTGAAAGTGGTTTGTGTGTACAAAAGAGTCAAATGATACATAAGGTGATAAGAATTGGTGTAGAACTGAAAGTCTTGTTATCTAAATGTATTTATATTTTTAATTGTTATCGTTTATTTTTCGTCTTCAGGTTGATGTGTACAGTTTTGGTGTTCTTATCTGCGAGATTTGCATCGGGAAACTACCAAATCCTGAGAGGCGTGCCGAGCAAGTCGCCATGATGAAAAACAAAGTGCTAAGAGCTCTCATTCGTAGATGTTTACAAGACAATCCTCAAGACAGACCTAGTATGGAAGACGTTATTAGTGAACTAGAAAAACTAGTTTAAGAAGGGCTTGATAGGATCTGTTCTATATTTTGTTCTATTTTCAGTTAATGGTTTTTTCTTAATACAGAGGGAGTGAACTTCTGAAGAGATAGGAGGAAGCCCCCCGCCATCACCTCTACCAGACCCCAGTCATGACACGTACGGGTGACAAGTAAAACGTGACTTGCGTGGGGAACAAGAACCGAGATATATTCTGCGTTGTCATTCTCACGCTACACGTAGTATATTCGGTGAAACAAACTCCATTTTATCTTTCGCGTCATTTTTTTTGTGGTAAATTTAGCACGTCAGATTTGACGAGTACGCTGATGCGTTTCTGCCGGTATGTGCGTTGTGGTTAAATTTTTTCTTTGGCTTAATTTTTATTTTCCTTTGTTCCAAACTCATTATCATACATCACCATGCTTAAAAATAAAGGAAAAATATAAATTTAACCAAGGATAAAATAACCACAACATACACGCTCCTGTTCTATAAACGTGCTAGAAGACAGTGTGGTCATGAATTTGGTGAGCGCGTTAGACTCGCAATCCGGAGGTGGCATGTTTCAACCCGCATCCGGAGGTCCCGAGTCCCGCCATAACCATTAGATAGGTCGGTTTAACGGTTCTCCTCAGTTGAACTCCTCGATCCCGCTTGTAAATAACTAACTGGTTTGCCTCCTTCCAAGTTAGGTCTTAATCGTGCCACGTTTGAATTAAATCTTTTGTTTCGGGTTGTTTGAGTGGGGTGTCTGTAAAGTAGCTGGGTAGCTAAGTGCACTTCCACTATAAATAGAACATTTACATTTAACCATTTTTCATCAATCAGTATAGGTTCTGGCTGCAGGTATTGTTAGAAAATTAGAAGTAAAAACTGTCAAGGCCTTTGGCAGTCTAAGGATTGATTTTCCATTGAACTGCCACTGATTTTCATTATCTGATCAAGTGCATGAGGCGCGATTCTTTTGGTCAGCGCCATATGCCTGGATTTGGGTACAAGAATGGAACAAGCGATAAAAGGCAGAAGAAAAGGGACGCATAGCACATTTTTATTCGTGTAAACATTAAAATTTGTTTAATTCAGTTAGGCAGCTGCCCAACCTTAGTCGTAGTATATACCGAGGATGACTTGATTTACATACGAAAAAACTTAACCTTTTTTACCTCAAACTGTAGGTTAGATATAAGGTATTGGCTCTGCGATAGCTTTTAAAAGTATATATATAGGTCTCTGAAATATGTGAAATAAACGCGCCTAATCTTTATTTTTCTAAGTATTGTCCTGTTACTCTTATATTTACTCTGTCACGCAAATATTGGAGAAATTCGGACATAAGTGAACTTTGTATGCGCAGCACCGAAGGACCATTAGAAATAACTGGGAGACCGACAATTCTCCGTAAAAAAAAATAATTGTGACTTGAAAAGATCAATGAACTACAGAAAAAAAATCCTGCAGATAAATAAGACGTTAAGAAAGAATAAGTTAGAGCAAGAAAGCAAAAAAAGAACAAGATTTAAAGAATACAGGGTAAACTCAGCCATCCATATACGCTGACCAAAAACGGTGCCAATAAAATGTCAAAGTAGCCAAGTAATTTTTAGATAAGTTCTTTGAGTATAGCTTCATCAATGGGCAATGTTGATTTAGCTCTGGTAAATATTTAGACTGATTCAAAATAAGGAAGAGATTTTTACTAATTATTTCTTTTTGCTTTGGGAAATATTGGTATGTTCGTTTTCAGATTAAGCTTGCATAGCAGATCCAGAAATTTTTCATAACGAGAGTCCAATCTTTTCCTAAGGTTAAAACGGGGAATTACCAGTTCCCACTTCCCGCATTTCACTTGCGCAAGTTTAACTGACTAGTGTATTCGAGTTTGTAATTTCAGTTAAAAACCAAGTATTTCAATTTCTAAGAAACAATCCACGGGGTAAATGTAAAATTAGTAAAACAATGCAATAAAAGTTTTTTAAAGTAACCGATGGTAGAGGTCGTCCTTTAAGCTTTAGATCCACACTGAATGGAAGTTCTATGAAATCGTTTGGAGTCACGTGATTCACAATTTTATAGGACAAATGAACAGTAATAAAGGACGGTTTATAGGAAGTCCATCAAACGAGACGAACTTTCTTTTCGAATTCACCGTTCCCATTTTTCACTTCTTTTTTGTATCCGAAAACCTTTCTAAACTCTGCTCCGCGCCTTGGCTTTTTGCAGGAACCAGAAGAAACTCATTTAGAGTTGGCGTCTTTTGATTCCGCACTTCCTGGTGATTTCCCTTTTACATGTTTCAACTGGCACCGAAACGGTCCATCGAAAGTGCATCAAGACAATCATGAGCTTTGCAAATTACGAAAAAGAGGGGGGTTGCTCTGGCCGAATGTTGAAAACTAGAGCTAGGCAAATAACTAAATGCCTGAGAAATCATAAACATCCTTTAGCCTTCGAGAAAAGTCTCCATTTGGGAGAGTCGCGAGAAGTCACGCGACAGCCGCACGCGAAAGGAGACGCGGGTTCAAAGGGCAGGGGAAAGAAAAGACCTCCGTCTTTCCCGCGGTTTCGCTGCACGCTCGCGCGTCCTCTCGCCATAAACATGCTTCTGATTATGACACCCGTTAACGCTAGCCAAAACTAAAATGCAACCTACCGAAAGGAAAGAGGCAGCATGCTAGCATGAAAACAAGCTAATAAGAGTCAAAGTATTTCTTACCTTACAAGTACAAGAACCCAACGAACATCGACAGAAGTTTGACGGAACAGGCTAAGCGCGGCCAACTTGCGAAACGTAGACTGACGGGGGCAGCTTAAGCATCGTGTAAATGTTGAGCATCTGAGGGACCAGAAGTGCACGAAACACCGAAAAGACTGAGCACGCTTGGGAAGAGAAACTGGCCTTTCATAAGAAACCCACATTACACGTACAGACACGTATGAGATACTCACGGGCTATAGGTATTGTGATGGTATATTGCGAAGTCCCCAGAGACAACCATGATTTCCGATATTTTAACAAGTCTGTAAGCGGCTAGCTTGGGTCGCAGACAATGTACAGACTATACAAAGGTTTAGACCTATGGTTTAGACGATGCAAGGGCCGGCTGCAGCGCCGGCTATTAAACGGCATGCAATAAAAAGAGCCTGAGCAGAAACTATATAATTCGTTATCATATTTCACCTTTTTCAACTGCCAATTGAGTGATCTCAAACATTGAACTGAGAACAGACATATCGGGAACCGCACAATCATCATTCCACTTGTGAAGCAGGCATCAACTTGGCACGTGCACCACGCTTTTTGAGAAAAAAAAGGTAACAAAGGCGTGATTCACGCAAAGTTGATGTTTGCTAATCAAAAGTACCATTCCTAATTGTTGTTCTTGTTGTCGCTGTCGTGGTTGGTCAATACAACAACAACAACAACAACAACAACTGTTATTGACCCCTTATACTTATTAAGCTTCCTTTCTTACTAAAAAAAATGGAAAACGTTGGACTTTTTCGAAAGTTCAATTCAACATTACAAAATGGCAGCCACCCGCTGTTATATTTTTCGTTATTTTGGCTTGCGCACGTGTTTAACTTTAGCGACTCGCGATTGCCCTCGAACAAATGTTACCAGCGGTGGACGGGTTTACTTTAGACCAGTGATGTCCAGTAAGTCACAAAGAAAGTCCAGGGGGTGGAGTTGACTTTTTACAGTGGTCTACAGTTTTTTGGATTCTCTTCTTCGAGTTTCACAAAGTCTGCTGAATTCGTTTCTCTACCTGGGAAAGCTTCATTGGTTTCCATCTCTGGGACAGTCCTATTTCTATGAGCCTAGCGTGTTTACTTTGCGTTACGTTGGAGATCAAATTTCGCGGAAAACGTGGTGTTGGAATTAGAAGGATGGGGGCTGAGAGGTCATCTCGTGCCTGCTCCTATCTAGTGTATTATATTGTATGGAGGGAGAATTTGAGCAAATTATCACGAAACAAGGACAACAACAAGTAACTGCAGAGTAAGTTTCATTGACTTTTATTTGGTAATTCCTACAAATTTTAGGATCGTATTTTTACCCCATACAAACACTGTAATTTAACTGGATTGGTACTTTGGTACTATCAAAGAGCCTGGGTTACCTGTGGTATTTCATTGCTGTTTATATTATAAAATACAGTTTTTCGTGCGCGCGGCTTTAACTCTTGTTCCGTTATTATGTTGTACCTTTTTGAAAAACTTTGCCACTACAAGTTGGTGAAATGCAGAATACAGTCTGAGTTATGCACATTGCAAATTTTATATTATGCAGAAGTTCAAATGAGATAAAGATCTGGGCACACTTCGACATAAAAGACGTTATTAACCGATTACTGCAATAATTTTGCCAGATGGAATATCATTTTGATATAAATTGAGAGGCTGGTAAATTCTATAAAGTAGCCTGTTTTATTTTTCTCTATTCAGATACTAAACATTCTATGCTAACCTTTTCCAGGCGTTCAGAAAGTGGGGGCAGCGCCAAGAAAAGTAAACAGGAAAAAAAACAAACAAAACAGCAGTGGGTTGGCAGCCCTGTTCTTCATTTCGCGCCCCTCTTCCTCTCCACTATCTGAAGGGGTTACGCCCATGGTTAAAGGGAGCTTTTAATAGGTAGCTGCGATAACGTCACTCAAAAAATGAATTCGCGCTGTTTTAAACTTCATCGCACTTATTCCCCCTCGTTCAATTCGACAAATGTTGGCGAATTTTTCTGGAGCTGAATTCAAAAAACGGACTGTTCCGAACAGTGAGGAAAAGAAAAAGAAAGTCCTTGTGCCGTGTTCACTGATCCCTAACAAGACGTGGAGTTTTTTTTAAAACGTCGCAGTCGTGGGACGAAGGAAACGAAATGTACAAAACGCGTGATGCACGTGTAAAGTTGTTGTTTTGCCGATCTACAGGCTTGTTTACATGGACCCTAGGTAAATGGTGTAACCCGATTGAGAGGGTTAAAAAATAACCCGCCTTAACAACCCCGCCATCCTCCCCAAAACTGACATGTTGTGGCAGTTAATGTTCTTCTATTCTCATTTAAAAAATGAAAGATTATATGCACATGCGGCCGGGTAACCTCACCTTAGCGGGTTATTTTACCTAACTACATGTATAGGGTCCCCCACCTCCATGTAAACAGACCCTTGACCCATTGCTTTTTAGCGCTCTCATTGTCGTTGCCGTCGTCGTCGTTGCTTAAGCTCCCAACATTAAAGTCTTTAGTAAAATCCAACTTGTGGTCTATTATCAATGCTGCGTTCTGATTGGTTGAGCTACTACTAGGCTATAGGCTATATGTTAGTAGCGAAAAGCGCCGGCTTTGAAAACCAAAATAATGGCGTATGAATCGCGTTTTGCTAGCTAAAGTTGTTTTGTCTCGATATTTTTGACCAACTAGTTGGATTTTACTAAAACAATTATTCCTCTCGCCCTCATGGCCTCTGAGTCAATAGCCCATTCAGCCTTTGGCCTCATGGGCTTTGGAGTCAGAGCCCACTCGGGCTCAACGAATATTTGTTAATTAAACTGCATGCAGTAAAAATATCCTGACCATAGAGTTTGAATTAGAAAAATTAAATAATAATGGTTTTTTTCCATCATATTTCTCCTTTCACAATTGCCAATTACCTGATTTCAAACGTTGCCTCTTAAAGGTCAGTGGACAAGAAAGACATTTAGCTCGGGTCCCAAAGGCATTTCTTCATTGCAATCTTAAGCAGCAAGAACGTTCACATCCTAGGCGTCGAAAATGGCCACCAGTCAGCAGTCTCGTTGCGTCTCTTCTGTTGAAGGGTATGGGTAATTACCATTAACTGTCCCTTACAAGCCCTGGGCTTACAAATCATCTTAAGGGGGTTTAGGAGAGTTGATAAAGAGAGGGACTTATATCCGAGGGGGCTTAAAACAGAAAGAGAAAAAGCGCTTTACAACAAGCTATAGCAGTGCACATCAAAATAAGTATTGCTTTGACTGGCTTGTTAATTAAGCTTCAAAACATCATGATAATGCGTTTTCACCTCAACACAAATAGAGGGAAGGGGTGAGGGGGGCTTATAATCAGATGTATTAAGACGGAATCCACCAGGAAATTGAGTAACAATATTTTAATTTTCAGTGGACAAAAACCTTGTACCAGAATAATTAAGAGCATATTGCATTATATTTTGCATTTTTCAGGGGCTTAAGATGTAATTAGTCATCTGTAATAACACCAAAGAAAATTTCTTATGGGAGGCCGAGAAAATGAATGTCAAATTTCACAAAATTGCATCATACACATGAAATTTTCAGAAGTTTATCTATGTTTTCACAATTCTTGTGAAATTTGACCTTCATTTTCTCGGACTCCTATGACAAATTTTCTTTGGGCCTTGAAAAATGCAAAAAAGAATGCAATATTCTTTAAATTATTCTGGTGCAAGATTTTTGGCCACTGAGAATTAAAATTACTCAATTTCCTGATGGATTCTGTCTTAATTTTCTTTGTCTTCAGGTAGAATATGGGCCTATAATTGCAGAGGTGTTATTCTAAGTGGGGAGTTTATACATGTAAGCAGACGTTTTTAAAGGGTGTTTTCTGGAACATCTTATCAAGAACAGAATAATGTGGACATCAAGATGTTAAAATTAGATATTACCTAGTCATCCTGGAGGGAACTTGAGCTTTCGCCCTCCTAAAACGTGTAAATGGATGTGATACACAGACTGACAGCCATGTTGACCATTATTGATTACCACATGATAGCCTTCCTGGTCAATACCCTTCTGGGCTGCTACTTTCTTCGCAACAATCATACAGTGGCCAAGAAGCTGAAAGAAAAACATAGTCATTCACAAAGCTGTCATTAAGGGCCATAACCCACAACACCTTTTACAGCTGAGCTCACTTGATTTTACAGGTGATCAAAGTGGAAAGCCAAAGGTGACAATATAAAGTTTTGGAGAGATGTTACGGGTGAATCTTAATTTGCAATGGCTGCTCTAAAAATTAATGACAGCCCTGAAACATTTGCGTTATAAAGATTTCTCTCTCAAAGCGACTGGGTGCAAAAAGGAGTTGAAAGAGAGCGGACAGGTTATCAGGATCCAGAACTCCCCATTTCTAGCCTGATCTGCTATTCTACATTTCCTTTAAAAGTCTCAAATCTTTGGGCAGAGTGCAGGTATCAGAGCTGTCTTCAGGGAGGTCTATTATGTCTATGAAACTCCTGCAGAGGGGTGGGGGGGTACTTGGGTTAATTTTTGCTGGGTATGTGCCGCTGGCCTCTCAGAATCCTTACCCCATTATAGTCTATTCTATGGCCATATTATAGACCCCATCTTAGTCTGTGACTTTGGGAAATAAGTAATTTTTGCAATTATCCCAACTTAGTCACTTTTTGTTTCTGTCATCCTCAGAAACATTTATTAAACTTAATGTGATGTAAATATTTCTATTTTTAAATCCCAACATACCTGAATTTTCTGACCCCCAAAAGCCTGAAAATGTGCAACCCCATTCTAGTATAAAAATGCAACCCCATAATAGTCAACCCAGCCATGACAATGTGACTCTATCCAGTGGCACATAACTATTAGCCTATGACTAGGAGTACCCCCCGCCCAGGATGAAGCTATAAAGGGGGCAGAATAGGGGTAGGGTCAATAGTTTGATAGTCCAAGATACCCTCACAGGGAACCCAAATGCCATTACTCTGGTCTCATGGGTGTCAACATTTTAAAGGTTTGAACCTACGTTGTATACAAATTGGCTAAGGGATCCAGGGTTCCCATGGCACACACCCACCTTGGGATAGCAGTCCTCTGAGGGGTATTAAATAATTGACCCATCCAGTAAATTTAACTTGCAACAGCAGCAGTACCTTTATATTTAAACACAGCAGGCATATAAAAATCAACTGGTAAATGTACTATAAAAAAACAAAATGGTAAACATACTTGTTCATCCTCATCTGAAGTATCAGTTATCTTTCTTATTTCTTTCTTTGGTATAACCAGGAAATGAACTGGTGCTTGTGGATTAATGTCCTCAATGGCTATGCACTGAAAATAAAGTAACAAAATCAATTGTAACCAAAAGTACCTACTAACTTGTTGCTATTTCTGTTCATACTTTATCCATTCCCACTTTATGGTTGATAATGGTGTACATGAGGATATACATTGTATCAAATATCTCTAAGAAAGTGGTGGAGTTGGGGCGCGCCGGAAGGCATGAAGGAGAATGTCATATTTAATACCTATGTTAACCTGCGATAAGGCTCTGTCTTCGAGAAGTGAGGGAAAGAAAGAACACCTGATAATTTTTTTTCACACAAAGAAATTAACATGTGGTTGACCTGTTTCCAAACCATTAAACAATAGCTATGTTCAGTTATTTGATTTTTGTTTGTAAAACTAACACAAAGGCTCTCCTACTGATGAACAGTTGGGACACGTAGATATATTTTTTAGCAACTACTATAATTTGCAGCCTGTCTACTTTGAATAGGGTAAAATCATCTAGAGTTTATTTCATTTATTACAGTTGAACCTCCACGTGCGACCATGTCTCATTAGTGACCACCTCCCAATGATAAGTGACCACTTATCTATTAAAACCACCACACTTTTCCCAGTCAAAGCCTTATGGTTGGAAACTCTTTTAAACAACTGCCTCCATAAGTGACAGTGACCATTTTTTAGCATGAGGGTTTTAAGATTTTCCCTTCTTTTACCGGTAACTCCTTCTGAGCAACCACCTGGTGTAATGTAGTTTTGTTTTTTGTACTGGGGGTAGACTACGAAAGGGGAGTTTGGGTAGCGACTGTGTGCTGCTGAGGTCTTCAAAACCCTGACTCTGTTTAAGACAATGTAGTGTAATGGAACAGACAGAAATAGCCATTTTGCCACGACAGTCCAGAGGACTGGGCCGGATAGGAGGAATTGTGGGTATTTTTTTAGATATGCTTAGTTGTATGTTGCAAATTTGAATCACTAAATCAGCATACATTTGAGCCCCTAACTTTTATTTTATTTGCCAGTTTTGTTACATTTGTTAATATAGGCATTTGGCAGCTAGTTCCCTGCCCCTAAGTTGTTAGCACTGCAGCTGATCATGATTTCAGCAAGCAGGGGTGTACATTCCCTTTTTTTCCACAAAGTGGTTTTGCGTTTTCGTATCTAGCGTTGTCTTACTTAGTATCTTTCGAGCTTTGTTTTTTGTCAGAGGGTGTTTTGTAATTAAGTGCATGTAATTTTATAGTAATTTTGCAACAAACTGGCTTTGAGGTCTTTGCTGACCTACATGGCCCTGTATTCATTCTTGTGTGGGTGTCCATCTAAGTAGTGTAGGCAAAATTAGCTCATTTTGATACCCTTTTTAAGACAAAGACCTCATTTAATGACACAGTATTCATTTTGTTTTACATACGAAATATAAAGCAATTTTTTAAACTTGCATCAAGAGATTGCATCTTTTTGAATAAATTGTTGGTACCAGAAATGTAAACCGCTGATTGCCAACCTAAATTAAGACTCTTTTAAAGGCTTCCTGTCTATAAGGATTGTTCATGCCACCCTGTTCCAGGCAATAATCACAGGGGCCCACACAATCTGCGTGTGTAACTGATGTCGTTAAACAATAAACGCTTACCAAGTCTTCTTTACATCAATTATTATTATTTTAACCATTTGGTTAACAACATCCAATCAAGAAGAGGCGATCAGCCGGACGGTTTCTGACTGGCGTGTATGAATCTTGCTACGCATTTTGACAAAAATGGGATCGTAATTAGCTCCTGGCATTTTGGATGAATTTTTCGAACAGAAGGTACAAGAAGAAGCATGAGTCATTCGACCTATGTGCTGTTTGGAAATGGAGCAATTTTCTGGGGGAAAATCGCTCCAGCAATGGAGTCCGAGTCACTGGAGTTCTAAATATCAAGGGATGGTTCTTGGCAAAACCGATTACCCTTTCTCCTTTTTAACCACAAGATGCCTGGATCTTTTTGGAATATCTCTAGACAATGAACTGAATTTCAAGGATCACATATCCTCTGTATGCAAAAAAATAAATAATCAGTTCAGTGTCTTCAAAAGATTTGGCAAACTTATCTCATCTGAAATTATGCTTTGCCTTTATAAAGCGTTTATCTTACCCCATTTTCACTACTGTTCAATGATATGGCACTTTTGTAATTCAGAAGATTCTGTCAAACTGGACACCTTAAATAGACGTATTTTAAGATTTGCTTTAAAGGACTGGGACTCGAACTATGATGCTCTTCTAGACAAGGCTGGTGTGTGTGGTTTAGCCAACAGGAGGATACAAAATATGATGATTTGTATATTCAAATGTCTCCATTTTGGCAAATATCCGTGCTATTTAAAACAACTGATCAAGTTAAGATCTACTGCTTACTCCCTACGGGGTACTAATATTTTATCACTTCCTAAGCCGTCTACAACCACATATGGTCTAAATTCCTTTAGCTATTCATCTGTTAAGTACTGGAATTCTCTACCTGATCACTTTAGAAAGACTGTAGATTATAGTGAATTTAAGCGCAAATTGTTAGTGCACGGTTTTAGTTAATACTACATTAATTAATATTATATTATATATGTTGTAACTTTTAAAATTAGTTAGGATCGGAGATACTAGCTATGTAAGCTACACTAAAATCCGAGGATAAATAAAGTTTTATGTATGTATGTATGTATGTATGTAGTCCTCCAACACGTGGCTTCCACCCTTGTCCTTCTATCATTAGGAACAGTACAGTAGACTGCAAACTCAAAATCCTTCAAAATCGCTCAAAAAACCGCTTTTGAGGCGAAAGGACTACAATATAACACAGATAAGGTAAGTGAAAGTCAACGTTTATTTAACGTTGATTTATATACATACTTAGCGATATATCACTATGGGTGAGGCAAATGCAAATGGTAAATCCAGTACATTTTGCTATAAAATAACATCAGTCACAAAATTAATACAGATTGTGTGCCCCCTGTGACTAAACAGAGTCAAATTGCTTACCCTGTACATGTACCATACCCTATTCAGCGACTACCATTTCATAGTATTTCTTTTCATCACCCACTCACCTGCACGTCACAGGGAGTTTGAATGTGAATAAGTGCCCATAGCGATAGGGGGAAAGGGGTGAATACAAGATTACCTTGTTTTCACCTGCCATCGTGCAAGTCTGCAGGCTGAATTTGTTGAAACTATAGGCGGGAGTGCAGTCAGAGTAGAGTTAGAGTTTGAGTTACACATCGTTCTTGGTTTACCTGATCATCCTCATGAAGAAACGTAGCGGGAAGTTCACGGCGAATGATTCGTGAAAACACCGAGTTCCCTTTGGACGCCATATTGAAAGAAGAAAGCGACCATTCCCCAGTCCTACGCGAATTTCGCAGATTTCGGTGTCCGACGACTTGGTTAGGTCTAGCCCAGGTGGTCTAGCCTTAGGTCTAGCCTGTGCCAGGCTCTCAGATAGTATAGTGCGGTCAACGTATTAAAACGAGCAAAGCGAAAATAAGGCTCTCAGATAGTATAGTGCGGACGTATTAAAACGAGCAAAGCGAAAATAAGACGCGAGCGACTTGGGAAAGGGGGCGGTGGCGGCGAGATTATCTCGGAGCCTGGAACAGGCTAGGTTAGGTCCGAGCGAGTGAACAAGGCTGGTTCGCTGAACTTACGTTGTACAGAACCCCACTTACCTTACTGAGTTGCTGAAAAAAGTGCAGCGCCAGTTATGGAGAGAGCAAACTTAAAACGTGAGGTTTTTTGGGTCTTAAAAAACTTAATGCCCGGCAGTCAGAAAATTTCTAGAATTTCTTCAAAAACCCTTTTTTCTAGCGGTTTGGAAGTCTAGTTCTAAATAATCTTCATTTAGAATTAGCAAGCGATCAGGAAAACAAAAGTGGCTTCGCATCCGAGCGATTGTTGTTTCTTGGGCATAGAGTAGAGTTAGCCTGTGTACAGACGCCCCCTCCCCTAAAAAAAATCGGGAAGAGAGACGTTTGTGAATAACCTGTGTACAGACCCCTCCCCTCAGAAAAAGGCGGGGAGAGAGACGTCTGTCAATCACCGTCGTTAATCGTGTTCACGTTTCCCCGCAATGTAGGGGAAAGTCTCTGATTGGTTGTAATGTTAATGCCATGACGCAAGTAATTTCCGGTGTTGTGATTGGTGAATGAATCTCAGAATACCCCGGGAAACGACCTAGCCTGTGTTCTACGTTTACTTAACTTGTATCTCTGCTCTCCGGAAATAGGCATGTGAAGTAGGATCACCGATGCTTGCTGCACTGGTCTAGGGCCGGTGCATCTGTTGTCTACCGGGTGGCTATTGTAAATACAAGAGAAGGACGTACAGAATTCAACGCTAATTCTGAGATCTTAGGGACTGTGCAATAATTACCTGGAGGGGGGCGGGGGGTGGGGGCTGGGAAATGGATGAAATATGCGCCAAAACTAAGTCATACCCCTCCTATCATTTAGCAAAATTTCAATTCCCCCTCACCAAGAGAGAATAGATCATTCTCTCTTGCCCTCACATAATGATAATATTAAGGCTAAATCCCCTCCCCCTCCCACTCCTTGAAAAAAGTCTCCTCCCATTGATTTCCTCATACGTAGTTTACTTGTTGGATTTCTTCCTCCGGTACACACATCACTTCAAATGACTCTTCGACGTATGTCGAAGAGTCATTTGAAGAGTCATCAGAATCGCTGGACTCTGAGCTTGTGTCGTCTTCGCATGAATTGGAAGATTCCTGATCTTCTACAGCATCTCTGGCACTAAGGTTCCCGCGTGCGTGGGTGAGAAATCGATCACTCAATTCAGTCTTGCTTCCACTGTATCTTAAGACCCTTTTGTTTTAGATACATTTTCGGCAGCTTGTTGGTAAGCGCTTTTACATCTTTTTCTTTAAATTTGTATTGCTATTAAAATTTCAACAGTTGGGTTTTTCATTCTGCTAAATTATGATGCCATGTGTGCTAACATTGCCATCTTTCTTTTTCATTAAATAACATTATAGTGCTAATTTTGCAACTTTTAATTAAAGTTTCCTGTTTTATTAAATCCTAGTGCAAATAAAGTAGCCACAGGTTTACTAGTTTTTGTAACTATTCCGTGCTCAAATAAAGTGTATTATTATTATTATTATTATTATTATTATTATTATTATGATGATGATGATAAAGTAGCACTGTTTTAACATATATATATAACAGAGACATTCCTTTCCTACTGCATCACAGATAGAAAAGCAACAGTTCATAGATCAGAACACCTTAGAGTTGAAAAATTTGTCAGGTTTATTCCTTAATGTTAGTATTTATATTTGAACTATAATAACTCTTCCACTACTTTTCCAGTTTGCAAAAAGGAATGAAAAAGTAATGCCCCCCCTGTGTGTATCAAATTTTACATCCAACCCCCCCTTTCTCTCGTTGTCATTTTCTCTTATGTCCCCCCTTTAATTTTCCAACCCCCACCCTTCCAGGTAATTATTGCACAGTCCCTTATATCTGGATTTCAGCGTGGACATTGCGTGGATGTTTTTCGGCTAGCCTGCTGTGTCAAGACGCTAGGGGGCGTCTGTAAACAGGCCACATGTGCTGGTGATCCGTCGACACCTTTTCAACTGTCAGAGGTAAAACAAACAAAAATAATTAATACAAATGTCTATGTCCGGTGGTGGGGCCAAACCACCCCGCAAAGGAGTGATCAAACCGTGACAATTTTGGTTAATTTAGAACAACTTCTTTGCTTTAACTCTTTCCTTGCCAAACTTGACCTGAAAATACGAAACATCAGGCCAATCAAAATGGCTCATATAGGATGACACCAAATTTCAAATTATGACGTCACATTTGCTGACGTCATTCATACGTAAATTTTAAACTTTTGAATCTCCCAATTTTTTCATACAGGTTTTGAAAGAGCTATTCAAGGGAAGTTGAAAGCTGAAAAATTTTTTCCAGTATGTCAAATATGAGCTGAGATAAACGGGACACCTCCTCCCCCTCCCCCCTAGTAAAATAAGTCTAAATTTGAGATTTTTATTGTCGAGTCACCCTTGTTGTTTAAGTTACACATAACACATCTTTACCGTCGAAAGCTAAAGGAAGAAGAGAAATTTGAAAACAAGAAATTCCTAACTGCGCAAAAACCTGGAAAACAGTTTTGTGACGTCATAAAATGTCACGTGATCATTCTTTTGGTTTGCTTAAATTAGTGTTTTTGAGTCAAAAAACGAAAACTAAAATGATATACGATTTGGGCCAACTATAAAAGATTTGTGTTACCGGAAAATCAGCTTATTTTGTAAAAAAACTGTGAACAAAACATCATAGGGATCTTTTTTTAAGGGACAGTATGGTTCCGGGTGTGCACTTAGATTTCTTTAACTCGGGTTTTACTTGTCGTAGCGAGAAACGCGTTTTTCGCTGTTTTACGCCCCTCCTAAAGCTCCTTCAGATGATGTGTTTGACTTTGAAATTAAAAAATGCGTTTAGACCATTTTGGTGACGTCAGTCGATGTGATGTCGCAATTTGACATTTTGCTTCAAAAAACTTCAAATTATTTGGTCAACAATCGAAATCTATCGGGCAAGTTTGGTCAAGAAATTAAAAGAAATGTAAAAGATACGTAAATTTAGCCTTTACGACACATTTGAGGGCTGGTTTGGTTCGGCCCCAGCGTAGCCGGAACACGATTAACGACGGCGATTCACAGGTAGCCTGTGTACAGACGCCCTCTCGTCATAAAAGGGGGCGACTGTTCACAGGCTATAAGTGATCTTGTAACATGTTGTTATGTTTATAATCGCCCATAGTATCCTAAATTGAGCTTGGGCTGCCTGTGCTTGAGGTTGCAAAATGAAGTTTCAAAATTAAATCAAACATGATTAAATTACTGTCTGTATTTTTGTTATTGTTTCGGGAAACTTTGATCCACTAGTTTAGGCTAGTGTGTACATTTTTGGAGTTTAAGAGAAGGCTTTCTAGCTTTCCAGCTGACTTTAAGGACTTTTTGACTGCCGGGTATCAAGCTTGGATGAAAACGTGCCCAGTGAGTCACAAACTGCTTATCATGAAATTTTAAAAACATTTCAAACATATTTGTGTCAAAACGGCGTCGACTCTACTCTATGCCCAAGAAACCACAACCGCCCAGCTGCAAAGCCATTCTTGTTTTCAGTCCTGATGTCTTGTAATTCTAAATGAAGATAGTACTTTCAAACGAGTAGAAAAAGGGATTTTGCAGAAATTCTTACTATAACATTTCTGACTGCCGGGCATTTAGATTTTTTAAGACTCTTCCCGGCTGCAGGGCTGCTCTACAGTGATTAGGGCTAGGAACTGAACTTATAACGGTTAGATTGAGTTAGATCGGAAATTTTATACTGAGACTGAAAAGGCGGAAATTATAGGAACTGGTAGCTAGGACTTCTTACCCAAACAAATTTGTTCCACACTTCAGTGACACTTCCCGTTTTCTTGAAAGGAATTTAGTAAAAACGCGGGGATGATTGTATATAATTGGTGGGAATCACGCGTATCGCGAATGACAGTTTTAAAACCATTGAGTGTTAATTCAAACAGAATATTTGTATAAGAAGACCTGTGCTAAATTGACATAACATGAACCATTTTGATGAAATAAATAGATTGAACTACTCATGATCAGTCAACTGATCTGACGTATATATTTACTGTGCGACTGAATTTTTATTAGTCTACTAATACGAGGTTATCGGACCTTGAAAAGTGTCAGTTTGTTGTGAATTGTTTTGCTTACCCGAGTGTATTCAGTATCTTTCAAGCGAAACGTAGTAAATTCATCTAGAGCGGGTTCGCTGAAGTTTAATGGTAAATGGCTGATAAGCTATCCGTGAGTGATAGTGTAACTAAAGTTTATCAATCTGCCCGTGATGGTTCTTCTAATCTGACTGATCTTTTAAAGCGGCTGAAAACTGAACAAAGAAAAACCGCTTTGGAAACGAAAATTAAAGATGGCAGCCATTTTGTCACTCCTCTCATCATCGCTGCTCACAATGGACACCTGAATTCTGTAAAGATTCTTCTACAATATGGAGCAGACATCGAGGATCGAGGAACGCTTAAAACAGGAGACGAAGTTATAGAGGGTTGTACACCTTTGTGGGCCGCTGCTGATACCGGTCATCTTGATGTTGTGAAACTTTTAATCGAAAAAAATGCAGAAGTTGACGGCAGAACATCGACCGGTTCGACTCCATTGAGGGTTGCTGCCCACGAAGGACACCTTGACACTGTGAAATGTTTGGTTGAGAGCGGAGCCGATGTGAATGCACGCACTATCATTGAGGACACCCCTCTAATGGTAGCGTGCTTTTGCGGCCACTTAAGTGTTGTTACTTATCTTATTGACAAAGGCGCTTTTATGGATCTGCAAAACAAAGATGGCAGCACTGCACTTCACTATGCTGCTCAGTGGGGTCACTTTGAGATTGTCAGTGAACTTTTGGCTCTTGGAGCATTACAACTGCCAAATAATCAAGGTTTAACACCTCTTCTCTATGCCTGTAATCAATGTTCCATTGAAATGGTGGAGCATATTATCAAAAGACCGGAATGTACAAAGGAACAGAGAATTAATGCTCTTGAACTTCTTGGTGCCACCATTGCTATTGATCGACCTCGTGACACTGAGAAAGCGCTTAGTTACATGAAACGTGGGATGGAGGAGAGGTACGAAGACTTGGCACATCCACTGCTTAAAACGAGAATGGAACCTGTGGAAGCTTACCAAAGTAGAAAAGAGAGTCAGACTCTAGAGGAAGTTGCTCTGTTAGAAGGTGATGATACTGATGATCATGCTATTGGCATGGAAGGACTAATAATCAGAGAGAGAATCCTTGGGCCCGACAATCCAGCAAATCTGCCCTCAATCAGGTACCTGGGAGCTGTTTTAGTTGACTTATACGAGGAGTACGAGCTTTGTATTGGTTTGTGGCAACGATGCATGGAGAAAGCCATAAACTGCGATTTTCCGATAATAAAAGATCTTAAAAGCTTCCCGGCTTTATTCGGAGAAATGTTAAAAAAAGGTAAAATTTTAAGACCAAATTTCATTGAAGACGTGTTTGAAATACTAGTTGCTGCAAGTGAGAAACAAACCGAAAAACGTATGTCTAAAAATTTACAAGAGCGGCAGGAAAACGAGGAGCAAGAAAAAACGCTTTACTGTGCTCTCTATCTTTTGGTAATATACATCAAAGTTAAAGGTCAAAACGCCAACATGATTGACTTTCTTCAAAGATTCCTGCTTTTAAACCCTCTCACGAATGATGGAAATACTCTACTGCACTTAGTTGCGTGGCATGAAACACCATTTTTTTCATTTAAAGAAGAAACTCTTCGTAGTGTGTGCAAGCTTCCCTGTATTGAGACCATGAAGCTTATCTTACACGCAGGGTGTAATGTAAAAGCCGTTAACACCGAGGGTAACACACCTCTCCATCTAGCTGTGAAGTATAAACCTGCTAAGCCTGAAGATGTCGAGATTTTGAGAGAAATGCTGCTGTTATTGTTAGATATGGGTGCAGATCCAAAGCTAGAAAACAAAAATGGTCAAACACCACTGCACAGCTGTGAGACTGACGAGGCTCGTAGAATACTGTCAGAGAAAAGAGGACTGAGTGCCATGAACGTCGACGTCGGAGATGTAAGTAATATTAACATATTATAATTTTGCGAAAATCATTTCTCTGTCTCGAAATAAGAGAGTACTTTCTTCCAAGTCCGTATGTTGTGTTTATGATAATACGTCACGCTTGTCTGCCCGTCCCTATCTCTGCTATCTAAACGCCTGGAGCAGGCTGAATTTCCAAAGTCGTCTCGTTTCGAATGAAAAGATCCATTTCAATCATTGATAGTGGCATGTACAGATAGCCTGCGAACCGTAGACGTATTTCGGTGGTCTACGACGCATGATATAACAAGCGGGCGCGCGTGTATGTTTTAAAGCGGTCCAATTGTTTTTCCGGCAATGCAATTTACTAACTAAGAACTGTCATGAACCGTTCGATTGACGTTTGCGAAAAATAATTCACACTGAATTCAAAGTTTTCCAAATAAGAAGTTCAAAGAACAAATTAAACTGAAAAGCGTCAGGCTATCACTAACACATTTTTGTAAATATCTTTCGCCTGCGGCGGGAAAGGGAGTTTCCCAATTTCCTGTTTCATTTTTCCCCTCGTACCGTCTCTGCCATTTTTTTGCCCCCTTCCACTAAACAGAGAGCCTGGTTACCAGGCTACTCAAGTACCGTTTTCGTGACGGATTTATGACAGAACGTGGTTTAGGGGCTGCTAATAAAAAAAAAAAACAGTTTAAATAGTTTAGGATATAGTACGTTTATTGTACTAAATCACTTTAGTATCATCTGAGGAGGCATGTCTTTCTCTATTCTCAAAGGCTGGAAAAATCGGAAGTGGAAATGAAGAGAGGAGAGAAAGAGGAGGATTTGTTCCACGAACAGAAAAGGATCTTAATGAAAACACTCAAAAGGAGACTAAAACAAAGGAAATATCAGGTATTAATATAAGAGAATTTAACTAAGGGAACAATTGGTTAAAGCGAATAATTGTACCCGGGTCATTGAACTCCACTGATGAGCCGTTAGGCGCCATTTTAGGTGAGGTGAAAAGAGAGAGTGTGTTTTAAATAGAGAGGCTGGGGCCAATTGCCCCATATGGCGGATCCCTCATCGTTCGAGGCGGTAGAAGATATTTGGACTGTTCTTATAGTTATGGACATAATACATATATGATCAACAAAAATAAACAACAACAACAACAACAACAATCAAACGAAATGTAATTTTTGTTTGTAAATAAAAGAAAAATAAGGCCAGCCCATGAGTGTAACCACGAGAACAACAGGAGAGGAGACTGAATATTTTAAACGGAAGTAAAAAGTATTAAACAGTCAAGCAACATACCAGGTATGTTATGTTGAGATCAAATACCTTGGGTCTAAAATTAAAATAAATAAAAGTAAATTGAGAGGAATCCCCCTTTAGAATGAGTCAACTATAGAAGATTCTTCTCTAGGAATAAATCTATCATAAAAACATGAAAACAACGATAACTTAAATTTCTTTATCAAAACTTACAAAATAGGGACACTAAGCTGAATATATGGCAAACAAGATACCTCACTTTATTTGGGCGCACAATGCAATGTTGGTTAAGACCCTAGGCTTATCCAATTTAGTTTATGCAGCCTCTATGCTGCGTATTCCTGAAATGGTTATTAAAGGGTACAAGAAAAAATAACAAAATTTTGGTGGAAAAACAAAAGTGATGAATAAAAAGATCTTTTATATATCAATCTCTGTCAAGCGGTTGACTTAACTTTCCTAACTTTCGCACAGTGGTTAAATCTTTATTCTTGAGCTGGCTCGGCAGGCTTTTAAACCGTACAAATAAATCATGGCAAGCAATCCCAAATGACTCCTTTAAGAGATATGGAGGGTTACCTTTTTTATTGAAGTGTAATTATGATTCTAACCTCGTAGACAAACGACCTCCTCTCTTTTATAGTGAAATGTTGGATAATTTTAAGGAACTGCGTACAGGTCACCCTGATGTCTATAGAAGTGAATTAGTTCTTTGGGATAACAAGGAAATCACGATAGAGAATAAATCTATATTTTGGGCACATCTTTTTGAGAAAGGAATCTCTTTTGTTCAAGACTTATTAGCCAAAACGGAAAATTCTTGTCCCTTGATAATTTACCAGTTAAATATAACGTTCACCTGAAATTTCTTCAATATTTTCAACTTATCGCTGCGATTCGAAGTTGCTTGAAGAAAACAGCTCAAGAAATTGCCGTAACGAAAAGAGACCTACTTAAGGAAGAAGAGGTTTTTTACTTTTCTGACAATAGACCTCTCTCCCTGACTAAACTGAGATGTAAGGACTACTAGTATTTATTTCAGGAAGGTAAAACTACAGAGCCTACTGCTGTTAAACGCTGGTCTAGCTTCTTTCCTTACTTTGCCACTAGCTGGAAGCAGTCTTTCAATTCAATTTGTAAATCGACTAAAGACAATAAATTAAGAGAATTCGTTTATAAAATTCTGCATAGAATTTTAGTAACCAACAAAGGAAACCAAATTCAGAATCACAAATGATGATCTTTGTGATCAGTGTAAGACTCCTGATTCACTGGAACACACCTTCTTACAATGCCCTGCAAATGTTAAATTTTATTATGAAATCTTATCATGGTTTAATGTTTCCCACAATTAATACTGTTATTAATCTTTCCCCGGAGCAAATTCTGATGCAGAAATATATCCCTGGTCCTATAAATGATAACCTCAGACGCCGACTAGAACTAATCATCCTGTGTATGTATACAGTTGTAAAACTAATGTGGTACCCCTTAACTGTACGCAATTTATTAATAATTTCAAAACACAATGGAAAATAGAAAGTTTCACTTAAAGTAATTATTTTCTCTCTTAGCCTTCTCACATGTAATTAACTAATAATTAAGTTAATAATGCAAATTGTAAGCAATGACATTATAAATTAGTATTACGTATGTTGATGTAAGTAATTTCCATTTACTTTTTTTTGTTCTCTTTCCTTTTAGTGTTTCTGTATTTTTTTTTTGTTTTTCAATGTCATTATTGCAAATAAAAATTAAAACAATTAGAAGATTCAGTCTCTATAAGTTTGATCCTCTCTAGATGTTAGACTAAGGTCACTGAGCGTGAGATCAAGGAAAATTGTCTCTTTTTTATGCTGTGAGACAAAGCAGAAAATGGCGTACTTCTATCTTTATTTCTTTTAGGACAATTGATGGAGTTGAGACAGCAGATGGAAAGTGTCCAAGAGCAACTAAGACAGAGAGACGGACAACTAAGCGAGGCGACACAACAGCTGACAAATGTTCAAGGGCAGCTACGGGAGAGAGATGGAGAATTGAGGCAGATGACACAGCAGCTGACAAATGTTCAAGGGCAACTACAGGAGAGAGATGGAGAATTGAGGCAGAGGACACAACAGCTGACAAATGTTCAAGGGCAGCTACAGGAGAGAGATGAAGAATTGAGGCAGAGGACACAACAGCTGACAAATGTTCAAGAGCAACTACAGGAGAGAGATGGAGAATTGAGGCAGAGGACACAACAGTTGACAAATGTTCAAGAACAACTACAGGAGAGAGATGGAGAATTGAGGCAGAGGACACAACAGTTGACAAATGTTCAAGGGCAACTACAGGAGAGAGATGGAGAATTGAGGCAGAGGACACAACAGCTGACAAATGTTCAAGAGCAACTACAGGAGAGAGATGGAGAATTGAGGCAGAGGACACAACAGTTTACAAATGTTGAACGACAGCTGCAAGAAAAAGATGAAGAAAATACTTCCTTGGAGGAACAACTGAGGGTAAAAGAACAAGAAGTGAATGAACTAGAGATATCTCTTTCAACAGCTCAGCAAGCGTTACGTGGACATCCACGCCAACAGTCACCTGACTGGGTCATTTCTCGTGATCAAATTCAGCTGACAGACAAATGCCTTGGCAAGGGAGGCTGGGGGAGTGTTGTCGAAGGTAAGTATTGTGGCTGCACTGTTGCCGTCAAACAGATTTACGATGTGCTTCTGAGCCTCTCCCCCCATAACAGAAAATTGTTTGAACGAGAAATGAGCATCGCTTCAAAATGCCGCCATCCTTGTTTGCTGCAATTCATTGGAGCAACAAACGATGAAGGAAGTCCTCTGTTTGTGACAGAGCTCATGGAATCGAGTTTACGAAAACTGCTGGAGCAGCGATCTCTTTCAACAACTGAAGTGGCTGTTATTTCTCTGGACGTGGCTCGAGCATTAAATTACTTACATCAAAAGAAACCACGTCCTATTATCCACCGCGATATCAGCAGCGCCAATGTGTTGCTATGGAGACAAGCTGACCAATGGCGAGGCAAAGTGTCGGATTATGGTGCTGCTAATATTATGCAGCATACCATGTCAGTTTGTCCAGGTGCTGCAGTATACAGTGCTCCTGAAGCGTTTACCAAAAATCAAACAGTGAAGGTATGTTGTGCAACTCATGTAGCATTATGGTATCCCTACGAGATATCAGCAGCGCCAATGTGTTGCTATGACAACAAGCTGACCAATGGCAAGGCAAAGTGTCGGATTATGGTCCTGCTAATTTTATGCAGCATACCATGTCAGTTTGTCCAGGTGCTGCAGTATACAGCGCTCCTGAAGCGTTTACTAAAAATCAAACAGTGAAGTTGTGTTTGTACTTGTTATTGTTTCAAGTGTGATTTTTATCCCTGCGAGAAACCGAAGTAAAATCTACATGTTTTTAAATATATATTTGTTCATGGGATGATGAACCTCTAGGCCTTTTGAGGCTTGTGCCAGACTAAGCTATATACTACACAATCTGGATCAAAAGACCGAAGATTGAGCTATTCGGGAAAAAGGTTAAAGACTCCAATGGTCGAGTTCGGTCGTCGAGCACCGAATGGAATATAAAAAAAATGATGCATAAAAGATTCATTAGTCGTTCTATAATAATCCGAGTCCTTGGAAGTAATAAAACCTATGTCCTACTGATTACCGCCTAGGATTGGTAACTTCGGAAGTGACGTGAGTTGTGTGTGTATAGAGAAGTCAAATGATGCATATGGTGATAAGTATTTTTGTGGAACTATAGTGTCGTTAACCAGAAACCCCTTATGAGTTTCTGCGTTAACTAAATATGCCTTTTTTTAATTATCATCATTTTTTTTTGTCTTCAGGTTGATGTTTACAGTTTTGGTGTTCTCCTCTGCGAAATTTGCATCAGAGAACTGCCAAATCCTGACAGGCGTGACGAGCAAGTTGCCATGGTAACAAACCGCATGCTTCGAGCTCTTATCCGGGGATGTTTGCATCAAGATCCTCAAGAGAGACCTAATATGGAAGGCATCATCGGTGAACTAGAAAAACTAGTTTAAGATAGGCTTGATAGGATCTGTTCTTTAATTTTCAAGTTAAACTTTTTTCACTGCAATACCAGGAAGTAAACGTCTCCAGAGATAGAAGGATAGCCCTTCCCACTTCCACCACTAACCCAGTTATGACAGTGAAACGTGAACTGCATGGGTACCGAGAACTGAGATATATCCTGCGTTGCCAGTCTCACTCTACACGTACTATATTTGTTTATACTATATAGACAAACTCCATTTTATATTTTGTAGTAATTTTAGCATGTCAGATTTGAAGAGTGCGGTCATGCGCACATGCGTTTTTGTTAAATATGCCTCTGTTCTATACAACTGTTAGGAGGCAGCGTGGTCATGTGCATGATCGCGTTGGACTCGCGCGAAATCCGGAAGTCGCATGTTTCATTCCGCAATCTGGAGATCCTGAGTCCCGCTATAACCACCAGATGGGTCGGTTTAACGTTCTCCCTCGACCCCGCTTGTAAAAAGCCAACTGGTTTGCCTCCTGCTAAGCTGGATTTTTCATCGTGTTACGTTTGAATTGAATCATTTGTTTCTAGTTATCTGAGTGGGGTGCCTGTGAAGTAGCTGGGTAGCCAAGTGCCCTTCCATTATAAATATGACATTTACGTTCGCCTTTTTTCCTGCAATCAGTATAGGTTCGTGGCTGTCGGTACAGTAGTAAAGAATTAGCATTGATGAAACTGTAAGAGCAGTCTCTGAACAAGTGAAGTATCCATGTTTATATTCCTATAAACATGAAACTGCGTTCAATTCAGTCAGGCGGCTGCCGTACCTTAGTCCTAGTACTAAACCTGAGATCACTTGATTTGATGTCGGCATCATACGGCGGTAGCTTCTAAAAGTAGATATCAATCTTTGAAGTGAAATAAAATGCATATTATCCTTACCATACTTTTTATTGTTCTGTAGAACTTATAGAGATTCACTCAAACAAACATTCCAAAAATTCGGACATATCAGGGACCACAGGATAGAAGGATCGAGGGATCATTAGAAATAACTGGAGGGCTGACAATTCCCCGTAAAAATGATTGTGTCTTGAAAAGATCGATAACCTCTCCTAAAAAAATGCTGCAGATAAATGAGACACTGATTAAGAAATAATAAGGTAGAACAAGGAATCAAAAAAGAAGATTTAAAGAATACAAGGGAAACTCAGTCATGCATATTACGTTGACCTCCAATAAAAGCGGGGCCAATAAGACGTCCAAGTAGTCCTTAGATTAGTTCTCCGCACTTCATCAAAGGGCAATCACGATCCAATGCTTATTTAGCTCTAATAAATGTGTAGACTCGAAATAAGGAAGAGGCATCTATTTTACTATTAATCATTTCTTTTTGATTTGGGAAATACTCCTAAGTTCGTTTTCAGGTTTAGTTTGCATACTTAGGTGGATTCAGAAATGTTTGATATAAAGGGTGAGCAATCTTTTCCTACGTTTTAAATTTATAACTGGGAATTATCAGCTCTCACTTCTGACACTACCCGCATTTCACTTGTTAAAAGATTTAAATAACATATACTTTAAGCTTAGAGGTGAATTGTTGTGTATTCGAGTTTGCAATTTCAGTTGTAAGTCAAGTAAGTCAACAATCCGCTTCCGTGGCCTAAAAGACCCATTTAAGCGGGGAATGTAACATTAGTGAAAAAATGTTAGTAATGATAGTTTTTAAAAAGTAAGCGATCGTAGAACGCTTCCTTTAAACTTTAGATCTACACGAAGAAAGTTCTATGAAATCGTTTGGAGTGGTGTGATTCATAATTTGATTAGACAAATCAACAGTAATCAAGGGCGGTTCGATAGGAAGTCCATTAAACGTCACGAACTTTCTTTTAGAGTTCGCAGTTCCCATTTTTCTCTTCTTTCTGTTCAAAGACCATTCAAACACCTGCTCCGCGCCTTGGCCATTTTCAGGAACCAGAAGAAACTCATTTTGAGTTGGCTTTGTTTGATTCCACACTTCCTGAATTTCCCTTTCTCGTGTTTCAACTGGTACCGAACGTCCTTCGAAAGTGGCTGTCTGACACGAGGGAGCTAGATTAGTTTTGATTCCATCCACAGGGTTGATATAATACTCCGAATTCGAGTTAAAATTGTGCAAACGAACAAACCATTTTCTATCATTTGGCCGGATTACCATAGAACTCGGACTGCGCATGGCTTGTGGGCCTTCACGCCTCATATAAAGTATAGTATCGCTCAAAGAAGCTTCATTCATGTTTTGTGAAATACCCAGAGCGCTGAAAACTTCTTCTTCGATGTCTTTTTTTCTTTTTTCCCTGATACACTCATGGCAATACTTAGAGCCCATGATTTCGCAGAATTGCCTTCCTTGGGCCGCGTCAAAAAGACAGTTGTAACAGGTCGCCGTGTTAGTGTAGTCGCAAAAATACGGCGAAGGCGAACCGTTATACGTTTCTGCTCTGGAACGAGCGAAAACACCATTCTCTAACCTCCAATCTTTCCTGTCTTTTAAATCCCCGGTGCTGAAGGGTCTGTGGTCTCCCATGACATCAGGATCAGTCAGCGTATGCCTGCCCTCACTCCTTTTCGCTGACGCCTTTTTCGACCCAAGGAAAAATTCACGTTGAAACATTGTGGTAAGGAGGATTGGAGCCTCAGAACGCCATTACCGTGGAATTTAACTCAGACTGTCTGGTAGTTAATCCTATACAGGAACCTTGATTACACTCACAAACGATAGCCTCTGGGGTAGTTACTATTTGCCAAAATATAAAGCCCAGCACAGACAAAACGAGACGCGACTGAAATCCACTCAAACACCTTTCACCGTGGCGACCAGCGAACAACGTTTTCAATACTTTCTGTTTACTTTAGAAAAGTTCCTATTTATAACGTCTTTGAATTTCATTTTCCAGTCTATTAACTGCTAAGTACCATTTAGTAAGCTCTCACATTTGAAGCCAACCCTTGCCAAAGAACAACAAAGGAGGCTTAGCGGAACACAAAGGACAATAATCTTTCAGTTGTTTTCCATATAGACATTGTAATAATAGTGTCTTGTGTGGAAACTAACTAACGTCATTCCTCTGCTTTCTTTCTTACTTGGCAGAAAATAACTGAGAAAAAGGTTACCGGAACGTTTTCGAAATCTACCCAGCATTTTCTCAAAAAAAACTTAAACGGATTTTGGAGCGCAGTATAAAATGAAGTTTTTAACCATGCAGTTAATTACATGCTAGCCTTCAACTCCCTTCAATACGTTTAATATGGTTAAGTCGATGTCTTTACCAGTGGTTCAAGATATCAACATTCGTATATATGTTGTAATGTTGAGCATTTTACTGAGCATTTTATTGTTTTTGATTTTGTAATTTAAGCGGTCTAGCCTGTGTAGCATTCGTTTGTATTAGTTTCATTCAAGAGAGGATATTCTCTCTTGCTTCATTTTAGGCGAAGCGAGAAGCGCACCAGACGCGCGAGGTCATGAAATCAACCAAAATGGAGCAAAAAATTAGGAGCCCCTAATACTGTTAATCCTTTTTACCTCATGGGCCTGGCGCGCGTCTCATGTGCTTTTCCCGCGACTGCTACAGAGACCTTCATCAACCGCGGTCACGATTCAAACTCAATGAACGAAAGAAGAAGGGTCTCTTTCAAAACTATGATAATCTATAACTAATTCTGATAACGCAAACCTCGGTCCCAACAGGTAACAGCTTCCCCTGGCAAAGCGACTATAGAGCGTTTTCACATGACGTCACGGTCATGGCGGCCATGTTGGTGTTCCAAATCAATTCTGTGCGAGTTGAACACTTTCTAGACGTTTTCGATTCTTCTAGTCGATTTGCATACTAATTGAATGCTTGCCGCGTGAGTGAAAAGTGGCTCCAAACCTGGTTTAAGAGTTCCAGAAAAAAAGTGATCTACCTTTGTGCTCAAATATTAAAATTTTCTTATGTTGACGTTCTTTTTTGCTTCCAACTAACATTTGTTGTTCATGTTGGTAAGAATGAACAAAACGAGTTAATAATTGTAAAAATTTTAAGATATTCCTATTTATTTTTACTGTAAATGATTTTTAAATGAAGTTTCGCTTAGTTATATCAATAAACTTTTAATGATATTTCAGCTTCATTAGGATAATCTCAGTTCATTTGCCGATATTATCTAATGTATACTTTTCTCTGTGTCAAGTATCTTCAATAAACTGAGAATAATCTTATTCAAAATTTTTATTCAATTATTTGTTCAGTTCTCCAACAAAATGTTGACTGATCAAACAAGAAATAGATTATTGATGTTAAGTCAGCGAGTTGCGAAATGATAAGCATTTTCCGCCGCAAATTATTATTGTCTCAATTAAAGCTCTTTTGATAGAGGGACGAAACGCAAAGTCTAAATTTTAACCGGACATTTGCATTTTTAAGAAGGATCATAACCGAGTAAACACGTTTAGAATGCACCATACGAAGGGAATCGATTTTGAAATTTAAGGTTATCAAAGGTAAGCGCAAAGTTACACTTGTCTGCCAACTTTAGAGAAGTAATTAGAATATTGTTGTATTTTTCTACATAGTGAATGTGCTGTTGGGTTTTTGCTGCCTCGGCTGCTCCTGTTGTTGTTGTGTGTGTGTTTTTTTTTTAGCAAAGTTACGATGGCATAAGAAAAAGTTTTTATACGCTACACCAAATACTAATAAAATAAATTTTTACATACAAATTGAACTTGTTTGTTTCATTTTGCTTTTTGTTTTTTGCAAGTTACAGATGATGCGTCTGTGTTGGGGTTTGAGTTCTCGTCTTTGATTCAATCATCTGGTTTCCATACTTTATGGACTTGGTCTGGCCAGTTTTATTACTGTCCTTGTTTTCGCCCCCAATGTACTTTGGTGCAGACCTTCAACCGGAAACGCAGAGGCAAGAAATATAATATTGTAGTTAAAATGCCTGAAAGGGAACAATTTTCCTTTCACCGAGCGTGCACATAAACACAACCAACCTCGTCCCCAGGGCTTCTTTTCCCTTGATAAATGGAAAAGCCCTGGGGACGAGGCTGCGAATAAAATCAAGAAAGCTAATAAACAAGACGAAACACTTAGACTGTTGTTAATGGTTCACGTTGGTTTACCAGTTTTCTGAACACATTATGTCGCTCCCAGGGTCTCCGTTTTGGGAGATAGAACAGTACATACAATACAATGCAATGCACTGCAGTGCAGTGCAGGCGCAGCACAGCATAGCAAAGCACAGCACAATTCAATACAATACAGTACAATGCAATACAATGCAGTGCAGTTGCAGTGCAGTTCAGCGCAGTAAAGGCGCAGCACAACGCAGCACAGCACAACACAACACAATACAGTATAGCAGTACAGCACAATACAGTAAAATACAATAAAATACAATACAACATAAAACAATACAGTACAGTATAGTATTATACAATACAATAAAATGAACGTGACTGGAGAAAATAAAATACAATCACAATTACAAAACAAAAACAGAACAAACTTTAACCAACCATATTAAACATAATGGTAACTATAATATGTTTACTTAGTACGTTTATTTACTAAAATAATAATATTTGTTTTTACCAAAATAGAGAGACCGTTCTTATGTCCAGCAGTTTTGCCAGATCATTGCAGTGATATGTGGCAGACAACGTACTTCAAACGAGACAAATCAGCGTTAAAAGATCTGAAAGACCAGGTGTAGGTTTGCTGCTATTATAAAAAAGGTAGCCTGTGGAGACCTCGGGATGACTTGGGATGGTATTCCTGTTGTACATTATTTACTGTAGTGAAACAAGTACGCTTGAGTCCAATCAGATAGCCTGGTCTTTAATTGTGGATCGTTTACAATAAACAACTTTTCAAGAGAACTTTTTAATAAGCATACACGGTCCCCTCCAGCAGGCCGATAATGAATCAGGAGCTGATTCGAAAAATCAGTTCCAAAACTAGAATTTTTATGCTGATTTCTATGCTGTTTTGGATGCTTTACTTCGTGTTGCTACTTTATTGTCATTTGTGTATTAATTTTTGGAAAAAGCATGATTCCCTATTCTCAGAGAGCAAGCTGGTCTCATGCTGGGTATTCCCTCTTCTGACATCTCGGAAATAGTAGCCAGGGACTAGATTATACGTCTGCGACACGCAGGCTAGAACAAGTAAAAACGTTAAAGCTAGAGCAATATTTGCTTCTTCTGTTTCAATGAAAGTTGACAGATTTCTCAAAGCCTCCTTTGAAACCAATAACTCCCAGTTAACGTTATTTCACTGGTCCTTACGTTTTTCTGTTTTATGGGTTTATAAATTCCTCTGGCTTCTACCAGCAAATGAGTTTAAAAGAGGAGGGATCAATAAATCATTTTAAACAAAAATTTGTTTGTTACAGATTCTACAAGTATTATCGAATTTGCTTTGAACTAAAATTGGCTGTTTTGGAAGCTTTGTCGTGTGGAAGCTCAGTTCAGTAGGTGGAAAAATTCGACGAATTACTCGGTTAACTTCACGGCCAGCATTTTGAAGTTCCATGTATCAGGCGGGCTCCTGGAAATTTTAGCAGGGTTACGACCACTACAAGCACTATCGAAACTGGGTTTTCGAAAACACTTCTCGATCCTCTTGGAGACCGTAAGGGAGCATGGTTGACTGATTTGAAAACTACTGCGAGTGCTAATGACACTAATATAAGCAAAATTCTGCCTCCTGCGTGAGATGAACACATTCGTTGCATGGCAACGCAAAAAAAAAAAACAGTCTGTAGTTAAACAAGGACAGGCGCCTTGGAGCGAGCAACTCTCATACTAGTCCTATGTCACTGCGTTTTTGTGGACCATTTTATTTTTTGATACATTTTAGAGCACTTTTTCCCGCCAAAATGAAGCTCCACTCTGTTCATGAACGCATTATAAATATATAACGTGACAAAGGAAAAATAAAAGTCATTAAAAGGTCAAAAATGCCACTGTTAGGGTTTTTGGTTTTGCTGACAGGTTAGTGGGACCTGAAAGATATTCTAAATTCTCGCCAAAATCGTTCTTCAAAAAATATACTAGTCAGTGAAAACGCAGTGGAACGAGTACATGCATGGACGTTACTTGCTCCGAGTTATGGACTCCTGACAAGGACGGTTGCCCTGCCTGGCCGAACGGGGAGTTGGGGTTACCGGGGTCGCTTACCTGGACTTACTGTCTCGGCTTTTAGTCAAACAAAGCTAGTGTTTATTTGAACTGATATTGTTAATGTCAAGGAAATAAGCAGCTTTTCTTGCTATACAGGAAAAAGAACATCGCTTACTTAAATACATTGGAAACGATTATTGAAGCAAGTACTGGGTATAAAACAAGATGCGACAAGGCTATTCGAGGCTAGGGACGTAAAATTCCCGCACCTTATAGCTTTCACCTATGTTGCGTGCAAAACGTTATTCTAACTTGTCGGCACTGTTGGAGTGAAATAGTCAACTATCAAAAGGCTTCAAATCAGTCCAGCTAATATCTCAGAGTCCAATTTGCTGTTATAACAGATTTAACTGAATTTATTCACACTATCTCACAAAGACCACCTACGTACCCAACCTTTTCAACCAAGAAACAGATAGAACGAGGGTAAAACGGCTAAATATATCTAGATATCTGTTACCTACGTTTGGAGCACGACTGTAAAATGTTCCTTTCTAATATATTGTCAGCAATATATATTGGTAAGTTTGCCAAGTATTTCCAATAGCCTTCCAATACTCAAAGAGAATGTTATCTCTAGAATTATAATGCAGACACGTTCGCAGTCGAATACAAGAACTGTTTTAGCTACATCACTTTATGCAACCTGTAGAGTTAAGGAAGCAAATATGTCGGGCGTTCTGGGAGTGCTATTTCTCCTCCTTGCAGCAACTGCTGCTCTGAAAACCGTCTTAGATGAAAAACAAGACCAAAAAGATGCAGCCGAACCTATGGAATTCATCAGCATTCCTGCAGCTTTACAGGACATAAGCAAAGATGATATCGACGAACTTTATTCTCAACGTGCAGATATAAACGGTAAGAAAGCTAAAGAGATTAGAGAGCATCTGAGATGTTTTGGGTGAAAATTATCTTTTTTTCTTGCCGTGCAGAAAGCTTTCCTTAAAATCAACGGAGAAGATTTATAGAATGAACTTTCCGGGGTAGGGGCGGGGGGGACCTCCTACAATGGCCTGCAAGGGAGGCTCCGCCCAGGGTTTAGGCATAAAAAAGGGTAGATACTTCAAGGGTAAGGGGTTACATTAGGGACGGAGCCTCCCTGTCAAAACTTTTTTTATTTTCCCTCTCCCCCCGGGATGCGCATTTGAGTGTTATTCCCCCGGTTATTCCATGGTGGCAGACACATGATCAATCCTCGCGTAGGACGTGGTAAAGACAAAGATGACGACGATGAACGGATACTGAGGATTAAAATATATGTGACAGCGGACAAGCGTCAGGCAAGGACCTTTTCTAGTGAATGCATCATTCAAGAGGACTGAACAGGGCCCCCAAGGTCTTGAACCTGTTTTGCCATCAGGGAGGCAAAATATCGGCTATTATTCCAAACTACGTTACTGGCTTCCGGACTGGATTGCAGTCTTAGGAATTGCATTTTGACGAGGCTTTAATAATCATTCCTGGAAACTTGTTATATATGACGGACAGGACAACATAAAACGTTTTTAAACATTATTTACGTGTCAGGATATTTAGCTTACAAGCTTATTTCTTTTCTTTTTGACTCATTTGCAGATGCTGCAAGCGTGGAGAACGAGATGAACGAAGCCTTTAAAGAAAACAGTAAAGATATCGAATTTGACGAGAGGGGCGAAACTTCTAACGAAGACAAATTAGGAGACATAGAAGGCGAAACGGAAGACGCTTCAAACGAAGAAAGTAAAGTTGACATAGCCCGGGGCATAGAAAAGACCTCTTTTGAAGACAGTGAAGTTATGGCAGAAGAGATGGACGGAAAGTTTGACGAAGAAGGCAGATACATCACGAATGATAGAAAGGACGAAAGTTTTAACGAAGACAACGAAGGTAGCGCAGAGTATAAGATGGACGAAAGTTTTGAAGAAGATAAGATACTTGAAGAAGATATCGAATATGTCACAAATGATAGCATGGACGAAACTATTAACGAACATAGACATGGCCCCATAGACGAAGATCTCGAAGATGGGTACGCGCTAGGTAATGTACTGAGTTTTTTAACGTCATAAAAAAAGAGTATGAGAATAGTTTTAACTACCCCTTAGACTGCAAAACAGTCCGTATTTTTGCTTATTCAAGTACGCGCGAGCAGTCAACCAAAAGGTGTGGAACGAGGCTGAAAACAGAGAGCGAGCCACACACCCTACGGGCGTGTGAGGCTCAAGCAGTTCGCGCGCATAAGACTCTTACGCCACGCGTTACCGATTTCTTTACTGATTTTGAGGAAAAAACCGACTGTTTTGCAGTCTAGCTACCCCTCATTGCTTCTAGGGTATCAATTTGGCCTCGGTAAATCACGATCAGCTTCTCAAGACTAAACGTTTCACAAGAACTGAAAAATTTAGATCGAAGCGCGGGTTTTGAGACTGACATGTAACTAAATTGCAATTCAATAATTTCTAAAGGGGTCACAAAACTCGTTTCTAAGTTATAAGTAACATAAGATAAATAAGTTAAATTAAGAGTGCTTTGACAGACTATACCGTGGCTATGGTAAATGTTCAACAACAAAAGTCATTGGACGTATTTTGGTACAATGCATTACAGTGTCTCCGATCATAATTATCCTTTTTACATCATCAATATCATGCACTCGTTCTGACAATTTTCCACATTGTTTTAACTTTGATTAGAATTTACCGTGGAGGAAGACGAAAATTTCCCTTACAGATTTGAGAATCAAAAAGACCCAGTAAGCCATTGTGGTTTTGGGATCTACTACAACTCTTCTCACCAAGGGTGTTGTGGTACCAAGCATCGATACAACTTACGAACTCAGCAATGTTGCAATGGAACCGTAGTTAGCCTTTTCTACCTAAAGTGCTGCAATGACGGGAGCGTTGCCTCGAGGAATTCTTCATGTAGCCTGCCAACCAAGTGCGGGATTGTAAGATACAACATCTCAGATCAAGGGTGCTGTACTGGGAGATCTCGCAATTATGTGTATGACCTAACCACCCAAAAGTGCTGTTATGGTCGTGTCTACCCTACTAGTATTCCATGTCTACCAATATGTGGTTACGGGTTCTATAACGCATCGTATCAGGGGTGTTGTGATCGCAGATATGTGTATTACCTGAGTAACGAGAAATGCTGTTATGGTCTTGTAATTCCCAAAAACGAGTCCTGTGTGCCTTCCTATAAATGTGGTAATATCAGGAACTACGATCCAACGATCTACGGATGTTGCGGCGGCGACTACTTGTACTTTTTGAAGTATAGGAAATGCTGTTATGGTCATGTAATTTCCAAAAACGACTCTTGTCTACCCTCCCGCGGATGTGGTTACTCAAGTTACAACCCCGCGACCCATGGTTGCTGCCAAGGAAAATTGCCGTACTCTTTGAAATATCAGAAGTGCTGTTATAGTCGTGTTATTTCCAAGAACGCTCCTTGTATCCCAAGGTGCGGTCACAAGAACTACAATGCATCGTTCCAAGGGTGTTGTGCTGGCAAATACATCTACTACCTGAATACTCATAAGTGCTGTTATGGTCTTGTGATTCCTCAAAATGATTCCTGTGTGCCTTTCCCTAAATGTGGCTACTTAAGCTACAATCCAGCGACGCATGGATGCTGCAATGGAAGATATCGGTTCTCCTTAAAGTATTATCAGTGCTGCTATGGTCGTCTCATTCCAAACAACGCCTATTGCGTACCGTACCGCAAATGCGGCTTCGTAAGCTACAACCCAACCATCTACAGATGTTGCGGAGGCCAATACCTGTACTTTCTGAGGTACAGCAGGTGTTGTTATGGTCATGTTATTCCCAGAAGCCACTCTTGTGTACCTTTCCGCAAATGCGGTGATTCAAGTTACAACCCCAAAACCCATGGGTGTTGCAAAGGTGGTTTCGTGTACTCTTTGAAATATCAAAAGTGTTGTTATGGTCGTGTAATCCCAAAATCGTACGCATGCACGAGTTACATCTGTGGACTGTACCCCTACAACCCACGAACAGAAGGTTGCTGTAGTGGCAGGCAAAGGTACAAAAAAAGGATCAAGAGGTGCTGTGATGGTCGCGTGATCTTCAAGAAATCCACATGCCTACCCAAATGTGGTAAAGTCAGCTATAATCCACGAATACAAGGTTGCTGTAATGGCAAGTACAAGTACAGCAAAACGTTCCAGAAGTGCTGTAATGGTCGTGTGATCTTCAGGATATCCACATGCTTACCCAAATGTGGTAAAGGCACCTACGATCCACGAAAACAAGGTTGCTGTAATGGCAAGTACAAGTACAGCAAAAGGTTTAAGAAGTGTTGTTACGGTCGTGTAATCTCCAAGAAATCCACTTGCCTATTATACCCAAATGTGGCAAAGTCTCCTACAATCCACGAATACAAGGTTGCTGTAATGGCAAGGAAAGATACAACAAAAGGTTTATAAAGTGCTATTATGGTCGCGTAATTTCCAAGAAATCCACTTGCTTATCAAAATGTCGCACGGTGACAAACACAAGGTTGCTGCTGTGGCAATTCCAGGTTCAACAGAGGTTTGTGACTGACAAAACACGCTCTTGCTTGAACCGTGGATACAATTTGGCCATGCTTTTCTCATATTTCAATTAGCTTAGGTTTCATAGTGGTTTATAAGAACTTTTAAAATACGACTTATATCACGTGACACTAAGTTGTATGAAAATTACCAAAGAACCTTTTCACAACAGACGTTTTCAACAAAGCGAATGATGCTCACTGAACTGAGTTACTCGCCTTACTTGCACCTTTCGTGCTTGTTATCCCTTAACTTATCTCTAGCTCTGTAACCCTTAAAACAGATACATGTAACCATCATCCCTAGAAATTCCAATTAAGGCAGGGAACGCGCAGGGAGAGGTGCTGGGGGCGGACATTGCTCTCCCCGCGCCCTTTTAATTTTGTGCGAAATAAAAACATCTTTGCCAAAAATATAAAGTTACAGCATTTATGGTAGAGAATAAAGAGACTGTATATGTAGCTGAAAATATGCAATAATTATCGCGCTTGTTACGGCAGAGGCCAGCGGCGATTTCATAAAGACTCTTTACAGCTAACAAAGAAAGAACTAAAAGGATAAGTACACAGGAAGTTTTAAATCATTTTATTTTTCTTTTGTTAGTCCTTTATCAGTTTCCCTTGTTCAAGGTTTTACCCTGTTTCCCTGTTCCTCTATTCCCTTGTTCTCCTGTTCAAATTATTTTGTATTGCAGCAAATTCGCGTAAAATAAAGTTAGGCGCACATTGTTTACAAAAATTTCGCGTTAATTTGATGTATGTAAACCTAATTTTTGGAAAATTCGCGTTAAGTTTGTCTTCGTCAATTTTCTTCGCGATGTCAACGTGCATCGTTAATTTCCTACAATAAGGTAATTTATAGAATGTCAGTTTTTGCTAATCCTTTTCAGACAACAAGCTTCACACCTCTGCGAAATCGACAACAAGCCAGAATTTTCGAAACGAAAAGTATTTTTGGCACTTTCCTTTTTGTTATTATGAAACGTTTGTGTATGAGTATGTATATACCTTGTAATTTTACGTTGTTCTCCTTGTTTTGTAATGGCCAGATGACTCATGCTAACAGTGAAAACTGGCGAAGGAAAACAACTTTGACAAAGTAATTAACTCGAAGGTTTTATGCTAACCACGCCGTTTGAACCAATAAGAGAAGACTTACTTCAGCATCAGTTTTCACCAAGCAGGCTGGTTTTCTGGCTGATATAAAACTGGGTGAAGCACTGAATTAGCAGAGAATTGTATCAACGCAATAGAGTAAAAAGGAGGTTTCACTCCCAACAAATGAAGTTCATCGAGTGAGTCAAGCAAGCAGTGTCTTTGCTGACAGCCAAGCTAGTCCCCGTCAAAAAGACCTTCTAACGAGGCAAAACTTTATTTCATCTTGCTCGAATCTGCTGGCAATAAACTGCCATTCTACTACAAAACAACGTTAACTTCTAAAATGTTCCTTTTATTATCGATGTTCAAGGTTAAGATAACCTTCCTGAACTATTACCCTCCAAATCGAGTTCGAATTTAATATAAAAAAGAGTTGTTTCAATGAAGGCTATATAAACTGCAAAATTATGGATCGGCATTCATTCTTTCTCATTATAACAAAACTAAATTCACTCTACAATAAGAGAAAGGATTCAAACAGAGTACAGAGTGGTAACATATTCAAGCGCTTTTCGAATTCCGTGGGGTTATCCAGGGATCCCTCCCAAAATTCTATCACGTGAAATGGTTAAAACAAACTCCTTCGTTTGTTTGAACTTACAGATCGATGAAATCCTTTAAAGTGACTATAACTGACTATTTCAAGTGTTTGTTCGTTTGTCCAGTTTTTTTTTTAAGTCGAAAAAACAACATTTGACCCTTAAAGCTGATATAGCCGAGCAGTAACATAAGATCTCTGCCCATATCACTCATATAGGTAATGATAAGGACCGATTTGATCTCCAAGGATGAAATCACTATCTCGATTGGCAAACAGTTTCTCCTTATTATACTAAAAGAAAATTACATTTATGGGTATCATTTTGGAGAAAAAGCAATATTGGGGCTTTAAATGTCAACCCTAAGTTTGCTGGTTTTCTTTGAACATTTCTTTAACTCAAATGAAAGACAAATAGCTTCGACCCTTCGTAGTAATTTTAAATCATCTGCTTAACAGAGAGGGTTGTGACTAAAGTGAACGCAATGGAGAAGAAATCATTATGGAATTTTGTCGCTTTGCAGTTACGGTGAATTTATTCTTCTATACATGAGACGTACTATACTACTCTTTGTAAAATTGGAAAATTAATTATTTAAATCAAACATCTATGCAATGGCTTTAGCCTCGGGCAGGAAGCCTTCCCAGTGCTTGATAAGCTACAAGAAAACAAGACAAAAAGAAAAGAGTAAGGTTACAATTCACCGTTTTTTGTTTACCACCTGTGAAGTTTTGCAAAACTATTGTTTCCACAAGACCATTTCTGACTTCTTATAACTCTCACTTTCAAAACGAGGCAAAGTGCAAAACCTTTCTTGTGAGAGTGAGTTTATTTACATGAAAATGAAATCCCGTTTTCATAACAATAGCTTTGCACTAAGCTTCGTCTTGAAAAGCTTTGGGTAACTTGGAAATAGCCCATTTCTACTGGGTATCACATTTGTCCCAAGACAAATTAAAGATAATGCTTATCCAAATTTTTCTTGTGGGTAAACGAGGTGTATGATGGGCAATGCGAAAATGCACATGGAAGAGAGGATGGCACAGTGGTGTGGGCACTGTGGACTTAGCTTCAATCTCAGAATTGACAAGCGCCCCGAGTTTCACTAGTTTTCTTGTGCATGGAGCTCCACTAAAAATACCAGCCCTCAACTCCTCCCTGCACAGTAACAATTTACATACCTGTTGCTGGCTTTCCATCATTGCTTCTAGGTACTTGATAATGGCTTCACGGAAATCCTTCACCCGGTTTTTCTGTGGAGAAAAAAACCCCCACCTCATTAGTCTCGAAAAAAGTAAAATCAACAACGACAACAACAAAACGATTCATATCCATAATACTGGGAACATTCTCTGCTTGATGAGCAAAGACACTACTTATGTTAATCCTTTCGCTGCCAAACTAAGCCATAGACAAACTTTTAAAATTTCATTTAGTAAACTACTGAAGAACAAATTAATAGCGCCATGTGAAGGTTCTGTCAACAAGGTTACGTTTGAATGGTCACACCACAAGATTTTGTCCTCAGACGCAAACGTTAGAGCCACTCTCTGGAAGTAAAAGTGTTTAGTAAAATCCAACTAGTGGTCCATTATCAATGCTGCGTTCTGATTGGTTGAGCTACTACTAGGCTATGTTATAGCCCACTAGTAGCGAAAAGCGCGGGCTTTTTGGCGGCAAAAAAGGATTAAAGTCCAGCTTTAACCAGCTAAAAGTTTTTTATTCTCGATATTTTTGACCAACTAGTTCGATTTTACTAAAACAATTATTCCTGTCGCTCTCATGGCCTCTGAGTCAATAGCCCATTCAGCCTTCGGCCTCATGGGCTATTGACTCAGAGCCCATTTGGGCTCGAGGAATAATTGTTAATTATCGTCACTTATGGTAGCTTTGTTTATCACACACTGATTTATACTGCAGGCTGTTTTGTTTTGATGTCTTTTGCTCTCCATGCAATGACCATGAAGTACAGTGGGTCTTTCTTACCTCAAATCGTGCCATCTCCTTTTGAATTAGTTTCGATATTTTACCAAAGTCTTCTTCTCCCTTCTCTACCTTGTGTTCCCACTGTAAGTAAATATAAAGAAAGATAACTCTTAAGAAAAAAAACAACAACAACAATGAGAAACAATGATCAGGGCAGTAGATGCATGTAGCAAAAGGCTTGCAGAGGCACTTGCACTTTACTTTCTCCTCTGAGGAAAGAATGATGACCATTTGCGGTCTACAGGTCTAGTATCTCTGAATAATAATAATAATAATAATAATAATAATAATAATAATAATAATAATGGAAACTTTATTTGTGTTTTTGAATGTACAATTGTAAATCTCGCTACGTATAGGCAATTTACAAATGCTGCTTGAGATTGGATTATTTATAAAAAGAAAATAAAAACAGAAAACAAAAAACAAAAAACAAAAACAAAACAAAAGCCAGAAAAAAGAATATCAAAATTGCATTAAGTCTGGGCTATCCCAGTTCCTATTTCTACAACAAAAGATATAATATGTTGCTCTAATGGCTATATTTATCACTTTCTTGATGATATAACGTTGCTGCTTTTTGTCAATGTCATTCGTCACGTTGAAGAACGTGGAGCATTCATAATAATAATAATAATAATAATAATAATAATAATAATAATAATGATAATAATAATAATAATAATAATAGTAACAATAAAACATAAAAGGTTAGTTAATCCATAATTTTCACCTCTTTGACTTCCTCCTGTGCTTGTGGCAATTTCTCATTTTTTGAGGCCAGCTCCAATTTGACCAGGGCTTCCCTTTTCTTGGTCAGCATCTGCTGTGCATGCTGCCAGTTGCTGTAGGCACGAACACGTTCATTGAAGCTTGCCTAAAAGAAAAAAAAATTCAGTTTGCTACTTTTTGTTACAGCTTTTGACTAACACTTTGGGTTTACATAACCCAGTCTTCAGGTGAGGATGCATTATCCTTATTTATTATCTTTTTGCCTACAAGGTTGATGATTGCATGCTATAAAAATAACAGAAAAAACTATCCAAGAAAATGCTTTTGAACAAAAGAAAAATAAACCTGGGTTAAATTTAACGCTGGGTTAAGCACTAATCGGCCTTCAAACAACTGGGCCGAGAAGTTCATACTCACCTTGACAGCTTGAATCAAGCCAATGTAGTCCTTTAACAGTTCAGCCAATACATAAAAATCAGAGTCCGCCTACAAAAAAAAGAACATGAGTGATTCAATGAAACTGATAACAATTCTCTTATTCTAGCAGGATAGTACAGACAGTGTTAACCCTTTAAGTCTCAATAGTGACCAGCAACAATTTTCTCCTAACAATCCCCATACATTGCCAAGAGATAAGGTTATAAAACAAAGATTACTAAAGAGAAAATGCCTTGATCTTATATTAAATTCTCTCAAGTAATTCTTAAAGGAAATGTGTGGAGACCAGCTTGGAGAATTTGTATGTTGATATTGGGACTTAAAGGGTTAAGGTGCTACAATGGTCTAATACTGACAACTAGCTGACAGGTCAGATCTAAAGTTAATTACAATCTTGTGTATACCTGGCCTAAATGAAGCTGTTCAATTTTCTCTTCAACTTCAGCCAACTGGGAAAGTGCACGGGACAGTGTAGCATGCTCTTCTGCATTACCTGTAAAAAAGAAAAAGAAAAAAAAAGAAAGAAAATATATAAGAATGTCACTTTATGTGGTATGCTGTTTAAGAAAATAGCACAGGCTCTAAAAGGTAGGTGCTGAAAACACTCTTAAAGTTCTACCATCTCAGATAAGTCAATAGTACAATGTAGCTACAGGTGAATGTTGTATATTGCAGATTCATATTGTTTATCTGCTCTTTTCAATCAAAATGTATATCAAAGGCTCAACAGCAGCTTTTAGAATGTTATTATTAGAAGTACTGTGGTAAAATAAAACTGTAGGTTTTTCACCACAATCTACTTACTCAGCATTGCTGTGGACTTGGCAAATGCAGCAGTTGAAGAACTCAAATCTAAGTGCAGAAACAAAACAAGATAAATGTTAAATTGCAGTTGCCATGACTTTCAAGAACAAGTTGGTAAATTCCAAATAAGAAAAAAGTAGCTGTTGGTCGAGTTTGCTTAACATAATTGGTGATTTGCAATGTACAGTGTATGTATTCCAAACACAGGAATTTTTAAGTCATAAATGTCTTTGAAAAACGGTCTGAGTCTGTACTGTATTTCTTTGAAAACACCCAAATTTGCACAGAAACTTGCATAAGACTTGAGCAAATTCTAAAGTTTTTTGCTTACAAAAAAGGCTGTGGGGAAATTCAAGTTATTTACAAGTGATTGTTTCCTTGTTATTTTCAGTTTTTTAAGGTACTTTTCAAGGCTTACAACTAACCGAATCAAAAAACTCGAAAATTTTCTTTTCTTTTTCAATTATTGTAGACCAACCTTTGCGTTGTACAAAAAGCATTTCTATACTCTGATGAAGTTTCTTAAGCTGCTGGTCCAGAGTTTCAATTTGCTGCTGCTTCTCCTCAAACCACTGCAAGTGAAGGTCAATCCATTTAGCATAAATATTCAGACACATGTGCATGAAATTTACATTTAGGTGATTAGTGCAGAGCTATGAGATGGACCTTAAACTCAACATCAGGGCCTTCACCACTACAAATTTCATATACCATTCACAATTATTGGTTGCATACCAAAAGAATCCCATGAACGTGGACAGATTTTGCAAAACCCTTGCTTAATAGTTTATGAAGTGACACTGACCACGGAGTTTTTTTTATGTTTGCTCGCTTGACATTAATTAGCTGTGCAAATTACATTTTCATAATAATATTATTTTGATAACCATGAAAACAATTTTGCAGTACATTTTACAGTATGTATAATAATACCTCAGTAACTTTTATTATCAACTTTGGTTTAAGGGTTGAGTTAGTTAAGGCAGCTTAGAGGCCTTAGATAGCTTAGATACCTTCTTGGGTATACTTATTATAAAATAAAATGACCCTTTTACTTCTGATGTTTACTATTAACAATTCAGTTGAAACATACTTGATCAGATTCAGACATCTTTGTGGTGAGATGAAACATGGTGTCCCCAACAGATTTAACGAAGCGCTTCAAACCTCCACCACTAAAAGCTGCAGTGTCTTTAGCTCGGGGCAACTAACACACAAAAAGCAACAAACAAATTAACAGAAAATTAATAACGGAAGCTTTACCACATACAACAGAAAGAAAACACTGCCTTTGATAAACAATAAGAGATGCTTTCTGTCTGATGTACATTCAAGAAAGACTTAAGGCATGTGAAACTTAAATATTTCAAAATGAAGTTACAATATCTTAACAAGGCCCTCTTGGGGGGGCTGGGCGGGGGGTACAAATGTCCCTAGTAGGAAAGTCAGTATGGTTGTTTTCCATTTTGAAGAGTAGGACATGTCCTTGTCAATCTTTTTTAAACTCATCTTTATGTTGCTTTTCCACTTTTCATTTAGTCTCATTTTGCTGTAGACTTTCTAAAAGTCCTTTATTATTTTTTTCTGGTTGGTTATGCCATTTTAAAGGACCTTTCATACCTGTTTCATTTTCAAATCACTGGTCCAAAATTCTATGGGTGAGACCTCATGACAATTGACTAATAGGACAGTGAGTGATATTTCACACTACTCCTGACACAGCACATGTCAATCCTTTTTTTCCCAAGTGAATTTATGATATGATTCAAATCCATTCAGGCGAAACAAGTCGACCTTGAGACTTTGTCACTCGCTTGGTCGCTGTAAGACCTCATGCATTAAAGCTCAATTCGCTCACTTTTAAGAAATTAAGAGAGGTCAACTTGTAGCAAATCTGATGTCTCTCTTTCAAGGCCATGTTGCTTGTCGGAATTTTATGCTAACAGGCTAAGGCCTCATTAAAAGTGGTTTTGCTTTGTCTCAGCAGGAATATCCTTTTTCCTCAAATTAATCTTTTTGTGGAATGCAAGAAAAGCCACAAAAAACATAAAAAACTGCAACAGGGTACATGTAACCGAAGTGGAAAAATCATAAAATCATTTGAGGTAGGAATTTATAGCACATAGAAAAAGTCAACTTAAGCCAAAAAACAGAGAAGGTCAAATAGTGAATCATTGAGTACCACATCAGCCTCTAAAAACTGTCGAAAGTCTGGATCTTCACGGAGTGTTGGATGCCGTGCTACTCTGTTAAGATATCTGAGGAGCAAAGAAAGGGAGTACATTTAAGCTTGCAACATTACACAACGTAAGTGACCTAATAAACGCCCACTTCCAAATAAATGCCTCTTATCCATATAAGAACCACCTCCTCTATGCTGTTAAATTGTATTAGAAGCCCCTCTTGAGTAAACGGCCCCTATCTAATAGATGCCGCCTCTGAGAATCACTCCAAAACAGTAGGAATTAGCAGAAAGGAATGAAATCATTCAATTCTTTCAGTTTCTTGCTTCTATTAACATAACAAGGCTATGAACAGCAGTTAATACTGTAGACATTATTGGTGTTACATGTTGTAGTCGCCATCATCCCTACCTTTCCAAAGCAGCTCTTCTCTTGTTAATGAAATCCACTGGAGTATTTTCTTCACCTTTTCCCAACTTGACCATGGTCATTCCTATAAAATGACATCATAACACAGATGAATACGCTCAGAAGTCTACATCAAGAAAAATATTCAAACTGGAGCAGGGTTGTAGCTAACGGAGAGGCAGGTTTTTCAGTCAATTACCCCTTCAAAACATCCCAAAGCTTTGTTTTTTAGAGTAATTTGAGCCAGTGGTAAGCTCATTTTCCGCCAGTTAAAATAGCTGCCAATGAGTGCTTAGAAAAATCTTTGCTGAAGTACACGTACAGGGCGTATCCTTTTTTTTTTTCAAGAGAGGTAAGTTCAATAGGATTATGAGGACTTCAACGACAGTAATGTTAGGCAGCATTATTTTGTAAAACTCTTGAAGAAATTTACCTACAAGAGCCTATTTAAGGATGCTGACACCTTTGGCATACATGTATTTAGTTTTGAAGAAGATGGGTGGCAGGCATCAAAACTGTCAACTACAACACTGAACATTTTTGGCTATGATGAAGAACGCTTTTTAAATTATTGAGCATTCTAAAGTACAGATATAGCTCTACACATATTATAATCTCAGTAATAAAATATTATTTTTCAATTTGCATAAATAATAATAATTCTATTCCACACTGAATGTCCCAGACTTTTGACATGTGCAGCTCTGTATATTAATGTACCTACCTACAACAGACTTCTCTGGAGCTGGAGGTACGATACGGCCTAGGTGAAGAAATTTGCTGTTCAGTCGTTCATGAAGACCAAGAAAATCACTGAATCTTCGCTTGACAGTTGTTTCTGCATTCTTGAATGTTGGCATGGTAGTCTAGAATGAAAAAAGAAAAAAAAAGAATGTGCTGTATTTTATAACCATGTCTCCGTAAACCTACCAAAAATTATCTAGCTTAAAATTTTCAGTTACTAAGTTGTATGTACCAAGCCTTGTATCTGAAACTGTACCTTTACAGCCCTAAGGATTGTGTTGGCTGGAACAGTTCAATCATTGACTTGTACATTGTACCTTCATTTGGAAGGGACAAGGGGTACTTATCATTTAAATGTACATGTACACAGGGAAAATGGAAATTCTGGATGGAGAATCAAATGATTTGTGCCTTTCCATTTAAGAAGCTTTAGAACATATGGGCTGAGATTTAAATGCAATGCAATTTTTCTACTCTTTCCAGACTTTGTTCAGCTTATTTGGACATAGTTTGTCGTGGGTCATCCTCCCATCATGTCAAATTTTATAGTTTCACTTGTATGCACAAGAATTCCATCGGGGTGGTTTGTGTAAATGGTAAGCACAAGGATTATATAAAAATACAGACTTGTACATAATACAAATTCTTGAACTTGATTTGAATGTATTTCAGACAGCGCTCAACTCTTAGAGGAGCATTGACAATAATTATAATAAACTGGTTCTAGACTTCAAAGGTAGTGCATCGTTTTGTTACTACAGCTCTGTTTCCTATAGCCAAAAGATGATCACACTCATCAGGTAACCGTTATACATGTATCAGCAATTGACCATTAAATTAATTTAACGGTCAATCACTGATATTACCTGATGAGTGTGGTCATCTTTTAGCCATACGAAACAGAGCTGTGGTAATAAAACAATGTACTACCTCTGAAGTCTTGAACCAGTTCATTATGTATTAATTGACCTGTGCGTAATACATACAGCTTTATACAGCAGTCCAGGTTCTAGCCTAGATACTATGGGCGCTTTCTATTCAACCAAAACTTTCTAAAATTTGGAAACAGCACCAAATGGTACTGAATTTTCCCAGAAAAGTTTCCAGAAATTCTAGAAACTGTTGAATTTCTGAAATGCAAACCATTCAACCATAGATTCTAGAAATTATGGGAGCAAATTGTTAACCCTTCAAGTCCCAATACCCACATAAAAATTCTCCAAACTGATCTCTATACATTTCCTTAAGGAATGAGCTGAGAGAATTTGACAAAAGATCAAAGCATTTTCCCTTAGGTGATCATTTTATTAATTCTCATAACCTAGTCTCTTGACAATGTACCGATATCATTGGGAGAAAATTTATGTTGGTCACTATTGGGACTTAAAGGGTTAAATGGAAAAAAAACTTATGAGAAGAAGTTGCTGAAAATTTGTAAGTACCTCGCGAGGTTGTCCTCCTTTTTGAAAATTTTGGAAAATGCTGTTCCATTTGCTAATAATTGGAAGTTACCGGAAATTCAAACCAGAAGTTTTGGTTGAATGGAAAGTGCCCTACATGTAAATATGAGCTGCATGGACAATTATGAGTCCATTGGGAAAGTTCCATTCTATAGTTATGAGATCTTTTCCAATAAAGGGTAGACGTAATTCTGTACACGTACATTAAAAATGACTATGTTGGAGCTGTACAATAAATCTTTGAAGTCACTTTTATTTGCAACCAATTTTTTTCAAATCATATTACCTGTGTTGATACTTTGAACACCATATAAGAACTCATACCATCACCTGCATAATAAGAAATGACATTAGCAATAAACCATTAACAGGTAATAGGTAATAGGCTAAGTTAAATTTATCAAGTCATGGGCACAGCTTGTCAGTGGACTTTAGAAGCATAGTTGTGATTCACGGCTCTCCAGTTGGGGTAAAGAAATTCAAAGGGATTGGATTAACCTGCGAAAACATCTGTTTCTCCTCCCTCTTCGCCGCTGGGGATGTTTTGCGAGAAGGAACTTCTGCGACTCAGAGGCAGAAATTCCATACTGATGACACATATCAGTGTTTACATGATACATCTGGTAGTCATGGGGTTCCAAATATAAATTTGTCCAATTTTGCATGTCTTCTGGTCGATTTTGGTAAAGTGTTGTGTTCATCTGCCAACAAGCTCCAGCAAAGCTCAAATGCTTCTTCTAGAGAAGACTGTATTCCACAAATAATATTGACCGTTTTGTTAAAGATTCTTTGTATTTACATTTGACCTTTGCGACCTTTTGTCTTTTGTCTGTCATTCCTAAACAATAGCTAAAACAATGTATCTACTCATTCGAACAATCAGCTCTTCTGACCAGATTCCGGACAGATTTACGTCATCAGTGTGAAATTTCTGTCACTGAGTTGCAGATGTTCCTCTGTAAGAAATGTCCCAAGCGGCGAAGAGTGAGGAAAAATGGATGTTTTCGAAGGCTAGGATTGGATGAGTGAAAAAAAAAAGAAACTAAATTCCCCTATATTTCCTTGTAACACAAACAGAGAACTTGCCATTATGATGAGATTCAGTTAACCCTTTATTTCATGCACCCACAGATTTGATATACATGTAGACCCTGAAATAAAATAATGAAATATTACTTTCACGTACATGTAAGTCTACACATACCAATTTTTTCAGGATCTGTAACTTTGATATCCATGTCAAAAGTATCAGTTTCTTCATCTTCTGCTTCTGGTTCTTTTTCCTAAGAACAAAACCGGTTGAGAAATTAGTTATACCCAATTTGCCTAAAACCAACTTGTCTACAGCGACATGCACTTGTTTGGTTCTTTGACATCAGCTTTCTAATGGGGCCAAACCCTGCGACAATCAGAGACATGTTGAGAAATAAAAAGGTATTCATGACTTTTATTTATTGTTTTGCCACTGGATGGAAGGAAGTTTTTGAGACTGGTTTAGTTTAACATGGTTTTCACAAAGAATTCGAGTAGCAGGAGAAAGGTGTAACTTTATGAGAGAATACTGTGAAAGAGGCTCCAGGTCTGAATAGAAAATAGTCACAGGCTATAGCATGTTAGCTGGACAATTCTGTGTAGTAAAAGGAGAATTCTTCAATCTCTGATGCCTAATGAACACTCTGGTTGCGGGCGTCAAAGAGAGCCCGCCGCCTATTCTTTGTCAGGGGCACTCTATTAACTGTATAGCAAGATTTTTCCCGAAGTATCTGTCCACATTCTTGGAATGCCCATGTTGTAATGACTAATATGCAAGGTATGTGGCTGCAAAGACCCTGATATTGAGTTTACAGTGTAAGGTCCATCTGATGTCACAGTAATCAAGTGAATGCACATGCAAGTGATACAACAATCATCATTACATTCGATTCGCAAGCACATGTAATTCAGGTAGGCAAGTACTGAACTAAATGGGAGACTTTTCACTTCGCCTTGCTGTCCGGGAATCTGTTTACCCAGGAAACTAAAAGTTCAGCCTGATCTCAGCTAAATGCGGGACAAGTCTTTGGTAAGATGCGAGTGCTAGCAAAGTCTAGAAATTGATGTAAATTAAGTTTATTCAGGTTTCATTGCAGTGCATGGCTTTTATATTTTTATATGTTTCCAAGCATCTTACATCCCACGTCAACTGAAAGCTTCAATAAGCTTTAAAACCTAGTGGTAATTTTTCTATTTCATATCAGCCACCTTTGGTCAACGTACATAGATTGAATCTTTGATTGAATATTTAAGACTTCTTGCATGACTGGTTAGATGCATTACTTGTATCTTGCATTTCTGTTTCAATGTATCTTTGCTGGTGAATACAAACATCTCTACTCGCTCCTTACCATTCACACGCTAATTGAACAATATCTAAGTAACTGCAAATATAATCATTGAATTAAATATGAGTCTTGTTTACTGTGTTGTTACATGCAAATCCAGTTTTCATGATCCACAGTGATTCCTATAAAGGGCATTCACATTCATATGAAAGTGGTATCGCCCGCACTTCCTAGCCAATGGCTACTGCTAGTTTAAAAAATACATGTGCAGGGTATGGGGGATGAGACTTTGCCTTAACCAAAGTTTGTTACACTGATTTTACAACCTGAGGGTCAAGGGAATGGGGATAAAATACTTGTATAAAATTAACCTATTTTTAAGGTTTGACAAACCTAAGAGTTATTCAAGAAAATGAAGATGGCTGCAGAGCAAAACATCCAACATGCATGTTTCTACACATTCTTGTGCCAAAAAAGGAAGTGAAAGAACACTAAATGCCATTCACAGTGTGTCTATTGCTCAAGTGTGATGCTGACAAAAGCAACCACTTTTAAGTTAGGGGTGAAGACAATAAAAAATAACTTGACTGTTGGGACAAAAAGTGATCACCACCACTTGATAGAGTTGACGACTTAATACAGGTCAGTTTTCCAGGACTTTGGCATGTGGCTGTTTAATTGAGGGCGACCCCCTAATTCAGTTTTGCTTAATACAAGATTCACTGCACAGCTCAATTAACCCTCAGATGTACAAGTGGGGGGATGCCAACCCCCCTAAGGTTTTTCTGAGTTTTTTCCTAGAGGATAAGACATCAGCACCTGACGTTTTTAGTATCTGTTTGTTCATCCCTTGCGCACATTTTGAGATATGCTTAGAGAAGCTCAGTTGCTATGGTTATGAGATATGATGTCACAAGTAGCAGGTGGTCAAGCCATTTTTGAGTGAAAATACATGTTTTTTCAACTTCTTTCAACAATAAAAGTAAATCTTATAGCTAAAATCATGCAAAGTGCTTATTTATGTGTTATTTTTCATGTAAAACACAAAAAAAATACCATTTCTCATGGTCATGATGGTGGCCATGATCGCGACCATTGTTGGTAACACCACAGGCCTCCAGCAGCGCCACCACTCATAAAACATACTTCATCTTGTTAAGCAGATCAAAGGCTTTCAACTAAAGGCAAAATCTTTTCGAAATACTGCAACATATCAGAAACCCCGGGGAGGGGTTCCATCCACCCCCCTCAGCCCCCCCTTGTACCACTGTGGGGGTATGAGTTTGTGTGTATGTCCGAGGGCTAATTGCCAAACTAATTTCAAAAACTTGAAACTTCGACAGGATGGGTCTTAAAAATAAGGAAAACACAACCAGTTCAGGTGACTTTCCTAGTAATACGATTAACAACAGTAGTAGGCACAAACAAAAAGGACATAAGCAAGTCTGTTAGACAGGTTAATGGAATCACTTATTGGTTCTAAAACAAGGTGTTGTCATCCTTTGGCATTTTGTTACATTTATGGCAAGGCTTAGCGTTCTCATTGCCCAGCATAACAGATCTACCACAAGACGTTTACTTGAGAACCAACTTCCTCTGTTTAATACGTAAAACGTCTCATGTACAGGAACATTCAAAAGTAAAGCTTTTTTATGATTCCTAAAACTCATGACAAGTTATAATATTGTTGAATTTACCTTGATTTGGTATGAATACCAGAATATCCGATGATTATTTTATTACTCGACTTTGAAATGATCATTGCCATTTAAGACCTTTCTTATCTATCAGCGGGTAATATAGCCCATTTAATTTAGTCATACAACATGGAGTTAATCGATCGATTTATGAATAGCACTACATGCACTGAGAAACAAGATACTAGCTTCCCGATGCGAGGCTCAAAAGGTCAACGAAACTGCAATCAAAACAACTCAAAAAACAGTAATAAAATGCACAATAGCCTCAAGTCTTACCTCAGCCTTTTCCTTCGAAGGTACCTGACTTTCTTCTTCACTCGGTTTCGAAAGGTTTGTCACATCAACAGACGCTGCGGCGGAGGTAGGCAGGTCCGACTTTTCCTCATCGGGTTCGGCGGCCCCTTTATCAGCATCTTGGGAGCTGTCATCAGGCTCTGGTTTGCCGTCATCTAGCGTGATTTCTGTGGTATCTCCGATGTTGAAGGGATTGGAGTCTGTAACCTCGTCCGTCTTGGTTTCGGATGTGTCAGCATCATCGTCAAAAAGAGCAGGAGGTTCTTCATGATCGTCCGCCATCTTGACTCTCGACGTAGTGTCACGTGGGTATAGCCTCGAGTGCGTGTACCAGAGTCGAATAACCACCCCACCCCCGCTTTGTATTTAACTCAAGATTGCGTGACGTGGCGTTTTATTGAAATGGGAAAAACGAACTTTGGTAAACGCTATTTTAAAATTAGCTTTCAGAATTTCTAAGTCTTTCTAATTCCTGTGGTTCTAAACTACCACCAGTTCACGACATGGATAGACGATCCATGGTTCACAACATCACTGAATTTACATCTTGTTTCTTTCTGTAAAAGCTATTTGCCGATGAGCAAAAATCGCTTTGTGTAACCCCACCTATTATTTTTTATCGACTTTGGTTCAATGCTTAAACCTCCCAACCCCGTCCCCAAGGCGCTTTTCCCTGGCGGGAACGAGGTTGTAAACCTCCCACCATCCTAGCCTGTGTACAGACGTCCCCCCTCCCTCAGAAAAAGTCAGGAGAAGAGTCTCTTCTCCCGATTTTTTTTCTGAGGGAGGGGGTACGTCTGTACACAGGCTACCACCATCCATGTTATGCCAAAAAAAACCTCATTCGCACCCATCTTGCTTGCCCTATCATGCTCCTCAGGTTTCGGGTGGGTTAGGAGGGGGAAGTAGCCAGTGTACTTTTGACATCCATTGTAGCCTTGAAACGTTTATTCACTGAAAAATTATATTAAATCAAATCGCAAGTGGGAGCTACTGATCAGCTTTCAGAGCGTTAACATCTCATTTGATAGCACTCAACCTTGGCTACGCGGAAGTAAAGGGCAACTATTAAGTATTAATAAGTATCACTGAAGTGGAAGAACTTAAATTGCAAATCGGCCCGATCCGGAAACGAGTTTATTAGCAATAGGTATAGAAAGCCACGAGATCATACTAAGTTGACGCAATGTTTTCATAGTATTTATTACAGAGATATATTACCTATACCGAGCTAAGTCAAAGCTATCCACTGGCCGTGTGAGAAATTAAAAATTAGGGTTTGTTGACTTTGTCTCACACCTCTAGGTTCCACATAATTTTCTCCCAGCTTTTGATTTTCAGATCTCGCAATTTCTAACATCTTTCCTTAAGTAGTAATAAATAACCTTCTCGTTCTCTATGTCAAGTGCGTCGTACCCAGATCTGTTGTCGAACCCGGTTCGTCGACAAGAGATCTGGGTACAAGATTGGCCGGCGGACTCACGGAACTCACTGTGATAAAAACCGCTATACACATGCTATGAATTAAAACAACAACAACAAAACCAACAGATTTTAACACTACTACAACACAGTTTCTGTTGTGTCTACTTAATATAGCCTGCGTGGCCGGCGTTGAAGGGGGAAGGGGAAGGGGGAATTTGGGCGCGCCCCACACGCTCTCGCGCGCGCCCAAATTCCCCCTTCCCCTTCCTCTTTCAACGCCGGCCACGCAGGCTAACTTAATAGGACTCATGGGAGTTTATAGCATCTACCAGACTTCGATTTTTGATAAAAAAGAGAAAACTCACGGAGAACGTTGTATTGTTTTTTTTTTACATTCCAATACTCACTTGCAGTTTTCACAAAGTCTCTCAATGCGAATTATAATCACTAATCCGACAGCTCATCTGAAAATTCAAATTCATCAGAATCGTGCAAACGAGCGAGCCGGGCAGTGGCATTGTTAATCACATCTTGTCGTATTCTCCAGTAAGGTGGACAAGCACTTCCGTAAATCTCAACTTGAGTATGTCCTTGCGGTGTCACTAAACCTAGAGCGAAGTAATCGTCTAGAAAACTAGCATGCTCCAGATAATACCGAAACAAAACGTTTGATGAGTCCACTTCAGAAATTACGAAGAAGTAAAGTTTAACAATGCTATCGTCATCCTCGTGGAACATAACTGGTTTGAAGTATTGTCCTCCCGTAAGCAGGCAAGATCCAATATCAGTGATTTCTCTGCCAAAAGCATTGATCCTTGCAGCTTCGAAAAAATCGTCCCCGAGCGTAGTTTTTAACAACAAGATGCTTTTTACAACTTTTTCCGCGTCGTGATATTTGTTTTCTCTAATCAGCCGACTCATTTCAATAGTAGCTGCATTTAGTATACCAACAACTTTTGATTGGCAACTTTGAAGTTCTGCCTTGGAGTTCAGTCCATGTAGTTTCTCCTTCAAGCTCTTCGCGTGTTCAAGTTTCAGCAAAAGTGTTTCCAGTCGGTTATCCGTTCCCATGTTTTGATCTCCGTGTTTTGACGCTGGGACATTTCCATTATTATGATTGTCTGTTAATTCTGAATTATCACGAAGTAGTGGAGTGCTGTCAAGATCGAGATCTATCTCGCTGTCCGCATCGTCATCGGACGGCCTACTAGGAAAACAGCCCATGATTTCATATATCTTAATACCTTTTGGTGTTAAGAGCATTAGATACCAACAGATTCGATCGTCGGTATATTTTTGGCTATTGAAAGTTTTCAATGGAAACTGAAAGTGAATTGATGCGTAACTGAACTGAACTTACGTAAATGAATGTAATTTGAATTACAATTGACAAATCAATCAAAACCAGTCTATAGTCTCTGGGGCTTTGAGAGTAAAAGGCCGAAGTCCCACAAAACGGTTCGAGGAAAATCCACTGAAAAAACCTCTTGTTTTCATTAATAATATTAATCATGAATCATTGTTTCTCATAATTAATGATAATAATAATAATAACTTTATTAAAGTCTCACGCTTCTAGCTTAGCACCGGCAAGTTCTGAAACTAATCGGGGAGACACAAGCTTGTTTGCTCGTCTAAGATATCTTTCTTAATTGAAACAATTTTAAATTTTGGAAAGCAGCAAGTTGTCCGGACCTGCCACTTCAGCGTCTGCATTTGTTGAACCGAAGAAGAAAATTAATTTTTGGTTTACGCGTTAATGACGTAACGTTAGATTATTTCCAGAAGGCTGTTTCTTCATTCTGACTTGTTCTGTAAGCCCAGTCCATAATATCAGCTCATCCGGCTACTTCATTTGCATCTCGTTTGATAACTCTACATTGAGATTTAATCTTTTTAAATTCATTTGTTTCGCTTTTTAATTACTTTAGTAGTTCCCAGGAAGACAGATCCCACGAGATACGAAGTAATCCTTTTTTGACAATGAGGAAATAACGAACCGAGGAAACGAGGCTGAGCTTAAAACCATCACGCGACGTAATGCCGAGGATGCAACGATCAAAAGTCTCTATCCCAGGATAGTATCTGCTGACCAGCAAGCGCTCTCTGGGGTAGTGACTTGTGCATGTTCCTTATGAAAAGATAGCTCATTGAAAATTGAAAAATGAAAATCTGTGTTTAATTTTATTTGTTTTAGGAATTAAAAAATTAAAAATTAAAAAATTAAAATCTATGGTCGATTTCTTTTGTTTCTGAACATAGAAAAATGAAAAATGAAAATCTGTGGTGAGGCATTTTTTTGGACTCAAAATGGAAATGAAACTAACCCGGAAATAAAGAAAAACAACCCATCAAGATACAACAGATTCCAGCGCAATTGCTGTCATTTGCTTCATTAAATCAGCTTCGATCTTGTTCGAGTGTTTCTGTCACAATGGAGGAAGATTATATTATTTTAGAATCAAGAGTAGAAAGACGAGTGAAAAAAACGCAGGTGACAGCGGACTGATTGGCACAAATGTTTGGAATAAGTCCTGCCGCAGATTATTGTAATTGAGCTGATGTTTTCCATGTGTTTTCGCAGGGAATGTATGTGACAACTATGGAGAAACTTGAAAACATCAAAAATGTTCTCAGTGAAAGCCTTGTACTGAAACCTCTCGTAAACGACCACCTCCAGTAAGCGACCGTGATCACTTTTTCGGCTGACAGTTTTAGAATTTTCTCCTGTTTTAAACCTCCGTATAGCGACCACTTGACACATGGTCTTACTAAACGGTCCTAAACAGTGAACATTGTAAAAATGGACAAAAAGGAATTTATTCTTTGCCTGTCATTATTGCCTACACATCTGTTACTGTGTTTTTTTTAGTTCGATCTACAACTTATATGTTAGCCATTATCCTTGAGTTCCAGGTCTCATGATCAGTTTAAGAAAAGAAGTTTTTGTTCGTCAGGCGTTTCAGGGACATTTATGTACAAGAAGTCACGCCCACAAGTAAAATTTTATTAACCACCAATTTATAGCGTCATTTTTCATTTTTCAACTTGCAGAAAAAATAAATGACCCTAATACACGCATTCGAAAAGCACTTGAAAAAGCCCTGTAATTATCATCTAGCTGAACTGCATTTGAATGCGTTCATTTTTGTTTTTGGAAGTGAGCTAAGGAAGAAGTTTACCGAAACAAGGTAAGAATTATTACTTTATTGTCAGATTGCGCATGGGTAAAAGGCATTTCAGAGATAATGGTTCAGCATCCTTTCATTATAAAGGAATCTTCTATAAGAAGAAAGATAAGTCAACTGGATTAAGAAAAAGAAGAACGTGTAAATGGCACTAACGACATTTTGATAACAGGCCGGGCGGCCTAGGGCCTCGACCGTGACTTCAATATAAGCGTGCGCAGTCTATTTGGCTTGGAATCGCTTTCCCCTGGTTTATTCTCAAGAGCTTCCTTAAATACAGCAAATCTAACGAGAGTTATCTCATTTACGACGGCAGTGGATCGAGCCATTATAATTATCGAATAAACAGAAGGGGGCTCAGCATTTGACAGCTTAGTCTAAATGGATTGTCATAAAAATTTAAAATCTCAATTTAAAAGTTGTGCAAAAAAAGCTTACTGTGGATTAGTTTGCGTTGTTAAACAAAGTAATTTTTTAGTTCAGTTCTGTAAACAGGCCAAATTGTTATAGATTTGCCGTAGAAGTCGGGGAAGACATCGTTTTCTAAACTTGTTAATGAAATCTTGAGCTTCTACAGAGGAGATACTGAAATTAAAGTCCTACCGATTTTTAATTACATGGCACAAGCAAAAAAGTAAAATACATTAATCAATCAATCTGCCAGAAAGCTTTGAAACAGTAACCATTACAAAACCGTAAAAGGCACACCACAACAGCATACAAAATCAAAGACTAAGTTTGATTAGTTAAGTTCATTACGAAGACTGAATGCACTTTATCAGTAAAGACGGTTTTAGATACACGAAATGAAGTGATAACAAGTTTGACGCATTGCGTTCGGCAACAGACAGTTTCCATAGATTTTGAGCGTTGCAACACCATGAGTCGTTGATTAAGAGAATGATTAAGAGATGAAAATGAACACAAGTCCTTTAGCCTAGGTCTAGAGTGTTGATTTTCAATTTTATATATCCAGTTTCATTATAATATCGAATAGAGTGCAAAATATGAATAACAGATTTTAGTAAACTTTTTTTTTTTTTATAAGAATGTTGTTTTCCCGGCGAAGGCTGAATATTCTTATTTTTTCGCCGATTTTAGGCTGAAAATATTCTTGTGTTATTCTTTAAAATTAAGCTTATAACATTTCCGTTTTAGAATATATTGTTTAGTGCGGTATTTTCGTTTTGTTAGCTAGTGTTGCCAGAGAGGAAAAAGTTGAAAACATTTAATTGTATTGTATTTACAGATTTTCACCACAGAAAATTATATTCTTTTCAAAATCTCAGCCTGGGGTTTATTCTTAAAATTTTCTTAAAATTTCGCAACTTTCAGCCTCGATATTATAAAATATATTCTTAATTATAGGAAAAAAGAGTGTAAAGCAATTGAGACCCCTTGAGTGATTTTTCCGGTTTCGTGCGTAACGAGGGACGAAGCCGATGCATAACAAATAGATTGTAGCTGATTACGTCTGGTGTTGCGCGAGGTCTTTGAGCTTTTCAACGCCAGTTGACTTTTTATATAGTTATGAACTAACTGAAACCACCGGCGGGTTAATTTCGTGTGAAGATGGGTAGTTCTCCGTCGAAAGGAGAAAGAGTTAAACGACAGGACGTTAAGTTCAAGATGAAAAAGCAAGATGTCATCAAAACGAGCCGGGAATTAATCCTTTCGACAGAATTGACAAACGTTTGTCTTGACACTGATGCTTTAACAGAGTTGAAGGCGAAGTTGGAAAAAGCTGTTTGTTGGACCAGTAAATATGAGACTTCCTGGAGTCCGGAATTTTCCCGCTCAGTTGATGAACTGTTAATGGCAGCTTGCGATGAAATGAGCCGTTTGATCGAAGCTGGAAACCGGAGCACGGCTGACGAGATTGTAAGAATGATTTTAAGGCTGCGATTTGCTTGGGGTAGCGAAGTGTTTGAATATCTTAATATCAAGTCTTTTCCACGAGAAAGAATCGAAACAAAAACGGCTGTCATCCTAGCTGAGCAATATTTTGAACCCGATAAAATCTACAAAACTGACAATCGAATTTGTCGATTGTATGCGTTCAAAATTAGAGACGCAGAAACCAAAGTACCTGTGTTTACATACTACCTGGAATGTAGCACTATTCTACAGAAGTTTTATGTACTTTGTTTAGAATGTTCTGAAGGGCATCTACAAATAACAAGATACGGAAGCATCTGCCCGTCGTATTGGACAGTTAGAGAAGGCATGCTGGGCGATTTTGGTCATAAGGAACAAAACGCTCTCGCAAAATGCCGCGACCCTAGCTATGAACAAACTGAGTGATTTCAACACAAAATTTTAACTTCATTAATAATGTAAAACATTTTACCACATATTTCTGTTACATAAAACAAGCAAACAAACACAAAAACAGCGGCTCTGGTAATATATAAGCATCAGACGCCAACAACAGCAACAATTCAGTGCGCGTAAAATTCCGAAAATAAGCCCCGGGGCTTATATTTTTCAAATGACCTTTTAAATAATGAAAGGTTTATTTTTGGAGGGGCTTATATCAGCTTATTTCCGGAGGGGCTTATATACCGAGTGAAATTTGCGTTTCAAAATCGGCTAGGCTTATACTGGGAGGGAGATATGCGTCTCAAAACCCATGGGCCAGCTTATGACAGCTTATAGCTGGAAGGAAGTTTATGTGATTATGTCAGTAATTTGCAGCAAGTTTTAACTGAAACTCGTCATGAGGGCGTAGATCTTTCTTAAACTCCGCCATGTAAGTACTTTATCTATACTGGACCGAGGAAATCCCGGGGAAATCCAAGCCACTTTTAGACTGCCATCATTTATTTAGCGCACGTAGAAGTTCGTTGGAAAACGCAGAAATTTATGAGTTACTGTACAGTTTTTCTGTATTTTATTTTTAAAATATTCTTAAAATTTCGCAAATTTCAGCCTCGATATTCTTATAAAATATATTCTTATATAAAAAAAAGAGTGTACGAGTTTGGGCGGCTTATATTTGGAGAGGCTTATTTTCGGGATTTTACGGTATTCTTATAAAGAGCGTAGAAGGATTTTCTTTTTTTAAGACGAGTGAAAATGTCGTTTTCCGATATCATTTAATTTTTTTGATTCGAGGTTCCTTATTTTATGCGACAAGTCACCATTTGCATGTTGGCGTCATTTTACTACTATGACTAGAATCCCTTTCGTTTTTCTTTCATATTTAAATTTGGTAATCCTATAACAGAAGCCCAAATTTGCACAAGAAAGCAAAACCCTGAAGGATTCTGGTCGTAATGATGAAATGACGTCATCGTGCAAACGACCTATGGCTGTCACTTGGATTCTGGATTCCAGGTAATAGATTCTGGATTCCTTTTCAGTGGAACTTAAATTCCAGATTCCAATCGTTAGGGGAATTATGGATCTCTTGGGCTGGATTTCGGATTCCAAAGCTCAGGATTCCGGATTCCAAAAGCAAATCTTTGATTCCCCCGGATTCCGGATAACCTTTAAGTGGTGCCTTACTGGCCCTGACTAAAATTCTGTAAATCTTCATTGGTGACTCGTAAATGTACAAATTGGTGTGTGCTGTTGTCTCCTCCCCACCGGGTCCACAGTCTAGCGCTCGCTATCGCTAATCTGGGGATGTTGAAGCGTTGTTTAGAAGAGCAAGAGCCAAAGGATAGGGGGACGGGGGACAGCGGGGGTTTTATTTGTAAATGGGGCTTATCATCCTCCGTTTGCGCTTTGAACTTTCTCATCCCGCGCCCCGCGACTGTCTTCAGCATCCCACTTTTTATTCGCCACTTCAAAAACTCATTAATACTCATAAAGAAAAAACAAAAGGAATTACAGTCAACTCCCTTTATAGCGGACACTGTAGGGACCTCGAGGTGGTGTCCTCATTAGCGAGAGTCCGTAATAGCGGGAGTTTATTTCAGTCAAACGTCTGCAACTTGTTTTTGCCGGGGATTTAGTTGCTGTCCGTATTATCGGGGTGTCCGCAAGGCGAGAGTTGACTGTAATGGGGTGTCTTTATATCTGATAAAGCCACGGCTAAACTTACGTCCAATTTTTAAGACCAAAAAAACCTCAAATCTAAATTTTAGTGCAAGAATGAGTTGATCTATATCAGAGATTTTAAAGCCGTTCAAAAAACTGGCAGTCGTGTATTATCAGGATTAAAAATTCTCGGTTTCGCCTCGAGTTTTTAAACCTGATAATACACTCCTACTCGTTGTTTGAACAGTAATTTTCCATTGCCCATAATACACATTTTTTTATTACCCACCGCCCCCCGCCCGCCACCAACTTTTGCATAAACATTATTTTCGTTTTCTCTTTCTTATGCAAAATTTTAGGGGTATATAAGGTGTATAAGGATTTGGGCTTGGAACTACCGGTAGTAAGCCTGTGAATTAGGTAGGGTTTTGGGTTGACATTTCGTCGCCTTCGTCGCCTATAAAGTAAGCCCACAGTCAAACGTGCGGCGAGACAGGCGCTTGCTTGTCACGCCCTGTGTCACGCACTAAATGCCTATTATTTAAAAAAAATGGAAGAAGCTCTCTAATCCTGTCATTCATATCTGTCAGAGCCGCCTAAGCACAAGATTAGATTTAATCCAAGATAATAATTTCAAGTTTCCATCAACTCGTCACAAAACCCACGAGGAATGAGAATGGGCATATGTTGAGTGCGGTCGCGTACCTGTTGTGACATCAATTGTTGAACCCACGCAAACACCAATAACAATTTGACCGGTGGTAATCAAATTAGTAATATATTCAATCCAGCATGTTTCTTTTACTCTTCACTTTATTTGAGCTTGAGATTCTTAAACAAAAGTGCTTCATCTAATCAAAATCGCCCGGTTTGGTGCGTGAATGCTTTGTCGGCGTTTTTAACTAATTTTATGATGAGTGTTTGTTGTTGTTGTTTTAGTTATCCAGCATATAACCAGTAAAAGTAATATGTACTGATGAATAATATAAATTGGATAAATAGAAAATAATTTCTCCATTATTGTCTCTTATTTTAGCTGCTTAAACAAGAAAAATACTTTGAGTGCTTTGAAGACGTGACATGCATAATTATCATAATTTCCGGTTGGCAAAGGGTTTCATTGACTCCTTTTGTACTTTGGTCTTTAAGGGAAAAAAAATCTCCCAGGTACAGGTACATGGCGCACGGATAAATTTAGCCTGCATTTTCGGTAGTCACTTCGCATTCCCCTGAGGTTAGTAGAGATAGTTCATGCGCTAATCGCAGCAAAATGCACTGGGAAACTTGTGAACTACTGCCTAAATTGTGAGTCAGTTTTGAGCAAGTTGTCAATGCAGAAGTATTGTTGCTGTGTACGCTATGGGACACTGCTGCTCTTGCGTATGTCAGAACAGAAATGTCTTCTCAGAAAAGATCAAGACGGTAAACTCGATTCGCGACGACTGGATTTACGTTGACTTCGATTCTGAAATAACCGAGTTCGACGAAGAAGACGATGCCACGTTCATGCGTGATGAGTCACTCGACGAGCTTCTGTCGGAGTTTGAAGATGCGCTCTTCTGGCCAAAGAGGGACAAGTGCTTCCCGAGCTCGGCGTCTGTGGATTCCATGAACACGCTGTTTCGCAAGGCAGCTACTGAGATGTCACGGCTAGCAGGGGACGGGAAATACAACGAGGCGGACGAAGTTGCGGACGCTTTATTAGAACTCGTGGATGTATGGGGAGACGGTGTGTTCAAAACTTTGAATATGAACTTCTTCACAAGAGAGGAAATTTCACTTGGCAGGTTTGTCGCAAGGGTTGGGCAATACTTGAAGCCAGAACCACTGCAGGAAAATGACGACGACTTGACCGTGAAACTGTATTTCTTTATCGTCTACGACACTGATCTTGAAAAATATGTCTGCACATATCACCTAGAATACCGTGACTTTGACGGAATGGCGGACGCTGTCTATTTACTCAAACTTCGGTCACGCAAAGGTAAATGTAAGATTGCGGCGTATGGCAACACCTGTCCTTCATACTGGAAAATCAGAGAGGATGTTTTGAAAGATTTCGTGAAGAGAAAACGCTCATTCATTTCTTGCTAGCTAAGTTAACTATGAACTTTCATTTCCTTCCTCCCGCTTTTGCCCTGGCCTATGTCGTGATATTTCAAAATTGTTTCAAAGCGGTAAGGTAGCTCGATCGTATTTTACAGGGTCAATACCTCCCAAGATTAAGCAAAAACTATTACATTAGCAAAAATTTTGAAAAAATACTGCACTCATAGACTTTGCTTAAACTTCACGAACATCGAGGCGGCTGTTGGAGGAAAACGCTCTCATGAACGATTTTGGACGAAGAGTTTCCCGTGTCGAGAAATACGGCTGCAAGTAAAATAGATAATGGCGTCATTTTGTTACTATGTCAACTCCGATATCATTGTAACCCTGATCTTAACAAATTTTCATCTTTCCAAATCTTTCTGTTTATGCTCAAACTTGGAAGGTACTGAAACAACAGTTTAAGACAGAATTCCGATTTTTGATATGCAAATAATCCCGTTTTTTTACAAGAGAGGTTTTGCGCTTAGCCTCGTTTTGAAAGTGAGAATTTTTGGAACTGGGAAATGGCCTTTTGACATCTCCTCTCCCATTTTTCTTTTCATTTCATTACTTTTCTTTTTCTTTCCTCTGTCGTTTTACATGGCCCATCCCTCAATAATGATCCCCTCAGTTGTCGGTAGCCGAGTCAAAGAGTCATATTTTTCCCAGGACGGATTTATGAATTTAGGAAAATAAGGAATCACCTGGTGATGACAACGTCCTTCAGAAGAAATTGGAATACACCTATTCGGCTCACTCAATGTTGTACCCAATTCAAATCTCCCGGGATCAAGATTCTTTGTGTTCTGTATTTGCATTATAATGTTGCATTCACATTTAAATGATATGGAAATTCCTGAAACAAAACGTTTTATCCCCAAAGGGTTGGAATCGGGGCGGATAAAGGTACAACATTTAGTTAGCCGAATAGGTCTATTGGGGAAACGTTTAATACGACGATGCTTCAAGAAACTTGGAAACAGTTATTTAACATGTTAATTTCGTGTGAATTATTTTTTTGTTTAACTTATTTAAAAATAAGGGTCAAAATGAGAAAATTTGACAAAATAAATGTAATAATATAAAAAGTAAAGGCTTATATTTCCCTTCCTTTCACTGTAGCTCGCTCGACAAAACATTATATCATGTATATTTTCAAGTAGTCACGCGGTTTACGTGGATCCTCAGGTCAATCGATAAAAGTGGCACTTATCCTTGAAAAAAACTGTATAAAATAATGAGAAAAAATCCTTGCTGTTTCTCCCGGAAGTGATTTACAGGCAACGACTGGTAAGATAGCGCTGGTAGGCTCCTGATTATGGAGAAGTAATATATACGACGCGTAGCGGAGTATTTTTTAGGTGTTTTGTAATATATCAAAAGGAGTGTTTCATCACCAGATGAAACACCGAGAAGAGAGTTGAAAATACGACGCGCAGCGGAGTATTTTTGACGAACTTCGAGGTGTTTCATCTGGTGATGAAACACTGTGTCGAATGTTTGATATTTCTTCTCAAACAAAATCATTTTTGAAGGAGAAATTAATGATGCAAATATGAGCAGTTTTTCATCCGATCAGCCAAACACTCATTAAACATTAATTTCCTTTGAATTTTCTTTATGAATTATTAATGAGTTTGAGAAGTACTTTTGTAGCCTCTTTAGTGGAGAGGGCGCTGAGTAAAGGGAACTGGAAAAAACAACGTAGGTCTTGACGCCTTGATATTTTAAACAACTGCCGGTAACTGCAAACACCGTCCAGAAGATCCGCTAACAAAAGGTAATTTGTGGTTATGCCCAATTTTTAGGGCACTTTCGGTTGATGTCCGTCGCTCAACAACACCTTTGCTAAACTCCCTTTGACCCTTCGAAAACCTGCGCGAAAGTTTTTCGAGTCCACTGATGGTGGCTTCCGCATAGGCCCTTCTCCGCAGAGGCCTCTTTGTGGCGAAGGCCACTTGCAGACAGAGGCCAATGCTTCCTCTAAACAATGAATTGGCACACATAAAAATTATCTTACACCCTGCATTTTTTAAGGGAGATATTTTATGGCACTTTGTATGGCCGCCATGTTGAAAGGGCATAATCACATTTTGTTCACGTGACCAGCAACGAATTTACTCATTTTAAGGAAATGGTGCCGGTTTGAAAATCACAAGTCACTATTATTTGTTTAAATATGACCCACTAATCGTTTTTTGAAGGCAAAATCATATAACTTGCATTTTCATAAAAACGATATCACATGACCTCTTAGCGCAATTGGCCTATTTTATTGGAACACCCCGCGGGAGCTTCCTCGCAGGAGAGAGCGCACAGGCTGTTAAGAGTCAGTCACTGTCAACAACCGTTCTATATCCAGAACAGCACTGATCTACAAGTTCATGCAAAACCTATTTTGTGAGAAGAAATTGACGGATAGCGCCGATTAATCCTTGGCTATAGCATAATACCAGGGCGGATAACGGACATTTATTTTGTAATTCTAAACCTACTGTAATCTTCAATATTTTATAATTTACAAGCCGTAACTTCACTATTTACAAGTATCTTATTCGTCTTTCTGAAACGTAACATCTCTACTCCAACTACGTTGGCCAAAATATATCTAACAAATATAGTTATAAAAGCGCAATTTCAAACATACTGAAACTGTCAAGAATTCAGTGACTAAGTCTCGTTTAAAATTTTACGTTTTTGTCCAACACTCAGCAAATACAACAATAAAATCGTATCCTATGGGCTCTTTTCCATTGAAATACACTTGAACCCGGGGATCCAAGGAAACCGTGCAACTTAAGGTCCACGTGTCTAGCTCATGCATCATTTTAACCAATCAAAGCTACTACTCTGGCTTTAGGAGCAAAACCGATTGCGACTTTTCTGAGTGTGATGTCCTGCGCTTGACATAGCGCACATATTGAACTTTTAAGAAATCAGTGACTAAAACTGTTAAACTTCACATTTAAAAAAAAACTAATAAAAGTGCTGTATCGACCATAGGAATGACAGGTTTACTGAGAAAAATAGCGTTTAAAGGCTTTCGTATCGATGCTTAATCTAAGAATTTCTTCTAGACATTCTTCAAGAAAAAGGAGTATTGGATCGAGTTATATTTCACAAGTGCATGTCTTATTAAAATCTGCCGTCAGTTAACTATAATAAAAACTAAAATGACGGATTGTTCAAAGACCCCCCTCCCCCGCCTCTCCACCCTGTCTTTCCCAAAAGCTAATTTAAACAAGAACCGATTTTAGTTTTGTTTTCAATTTCCACTACGATGGAAGGTTTTTTCCCCTATGTAATCCTCTAAGAGTGCGGGAAGGGGTCAACAAGGGGGTCAATTTGGCGTTTTGTTATGGTCGTCTGCAATAAAGTTTGGGATGGTTTTCTTGACTGAAGAGCGGAAAGGAAGGCAGGAGAGAAGGGACATGAGGACCGAAAGAGGACAGAGTAAATGACAACAAACGTGCAACTTGCATGGTTCGCGTCCCAAAATTCAGATCAACAGTACTGTTTTGTGCTTGTCACTACCGTTAACGCTATGGCTAATTTGTTGAAACACTTACGGAAAACAAAGACATAAACTTAGTCGTTTCATGAATACACGTATGGCTTTCTTTCCTGGTTTCTCGCGTTTGCTTAGGCATAAACGTCTTCCAAATCAACATTGAAGGAGAAGGGAAGGAAAACTTCGCAAGCGTTTCAACAATTATGACCGCAGAGAATGTAGGATTTCAAAATTAGAATCCAGGAGAGATTAACTGGCTCTGGTCAGTTCTCGAAATACCTTGGATGAAATAATCCGTGCACACGGTTGAGATTGGAGAATTTATGAAACTCTACGAGTACTGCAGCGCGAACGGCACAGAAATAATAGTACTTGTAATAACCAAAAGTTAGGGAGTGCGGGCGACTAAGATCAGAGGTCCAAACGCTTTTGCTCCATCGCTGTGCTTTGCGTACGTTTCGCGTGACAGATGGTCAAAACACGCGTGATCAGATTACGAGGAGTAGAATGTCGAAACGCGCGTGATCAAATTGGGTTCTGTGCATTCCATTCGTTCTTAGTGGAAGTCCAAACGAATGCTGGCTACATACATGCGACGCATGCGTAATAACAACCTGGAGATTAGGATTGCGGGCTCCTCTTGTCGCCCGCATTAATTGACCCAAATATTGTCTCGACACGTGCCTTTTAAACTTTGTACATTTCCCTTCTTTAGCCCATTCTCAACTCCACCAAACAGTATTCAACTCTTGTACAGAACTTGAACTTCAATTTGTCTTACCTAATTAGAATGAGCGACCCGTAGATCCCCAGGGCGAAGTTGTCTTTCTCCTTCATTGAGCAGAATTTTGAGCGCCCTTTTGAGAAGATAAACGCCCATTTCTCTTCTTTTTCTTTGAGGCCACGCTTGGGCTCTACCATAGTAATTACCTCTCTTTTTGTTGGTTAGACGTGAAAGACCTGATCAAGCCGAAAAAAAAAACTGTTATAACCACTGGATTATGTCCTCGGACAATGAGTTTTGGAGATGACAATTTTGTTAACCCAACTTTGCTTATCGCGCGGAACGTTTCGCTACAAAATAGTCTAACATTCTTTAGCATCAAAGCTCTGTCTCGAATAGGCTGATCGATCGTCTCGAGGGTGGAAGTGGGAGGGGTGAGGGGGGAAGGGAGTTGCTAGGGAAGCACAAAGTTGGTGTAGGTGCAACCTTAGTCTTCTTCGTTTTCCTTACTACCTCCCACCCCCCAAGTCGAGAGGTCAACTTTTTTACGTCGTTAGTTGCGACTGAGGTACAGCAAAGCAAACGTTTTGCAATAGTATTAACGTACATAGTGTGATTACATCTAATTTATCTCTCTAACCTTATAATTCCAAGATTCTTCTTTCAAGTTCAATTTGCGAGAGAGAGTTTGGTTGCTACTTTCGAACCTATGAATGCAGGTTGTTTTGTAGTTCCCTAATTGATGTCTCTCCCTGAATTTTTGTTAGAGAGGAGGGCTGTACACCTAGGCTTTGCTTAATTGCCACGCAACGGTCGAGTCGGTGGATGAAATCTTGTTTCTCGTCACTTGAAGAAAGGTACCGATCAGTGTTTGCTTTTCGACGCGAAATTCTCATGTGCCTGGATAAATTAGAGACCTCTAAATTTGAGGACGAGGACGAGGACGAGAATGAGTCACTCAAGGTTTTTCCGCGTCTTCTAAAAATATTATACCCCTGGAAAGCTTCATTACACTATTTTCGTCAGAAAGGTTAGTACGGTTGTAGTTATTGAAGAGGATTAACCAAAGACTTTTTTGAGCGACGCACGTCAATCGGAAGGGAGACCTTCCCCCTTTTTTATGTGTCTTGACGCTAAAACTGGGTTTGTATTGCTAAGTTTATTTTCTCTTAAAAAGACCGATTTACCCGAGCGTTTGAACCCAACCACTCCCCAATGATGCAAAAAGCCCACTTCCGATTGACGTCTGTCGCTCAAAAACGCTTTTGCTTAGGCTCCCTAATAAAGAAATCGAAACTTCTAACGTTTGATATCTTGTTTCCACGGCTACGACGTTCTGGCTAAAACCCGTAGTAGAATGACGACTAATATATCCTTTCCTGCCAAAACAACGCTGGTACACGGTCACGCACTACCTAACATTAAGAAAATCTCGTAGTCTTCCTCGTGCTTAGCTAGCTGGCAACATTTGCGAAACTATCCCTTTCATTCAGGCTTAATTCAATTATTACCAAACTGTATTGCATAAATAATCATCTTACCAAGGGCGTCAATCATACACGCTTCTCGCGTGTACGCCTCCACCGGAATGACACTTTGGAAAATGTGTAGTGACACTACTCCAAGCCCTGCAGCCCAGATGTCTCTTATTTGTTGTATCTTAGCATTATGCTGTTGAAAGAAGTCAAGATGCAAAGAGTTATTGGGAAAACAATGGGGATAGATCAATACAAACTACTTGGGCAGGTGGCCAGTCACAACCCAAAGAACCAGTCAAAACTTGAGTGAAATAAGCGTGGGAAAACGAGAGCAAGAGAAACTGCCCGTAACAGAAATGGCGCGAGATATTTTAGCCAATCACATGATCCAACGCATTCAAACGTTTGAGGATTTGCTTTGTTTCATTTTTACAACGAAAAAGTAGCCGCATAGTGAAGGATACCCGAAAATCATTAGTTAATGCTTTATATCACTTTCTGTATCTTTGTTTCAAAATAATGAGCTTGACAGAAACAGTAGCTAAAAACGTAAGCAAAGAAGGTTATAGTTGAGCATAAGGAGAGCAAAAGCAGTTGTTCTCCTGATCTAACCGCGCTCGCATTTAACACTTGTTTTCCCACTTCCCTCTTATCTTAGGCCTAATTTTCTCCGTTTTAGCTTTCCGCCCACACGCAAACGGCGTTTTCGGGCACCAAAACGGTAGGTTTTCGAAAACAGTCCCAGCGTGGTTTTATTTTTTACAAAAAACGTCGGCTTAGAAAGATGATTTCCGGCATACATTTTACATCTTATTTCCATTGTTCAAGCGTTTTCTTGAGGACGAGCGAAAACGTTTGGAACAAGCTGCGTGTGGACGCTCATTTTTTGAAAATGGAGAAAAGAATCTCCGTTTTCAGAAATACCCGAATACCAGTGGGCGAGGCCTTGCTCTCATTAAAACATGACCCTGACAAAGCAGAAACAATGTTACCAGTTTAGCTAGGCCTGTGCAATCTACTACACCAAGTCACGGAGAAAAATACTTTTGATTTGACCTTACCTTAGACGACTGTAGGGCTTCATTGAGATGTGCATAAGGTCGCGATCTCTTTCCTTTCCCAACGTAAAAAATAGCCATCACGAAAACTCTGAACACGTCGTCGGGGTCCATCTTTTTCGCTCTTACAGGAAGGTTTTGTGTCACGCGAGGATCAATTAACAGGTAATTGAAAGATGATTTTTCAGTTCTGAGGAAGGTAAAAGAAAAAATAGCCCATGTTCGGTATTTAAAATTCTAGCATGATTTCGAGGCTTTAGGGACAAAATTGCAAATTTTTCAAGACTCCATTGTCTCACAAAGAAAACCAAATATAGAAAAATGACCAGAAAGACACGTTAGAATTTTAATATATCGAAAGTGGGCTATTCTTATCAAACCATAGTATGCAGAAAAATCACCAAAAAAACTGGGGGTGTATGAATGCAGTTGTACCCGATTGGCGAAATGCGGGATTAGTCAAATACCAAGGTCGGCCTCAGGGGCGGATCTAGGGGGAGGGTGCAGGGGGTGCGCACCCCCCCCCCTCCCTGAGATGACCTGCGGCTTTCTAATACAACTGGTATTCTGCAAAAGAAAACTATGTGGTTTATTGGTGTTGAAGTAGAGCAGGCAGGCTGATAAATATTGTTGTAGTGCACCCCCTCCTAAAAAAAATCCTGGATCCGCCCCTGGGCCAAATGCTCGAAAATCTGTGAGTGGGATACATGAGTATTCGCACAACACACTGCTCACGCGTTTTCTCCGCTCTAACACTCACATAATTATAGCAATCGCTCACAGATTTTAGAGCAAAAGAGAGACCGCTCGCAGTCTAATAAAAGGACTTACAGATCACTTAGAGTAGTACAAAGAAACATTAACACTGCTGCCAGCCCTAAGGGTTTGCCAAGCCAATCAGGAAATGACTCCTAATAGACAGTGACTCATCCGATAATTTAACTACTAAGTTGATACATGTATATATCTTGCCGGATTTTTAAAAACGAACCTAGCGAAATTTTCAGCCAGTAGAATGGACGAGGGCCAAAAGGGAGGAGAAGAGAAAAAAGCAATAGTTGCACTCTTAGTTTTTATATTGGCTATTTGGATATTTAGGGGGGGGGGGAGGTAACGTTTTCAGAAATCCAACTACACTGATAAATATTGCTGTTTAAGTTTTGATTTCCTAAAAAGGTAGCTGGGGATCATGCTTGTAGTCGGCCCTTGGCCCTTACCGACAGCCCTGCGTGTGGAATTTGCTTAAACTCCCTATTAACTAGTCCAGATCCCCATAAGAGGCCCAGTAATCTTAAATAATTCTTTCTAAATTCTACAGTTTGGCCACTTATTTAAGCCACGCCGACTTTGATTTCACTACTAGCACGCGCGAAAAGACCAACCAGCAGCCTATAGAAACAACTTACCCCTCCCTCCAATTTTTCTTGAGATCAAAATCAAGGCACATTGACTCTTCTTCCAGACATAAATCTGGCGTGTCTGTTCTACCTTCCATATGTTTGCGTAATTCTGGCAAATACTCCTTAAACTGTGAATCCTGAAAAAAAGATTGCATTAATCTTAAACTCTAGCAATGACATGCCCCTTAGCAATAAGAATATAATGCCTTTGTTTGTAAATTCCAAACAGTAAAACAACAGAGTTGAGGGGTATTGAGGAGTTATTACAATAACATGTTGTTACTGTCTTTGTTAGTGAAGATTGCTTGAATTATTGTTTATAATATTTATTTGATTAAAGAATGGTCACAAAGATAACTTTTTCTCTTAACGGTAGTGGACTAAGTGTTCTAGGTATAGAGTTGTCAGTCACACCATTGCAGCCCCTCAGGCTACAACAGCAAGGATGTAAAAGTATTATCAAAAAGTACTAGACTATTCGCAGTCCCCTACTTTTCCATAAGATAGTTGAGAATGAGGGCTGCAGGTAGCCATCCTATCTTGAACATGACTATCTCATCTACTAAAAAAGGCAGGAAATTTCTGCCACACCCCTAAACATGAGCTCCTATGATGTTGCGACAAATCCTCTATTTTTCTCGCCTCCTCCTAAACCGTCCCCTTAAGTATAGAAATGTTCATGTTCATCTTCACTGAAGCTAGACTTGGTCAAGTGGCTGCCTGTAGCACTCGATCTTGATGATCTTATAGGCAAATAAGGGAGAGTCTACAAAAAGTAGGAAGCTGAAAATTCAAAGGAGCTGGTTCATTGGCTATTTCTAGGAACCTTAGTGAGAGGGCTGTTCGATTAAAGCTCTCCCCACCAACCTTTGAAAGCTTGTCTTTAGCTTCATACAATCTTTCAAAAAGTGTGGTGTTAGAAATGTCCCTATCCATTTTGAAATTCTAGTGAGTTTTCATGGGTGGGGAGGGTTGGGGAGTAAGGACAATTTTAAGAGTTTTGATACCTTTGAAATAGTTGTGCCACTGTTTAATCTGGCAAGCCTTTTAATGTACACATTTCTAGTGACTGGTGTGATAGGACCAGGTATTTCACCATGCTCTTGAAGCTTCTCTCTTAGTTCTGGAGTGGAGAGGTGCTGAAGACTTTCTGGAATGACCACAGACTCATTGTGATCAGTCATCTCATCTGCAGGCATGATTGAACTGCATTCTTTCCAGTCATAAAAGATTGTGGTGTCACCAAATTCTGGGTCATCAATGGAAACTGAGATAAAACAACCAACTTGATTAAAATTTAATAAATTACGTAGGAGCTGTGTCATTGAAGTTAGCCATATTCAGATGGCATAAAAGATTGTGGTATCACAAAATTTAGGATCACTGATGGAAACTGAGAGGAAAAAAAAAAGAAAATGCAAATGGAACAGGATGAAATTAATTATAGAAGAAGTGTCATGAAATTTAGCCACATTATTACAGCAAAAACTGGCCACCTAAAATTTAGCCACATTATTAGTGGGCAAAAAACAACGGCCTTGCCTGCCACCTAGCTACTTGACCCAAACATGGGCCACCTAAATGGCCCAAACATGGAAGTAAATGCTTGAAAGGAAAGAAGGTTGAAATAACACCACAAATACAACCTGTAAAAAAGAAGCAAAAAAAAAAAAAACTGGAGAGAATTCAAATGCCTAACAATTTATTATTTTTCAAAGATCATCTCTGTTGATTGTTACTTGAAATGTCATTTTGTTTGTCATGTGGTTTGCAAGTAATTTGTTGCTAACTTCAATTCCATAGGTACAAATCAATGTATGTGACTAGAGATATAAAGTAATTGGCAGTGATCAAGTACTATTAACAAAATGAGCTTCCATTACATAGCCTTTTACTTTTAGTAGAAGGATAATAATGCAATCCATTATTAAATGGTTTAAATACATGCCTGTCATAGCTGGTGAACACAAACACTTGTACAAAAAATATTAATGATCTCAGTGGGGAAGCATAAACAGCAGGTTTATGAGAAGATGTCACCTATAGGATCGTGGCACAATTTTAACAGCAAAATGCAACATTTGTTACATTTTTTAATTGACAGCAACAAATTGATGAAGAGTCACCGATCGTGGACAGAAAAAAGATAGAATCCTGTCACCATTTCATGTCATTATCCCTCTACTCTTAAATTATCAGAATATACCAACCCTTTGTCACTGAATCATGTTTCTCATATACCAACCCTGTTCGGTAAAAGATTGCTCCTGGTATCCTTCCTCAAACACTGTGTTATCATTCACATCAGGATCTGCAAATCTTGAAACATGTGGGAAAACATATTAATAACTTATGTAACTACGTCAATGGAATAGATGACCAAATCTGATTTTATAGTCAAACCTCTGATACTTAAAGCCACCACCCAAAATGCTCACTGAAGATTTGCTTGCTTAATATGGGAGGTGGTCACTAAGTGCATCAAACCACAGGAAATCCAAGTCCTGATTTACCACCAATATTTAGAGTGTGAACAGTCTCATATTTCTCTTCAAAGTCAGTCATGTGGTGAGCACCCACCGGCAAGAGGTACACTGTAGCAAAGCAGCAAAGCCACATGACACAAGAAAAGAAGAAGAAAAGACGGCTGCTCATAGTCAATACTGATCTCAATTATTTAAAGATATTTGTAGAATACAGTTTCTGAGTATAAGCAATGCAAAGTTGTTACTCAAGCCAAGGATCGGTACTCTAAAGAAAGGCAGCTGTAGGGAGCACAGAGCTATGAACATGATGAACATGTGAAAGTTAGGATGCCTCCAGCCTATTATTATTTTTTTATGCAAAAACTAAGATTTCTTAGTTGTTTAAGAGCAAAAGTGAGGCACCAGTAGGGGCCACTGGGCATCAATGATTTTCAAGGCTGTGCTCTAAGGAAAATTGAAGGGAGCCCAGTGCTCTGAATCTGTATAATCTAGGGTGCCCAGCATATGCTTTGTATGAAAAATCTGAGATTTTATGGTAAAATATCCCGTTTGTGTGATTTCTGTGGCTGTTGTTTAAAGATGCAAAAATATTTTAGTAATTTTTGTGCTTTCAATATATAGAAGGACTGTTTTTCAATTTCAGTAAACTGTAATAAGGATTTTTGGCATCTGTCTCCAGATTAACTGTCTGGTTACATATGAGGCCTAAGCATTTTCAACTTACGACTCCTTTTTTTTTTAACTGGGACTCATTGGTTCTGGACTGGGACTCATGATTTTTTGCAAGATGAGTCCAAGGACTCACCATAACTATTTGTAACAAAATCACTGGGCACTGCTACAGCCATGAGCACAGCCCTGCAGAGTGCTTTGTACATAAACCCTAGTTACTTTAGCACGTCCAGCAAACATTGAAAGAAAAAAGTTATAAAACATGACTTAAGAGAAAAAATGTCATCAATTGTCATAAATATAGCAACTGTTTCATGTTGCATTATATCCAAATTTAATAATAATTTTAATAAATAATGTATAAGTAATTTACCCACCTGCAATCAGTAATACTGAAGTCATCCATTTTATCAATAACAGTGATGTCAAAGTCAGTTGAACTTATTTTAACATTCCATGGATGTAACTTAGGAAAAGTCACAACTGTGTGGTCTAACACACTTTCATCTCCGAGTGCTGTGAAGAAGGATTCAGAAAAATCCTCTGTAGACTGTTCATGGTATTTTTCAGGTGAATCAATAATTGATTCACCTGATGCAATAATTGCAGCAGAACTAGGCTTTGATTTCTGAAGTTCCAGCTCCAGTAGGAACTTAACGCAGCCTTCAGAGTCATTTTCTCCTGACAAAGATGCCAAATCTAATGCATTATTGCCATCATCATCCGTCACATTAATATCTCCGCCATATCTGATCAGAATTTTCAAGTTGTGCAATCTACCCCAGAGGGCTGCAATATGTAAAGGGGTAAGCCCTTCTGAGGACTTGACATTAGTGTCTGATTCCTTAGCACAATATTCCAGAATCTTGGACGCATCTTGGCTCTCATAACCAGATATTAAGTGTAGAGCACTTAGGCCATCCCTCACTAGGGTGTCTGATCTTGCTCCTTTTGCAACGAGATCTCTTGCAAGCCTGCAAATAGATAGCTGCTTAGTCCTGAAGAATATCTATCCAACATTACATGTATCTTAGCAACTATTTTAGGGCTCTACAAGCATCAGCCCTGGCTACTTTCACAACACAGTTTCATACATATACTAAGTAAAAGAAAAAGACAAAACAAAACAAAACAGATAGGAAGTCAGAGATAGATGTTTAATATTTAGGCTTAGGTCCCAGTTGTACGGAAGTTGCTATCTAGCCGCCAGGCACAGTTGTTCACAATATAAAGTCACATACAGATATTTCTATCAAGATAAGGAAATGAGAAAAATTTAAATATGTACTTTTTATGACTTCCCATTTTATTCGAGGTATTTATGCCAATGAAATCGAAATAAAAGTATATCACATCAATGTTGTGATTAAAATGGCATTTAAAACAGCGTACGAACAGTATACAGATCACAATTCAGCAGCTGACATGATTGAAATCTATATTGTCTAACAAACTATTGATCGTTGTCTGAGGCCTGAATGTCTGTTTAATAATAAGTCGAGCTTGGAAATCCCTCCAAGAATCTAACTCTTAGTAACAGGAATCTCTGACAGAATTCATAGTAGCAGCCAGTTAGTTTTCACAACAGGATGCATGTCATCTCACGCACGCGGCCCGCATCTTACCTGTAATTTTCTCCTTCAATGGCCGAAAATAAATCCTCATCCATATAATGAAGTTAAAACTTAAAAATAAAAGAGGGTAAAAATAGGAAATCTTTGCTATAAAAGGTAAAAACAGCTATTAAAAACAATAAAACGCCAAGTAGCACTAAAGAGCCTTCAAAAGTGGCGCAAGTTTGTTGATGAAATTGGCGCCATGGTGAGTTCCCAGGATTCCGCGCAGACTTTTGTGTCACGCTAAACAGAAAGCAAAAAGCAAGTTTTCGAATTGAGGAAAATTGAACAAATGTAAAGCTGGCTTTAATTTTTAACATAGAAAAAGGAGTCTTTAAAAATTTATTTTTTTGCGTCTGAACTTCAAACTGTAATTTTTTTAAATTTTCTATTTTACGAAAGAACGTGACAGCAGGTGTGACATGGTCGACGAGAGACTGGGGAAGATAGAAATAAACGCTGTCGAAAAATACCGGTATGAGAATCCCGTGATTTTTCCTGGATTTCCATTCCACAATGTCGCCCCGTTCGATGTTGTATGAAATTTTGGGTTACTTGCTCGGTTATTCGATTGCTTTTTCGCCGCCCAGGTATTCTAAGTGCAACAGTAAAGATTTTAGACACGGGGGAACTGTCTGCGTTTGTTCCGATCAGTTCTGCGATTCGTTCACCTCGGGCGAGCCATTATCTGCTCAGGAGTATGCTGTGTACACGACTTCTAAAGCTGGAGATCGTTTCAATTTAACTACCGGAACGTTTAGCAAGACATTAGGCGTGAAATCAACTGAGACGGTCATCAAGTTAGCCGTGAATAAAAGCGTTACTTTTCAAAGCATTCTTGGCTTTGGAGGAGCCTTTACAGGTCAGTAATGGTTGGTTTACATTAAAGTGAAGCTATAGAAATCCTCAGCTTATTTAGAATAGCCGTGTTGTCAACTAGAAGAGCTATATAATAATATTATCATTTTTTATTAACCGCTGCCAAAGTGGCTGAGAAGAAACTCAGGGGCGGGGGGCGTGGGAAGGGGAGGAACTCTGTAGTTTGTAAGACCGTGAAGGGATGATTGAAAAGGAGGCAAAAAAAAAAACGAATTTTCTCACGTATGGAAGTCTACAACCGGCCAGCTGCATACAGCACGTGCACGCTACTAAACCATTCTTCCTGAGACTACAGCCAAAACATCTTAGTGGAGGAGAGCATAGCCTGTGTACAGACGTCCCCCCTCCCTAAGGAGAGCAAAGATGGCTATATTAGCGGGCTATGATTACCACAAAAAATCGATCCTTGGGGAAGCAAAGCCATCATATCTAGCTCAATACCATTACTTCATCCTTTTTCTTACACCTCAGTGGTGCTGAGGTCAATGAAATCATAGTTTCAATCAATTTCCTCCCCGATAGGTTTATGCCCTTGATGACTTTCCTCGTGTATTATTAATCTTGACTTATCCTAATCATGTGCCAACCATAAATGAATGATGTCAGTTGGTGAATTGCCTACATTGAAGTGGGATTACATTTTATTTATTGATAATGTTTTAGGGAGCTTTTTGTTTAACAGTCTTTCCAAGTAACACGATAAAGACATAAATCCGTAACCCTTATTTAGGGCTGGCCCCCTCAGGTGACAATCTTCTGTCACACCTAGGATCTTTTACTTTCTGCTATTTGCACCTTGATTTTCCTGCTCTAGAGTTATAGAATTCTTTGTCCTTAAATAATAGATACGATGCAATCAAAATCTTTAATGTGAATGCCCTCGTCATCAGTTTGTGAAAATAGCAGTATTTTATAAAATAGTATTGCTTCATTTTTATGTTGATTTATACTGTATTTGACATTCTCTTTAATGAAAGATGCTGCTTCAATCAATATACACAACATTAGTGACTCCCTAAAGGAGAAACTGCTAGATTCATATTTCTCTGACATGGGTATTGAGTACACCATTGGACGCATCCCCATGGCAAGTTGTGACTTTTCCACAAGACCATACTCTTACAACGACCATGAAGGTGACCTTGCAATGGCAAACTTTAGTCTGGCTCAGGAAGACTTGAAACTTAAGATACCATTGATATTGTATGCAAGAATGAAAAGTAAGAGAAACATTTTCATGTTTGGTAGTCCATGGTCAGCACCTGCTTGGATGAAAACAAATGACAAGATGACAGGGTTTGGTCAGTTAAAAGGCAAAACAGGGGACAAGTATCATAAAGCTTGGGCCATGTATTTTGCAAAGTTTCTGGAGGCATATAAGGAGAAAGGAGTAGACGTCCAGGCTGTTACCGTGCAAAATGAACCATCAGATGGATTTATTCCTTTGTAAGTCTCAATGCTTTTTGCAGAATTTTATAGACCTCTGAGACAGTAGACTAATATTAAACACATAATGACTGGTTCCAAGGGAATCAGTTAATTTCGTTTCCCGAGAATCTCAATGTTTTCTGAGACGGAGGGGGGGAAAATTTTGAGATTTGAGGTGATTTGCTATATACCTGGAAATTTTGAAGCTGGAAATTGATTAAACCATAATTGCTGTAACCATTGTCGTTCAACATTTCTGGGTAACAATGCCCTGTTACCCTCTGACGTCAGAGCCATGTTGCCTGCTCAGAGATTTTGGTGGGTAACAGTTTTATGGTTAGATGTCATGTGACCTCAAAGTAACCAATGAGAGTGTGTGCAGTTGGGAAAAAATTGGGGCCTATAGGTGGGAAGGGGGGGGGGGCTTAATTATAAGTGGCAGTTTTATACAGGTAGTTGAAATGCAGTTTCAAAACTGTTACAGTTTAGATATTTGATAAAACACTCGCCATTGTGTTTGATGTGCAGCATGTACTCAATAGCCAGGCTAACCAATTTTGCACTCTGTACCAGTTTTAAGTTCCAGTGCATGGGATACACAGCTAAGATGGAGAGAGATTTCATCAAGGAAGACCTAGGACCAACTCTAGCGGCCAGAGGTCATGGTGATGTTAAAATTATCATGCTGGACGACCAGCGGATATTTTTGTCATCTTGGGCGGAAACCATCCTCAGCGATCCAGTGGCTGCTAAGTTTGTTTCCGGGATTGGTGTTCACTGGTATATGGATAAATTCGAACCTGCAACAGTTCTTACTGACACTCATAATAAGTAAGGATTAAATTTTAATGCAAGGATGTTTAAGTTTGATCAACTAATTTAGAAAAGTACACATAACACTTACATTGTACTTCACACGCCCTTGTCGGATACAGGTTGGCTGTAGTCAATCTCATCCCACAAAGGTGAATGTAATAATATTTTTAATTGTATCAGTCTTTGTCCTCACCCATGCAATTTCATTTAATTTTACAGAATGTCCTTTTTAATATTATGCAGTATTCAGGCTGTATGTCAGTCCAAGTTTGCTGCTGTCATATTATAGGCTCGATTTCTTCTGCTGTTGCGGATCCCTTCTAGCTGCTCGGACCATCTTGTTCCTTCCTTGGAGTCGCGCTCCTTTCTCAAACAGAGGCTGATAATCGAGCCTACTGCTGTCACTGTTGCACTTTTTTTAGTGGGTTATAATAGTTGATAATCAAGATCCAGTAAACTAATGAGAAAGCTTACAAATGCTTGATTAGTAACTTTTAAGACCGAAACCTAACGACTCACTCAGATTGCTAATTAAAAAAAGGTGTACCTGACAAAGTGGGCACAATACTTTTTTAAAACTAATCCCAAAGGCCATCCCTTCGCTCTCTCTCTCTCCCCTTGTTTTTTTCCTGCTCTCTAAATTCGCGGTGCACAGTCTACTATCTGAACGCCTGTACCTTGGCTCGGTGCATGTTTTAGACTTCGAGCGAGTGGAAAAAGTGTTTGAATTTTGTGACCAGTTCGGGGATAGACGTGTAACAAGGTACATTATGTGATTTATTTTGTTGTTTTGTATCTCGCACAGATTTCCAGATCACTTTATTCTTTCCACCGAAGCTTGTAACGATCCATTGACGTCCAAACCCCCAATTGTCAGCCTAGGAGACTGGTCACGAGGAAACAAGTATAGCCACAGCATCATTGAGGTACATTATGCATTTCATATTAAATTCGTTCTTTCGCTACCTCGATACCGCCTTTTAAGGCGGCCCACTTTAATTCACAAGATACGAAAAAGACTGACCCAGAGCTTGATGTTGTGCCACATTGTGAAGGGAATCAAATCCCTGATTTTATTTTGCTTTTGAGTCAGAGAAGATTCAAGAATGCCAGCTCAATCTGAATCTTGTGAATCCTCCTGAAGTGTATCAAGTCGACGTTATATTAAGCGGGATTAGTGGGTACCCTATCCTGTATTAAGCGGACCCCAGGTTCCATTTTAATAGTACTGAACGTCCGTGAGTACAAGATTTGACTGAAAGGTTTTTCGCGTCTTCTTAAAAAAATAGACACCTCGGAAAGTGTCATTGTATTTTTTTTTTACCAGAATAGTTAGCACTGTTATTTTTAGTGAAGGAGTTAAAACCCTATCCCGATCGCAAAATCATAAAACCTCTAACACTTGATAACTTGTTTTCGCCATTCTCGCTAGGTAGTAGAATGACGACGGCTATTACGTTTTCCCGCCAAAATGACGATGGTTCACGCGCGCACACTACCATAGTATTTAGAAAATCTTGTACTCTTAGTCATCCTCGTCTTAAAATCTAAAATTTTTTAGATTTTGGGGGCCGCCCTCTTTCCTAGGTCACCTCTGTCCTATTTCCCCCTGACCTATTAAACGCGACGTTTCTACTATCTGAAAGCCTGGCACAGGCTAGTATTAAGTGGACACCCAGTAGTAAGCGAATCCCATATTAAGCGGACATCTTCTGTTAAGTAGAAGAATTATTTCAACGTTTCTTCCCATATTTCCTGAAAAACAAGCCTGCACTTTAGAGGCTACTTCTATGAAGTGAACATCAATGAACTGCAGTGTTCTCTCTATAAATTTTAGCTCAGTAGGGGGGGTTGGGGTCTTCGCGATCACGAAGGCTTTCATTTTCCAGCATCCTGTCAACCAACTGACCGAAAAGTATTTTCAACACCTCAAAACAAAGAATTTTTAGGAATGGAGGCTGCCTTTGCCACTAGGGTCAATTTAGTAACACGAGTCGTGGAAGTTGCGAACTTTTCCTGCTGGTAGAGAAAGTCAAAGAGTACTGACAATTGGGACAGAAACCCACGAAAAAAGTGTTAGCTTGCAGGACTCCGAAAGGTTTCAGTCAACATTTGAATAAAGTAATCTGAGAGAAGAGCTGTGTATACTTTTTGCCGGTTTTTTCGTATTTACATCCTTTTCTTGTAAGAATCGGCTTGGATCACAACTTGCGTATGTTTTTAAACAACTTATTTAATTTTAGTAATACTTCAAGCAGTTGCAGGCTGTAAGAAGTGTTGCTTCAAGCGGTAAATTTTACCAGTTAACGCCTGATAAGGAGAACACCCTCGTCGAAGATGTCCGCTTAATACAAGGTTTACTGCATGTATTCTGTTATTAAATTCAAATGCTTAGTGACCCTTCTATTAGTAGCCTATTATGCATGTTTACGTCATTTCACCATCCACAGGTGACCCATAACTCACAATACGAGGAAAGGGTGCTAAGTAACACCCTTTCCTCGTAACGTACGTTTGGGGCGCCTGTACACCATCAAGCCTCGTTTGTGAACAAAATTGTTCGCTCATATATAGTTTTTCGCGAGTATACCAAACTGGGAATTCCTTGCTGATATGCTTCGCAAGATTTCGCTTCCAGATCGGGTGGTCTGACGATCTTAACTTATTGAGGTTGACTCAAAATAAGACTTTGGTTCGTCTCCTGAAAAGTTCGACGTTTTTTTGACTTAGCTGCTTAGACAGTTTACTTAACGACCAGAACAAAAAGTTACTTGTAATAAACAAAAATTGTTTTTGTGAGAAGGAAGACTAAATTTGCAACTGTTTGTCCTATACGTCAATAGATGCGGTTATCTTAAAACTTTAAGCAAAGTATTTTTCATCGCTTTTCGAATTTCTCTGAGTCTCCACGAATAAAGCAAAGGATTTAAAGAAGAGTTTATGTACACAAATGTCCAAGAAATCTCGAATGCAAACGAGAGGGAATATCTCCTTTTTAAGAAGGGAAATACGACAGCTAACGACATGTACGGTAGATAACAAAGAAGTAAAATAAAATACACGTAGAACATTGTAAGAGATAACTTTCTTAATCGCAAAATGTTGAGAAGTCCTGCATTGGGTGTCGAAGCCTGTTCATGTTGTTGTTGTGTCCATATTTGTCGCTTGTGCCGTTGAACTACGCGGTAAATCTTCCAGTACATTGTTGCATTCACAATGAAGCTGGCAAGAGCAATGACGGCTCCGGCAAATTCATCATATGAAGGAAACCACACTGTCGCGGAACAAATTAGGATCGAAGCCAGAAAGAGAACAACTAGAAACCAAGATACGCGCCGGACCGTGATAACTTGATTGTACCGCAAATGAAGACGCAAGGCGAGGAACCTGTCTATGCTAAGGAAAGTGACGGTCAACAGAGAAAATGAACACAGAACAGCCGACACGGCGATCACCGACGATACAAGAGTGCCACGGTTTCCGCTTAATGTTTTGTAGTCTTGAAATCTCCAAGAAATGTACAATGGTTGAACGAATAGTCCGACGCAGAAATCGGATAAGGACAGACTAATTAAGAAGACATTCGAGGGCGTGAGCATAGACGGACTCCTGATAAAGGATGCTAGAATCAACAAATTTCCAGCGATAGCCAGCATCGAAAATGGAATATTACACGCCGCGTTGACGATGTAAGGAAGTGCTTCGGTTCCCATCCCTTCCAATATTCAAGTTGGCTTAAATTTCTCTTGATCGAAAAAGAGACCCTCACGTCCGTTGAAGAGGAAATTAATGGCAAAACAACTTTTCTCACAAATCAAAAACTGTCTTGATTCTGTCTACGATGTCTTTGCACAGTGAGTCACCTGCATGCAAAATAAACTTGAGAGCACTTGTTGGGTACGATATACTCCCTGTGTAATTAAGAGTTTTTCAACTTGTCATCCCTTCTACTTTGTAAAATAAGTCGGCTCAACGTTTCTTTCCTCGTCCACGCTCAAAGATGGGTTTCATTTAGCACTGCATGGACAACACTCTCACGTTAGTACGTTGTACAGTCCAGATATTAAAGCGAGATATTTTCATGAATTGTCAACGGAAAGCTTCAATAGGATTGCCAACTTGTAAAAGGATCAGCTGGGAATTTCAACAAAGAAAAATCAATTTGCACCAGGAGGTGTATAAGTGTATTTATAGCTTCCACTGTCCCCCGCAGCTGTATGCAAATGCGTAAACTTGTTTGCTGTTTCTGTAAAACCCACCAGTTATATTTGCTATAAAGGACACATGTCGAACTGTAATACTAAGATTTATGATTGACCTCTTAAGGCGAAAATCAAAACTCATTACGTGTCTAAAACATCTCCCTTTTTGCTCACAGACGGAAGTGCAGCTTTTTGTTCGAAACCGCGTTGCTTTACTTTCTATTCTTTGTTGCATGTGTCATTCCCCGTAAATTAAGCGTTTTTTACTGAGTTGTCTTGTGCATATCCCCATTTCTCAGTTTGACCCTTAACAAACGTTCAAGCAGTAGAATTTCAGTCAGGTTCTGACACGCGCGAAAAGCAATTATCACAAAAATATTTGTCCGTCAAGAATGTTTTGTTCGTTTTTTTGGGGTGAAGACTTGAAAAAGAATCATAAAAAGTCGTAATCTTGTAATCTCTCACTAAGTTAATTGATTGATTGGCGTTTCAGACAGAAGCAGGCAATTTATTGTGTGTATGGTAAGAGCTTTTGGAAATGAGTGATCAGTGATCGCGGTGGTAGTGTTTTCATCTCGAGCAACTGAAAAACACCCGATAAATATCTAGGCTTATAACTTAATTCGTTGCGTTTTGGGGAGATGATCGGCCACTCTAACTTTTGCTTCTATGCACGAAATTCTATGATGTTATCATTCCAGGACTGAAACCTTATTTGCAGAACTTACACAGTTCTATTTAAATCTTAAGTTTTAAAAAGTGAAATTTGGTTTTCTGCCTTTATACCAGAACTACGAGGCCTATAACCTTGATTATTCCGGATATCACAAAAACCTCATCCTCCAATAATAATTGTTATATTATAGCTTTGTTTTGAAGAAAGTAATGACAAACACACTGTCTTCCGGAAGACAATTTGACCTTGCTCTTGGAAATCATGCACTGCACTTAGTCTAACTCACAGCCTACAGATTAGTCAGATGTAACTTAAACTAGCACATAACAAACTAATCTGCAGGTTGCGCTGATTAACAAAATTAGCTGTAGGCCCCTAGCCAATGAGAAGACATACAATGAGTAAAATGTATAATCATAACTATAACAAAATTGTCAAATCTGATTGGCTATCAACTGCCCTGATTTCAGCCGTAATTGGACAGTTTAATAGGACAGTACGCGTCATGCCTAAGTAACTGGACAGTACGCGCCATCACGAGCGCGCTTAAATGGCTTTTTTTTTTTCACTACTAGCAAAACAAAATTTCGAATTTCTTGTGTTTTGATTTAAAAAATAGCCTATTATATCACAAATTTTGTTAATGTTATGATTAATTGGTGACAGAACTTCGTGTCGTCCAATTCGGTCTGTAATCATACTCGTGATTAAACAAATCGGACCGCCGATACGCGTTCGTCCGATTTTGTTAATCACTCGTATGAACACAGACCGAATTGTACTCCACTCAGTCCTGTTACCATTATTAATAACATCACTGTGTAGTGTTATCGGGGGTCTGCAAGTCGAGACTTAACTGTATTATTTGCTTAAGTAATGACCCTTTCAGGATTATAGGCGAGAGGCAAGATCGATAACGTTGTTGATACCGTTTTCTTTTTGACCCAGGACTTGTCAAACTGGTCTACCGGGTGGGTGGACTGGAACCTAGCACTGAACATGGAAGGAGGCCCAAACTGGGTCAAGAACTTTGTTGATTCGCCGATTATAGTTGACGCTGAGAATGGATTATTCTACAAACAGGTAAAGTAAAGACACCCATTTTTGTGCCAAAGAAAGAACAGTTTGTTCACAATTTATCTCGCCTCATCCAAAGGCTAGGCATGCGCAGCCAACATACTCAAGGTACCGTAAAACGAGCCACAGAAACGTGCAACTTGCTTTGCAACATCGCTGCAAAACGAGTTGAAAACCAATGTTACGCGTTTTACTAACCACGAATCAAGCCTGTCTTGCAAAAATTAAGTTGTTGCAATATGTAGAGAGTAGATCTACGTTTTGAACATAATCTCTACACACTGTGGCGCGTTTTACCGACCAGGGCAAACTTGTTTTGCAGGCTCCCGGTGGACAAGTTTTACAGCCCGCGTAATTGTATCCAATCAGAAGTCAGTATTCACACAACTTGTAACAACCAGATTTGTTGCAAGAGGTAAAACGCCCAACATCGCCATTCAACTAGTTTTGCAGCAATGTGGCAAAACAAGTTGCACGTTTTTGTTGCCCGATTTACCCGGTAGCCTCAGTTCACCGATGACTTTAGAATTCAAGCAATCCCACACGGCAAACATGAAAATCAGTTACTTTTCTTAACTTAATCTTTGTAACTGGTGTTTTTACTATGTCTAAAGAAGTATTATTTACTGGGCAAGTGTTAGACCCCTAGGCAGTGGCGGGGTGTGTGTGTGTGTGGGGGGGTGGGGGGGGGGGGGAGTGGGGATGGCTTATTTTAGAGTTAGAGTTTGCAGGGGCTAAAATGGGGGTGGCAAACCATGGTAATTCATGTCATTTTTTCAAAAGCAAACACAGTTACTTAACTTACACCCAACCTTTGAGTTTAAACAACCAGTGTAAAATCATTGAATACAGTAACATTTGTCTGCAAAGAATTACTGCTATATATACATACTTTAATGTTTTTTTTTAGGATATTTGCCTAATTTCAAACCAAGAGTGGCTGGGTATTAGTCCGTTTATTTTGGGATAAACCACGTTGATCATGATGTTTAATGGGCCTATATTGAAAGAGATACAGCTTTTCAAAAAACTCCAAAATTAACTAGGAAATATATAAACGTCCAGACAGTGTGTCTGGCAATCCTTATACATGTATCTTGTATAAAGTTTCAAGTTTTTAAATGGCTATTTTTTGTTCAATATTGGCCCGATAGACACCAAACTTGAGATTTTTTCTAACCTACATGTGCTCTTTCTTATTATGTAGCCCTCCTTGGTTTGAAATGAGGCAATAACTCGGCAATAACATTTCAAATGGTGACAATTGGGGGGTGGAGGGGGGCTCATCAGAAAGATAACAATGTACTTATCTATTTTTATTTTATTTGCAGCCGATGTTCTATCACCTTGGTCACTTTAGCAAGTTTGTACCTGCAGGCTCAAAGAGAATCCAAGTAACTGCAAATGAACAGTCATCACTACAGTTCATAGGCTTTACAACACCAAGCCCTTATGCTTCCACAGTTGTCGTGGTGCTAAACACTAGTGACCAAGAAATTGCATTGGAGATTCACGATGAAGACCTAGGGGTTATCAGAGAGACAGTACCAGTATCATCTATTCAAACTTACATCTGGTAAAATGTACCACTTCAGTCTACAGAGGAGATAGAGTTAAGTTTTTTGAGTTATGATCTAAAGAGGAAAGACAATATCTGCAAAGAATTCATGACAAACTGGATCTATTTTCAATTGGTGAAATGGCATCAGGGAACTATTATGAAGACGTAGGAATTATCAGAGAGACAATACCAGCGTCATCCACTCAAACTTAAATCTGGTAAAACATACCAGTTAAACCAGTTTTTTTTATTGTATGATCTAAATTGAAAAGACAATATCTGAATAGAAGTCATGAAATGTTAATGAAGATAGCTTTGGAGTCCTACGAATATTTCTACAATGATGTCTGTCAAGATAAAGCTTACATTTTGTGAGATACAGAGGATTTATTTAAAAAAAGAATTTTTTTTACACATGGTAAGGAACATGGCAAGAGATCTGAAGACATTTTGGCAGTGAAATGATACAAGTATTTAATAATATTTTTAATAATTTTCATAACAGTGAGGAAAAATGTTAAATATTAAAATTATTAATTTGTATTAGATTCTGGCTTTCACAGTCCCATGTACCATTAATTAAATGTTTAGGGAATTGAAAGTTCTGACAGTGTCTGACACATTTAGCTACTTTTTAGGTAGCTTTTCAAAAGTTTGTTGTTGTTTTTTTACAAAAAAGGTGCTTGCAAAAGTAGAAACATTTAGATCAAAATTTGCCATAAAAGAATAATCTTGTATGCATTACTGTTAGGGGAAATAATAAATAATTATTCTGAAAATCATTTTAATTAAAAAAAAGTTTGCAGTGATCACATATCATTGTCCAGCAATTTTTCAGAGCCTGATAGTTCATCATCGCCATAATCATCATCATCATCGTCATCATCACCACTTGAAAAGGAATTTGATTTGGTACTTAAACCATTGTGTGGTTCAGCATTTTTAGAAGTAGAGTTCTCCGTGGCATCCACACCATTTCCGTTTTCACGATGCCGAAAGAATGTTCCTGTGAAGAAAAAATGGGATCCTTGTTTTAGCATACACTTTTTTTAAAATTCAAAACACAGATTTGGAATTTGGTTCCTAACTTTAAATTCATCACTGTGAAGAAATATTTACTGCCCATACAGGGTGGCTACCTATTTTGGTCTTGAAAGAATCTGAGAACTCAATTTGTTTGGAAGTTTGTTTCACTGTTTATTAGCAGTTTCCAGTCCCGGCCGCCTAGCACCCTATGCAGCGAAGCAAAATTGCAGCCACAATTTTATCTAAGAATTTTGTGATCGCTAAGAAAGTGAAAGTCTATGATTCTCTCTGAACACGCTTTAAAAGAAAATGACGTTAAACTTATTGTTATAGAGTTTCTTAGCACTCTTGAATCTGCGACATCTTGGTTAGACATTCATGAGTGCTATGTATGAGGTTGAAGTCGCAAGTTGGACAAGAGTGCAAGGGACAGTTTAATATTTTCTACAATTCAGCTGGTAAGTTACTCATTTGCTTGTCATGTCACTTGTAAGGTTAAGTATTTTGGGAAGGTAGTGAACTTTTTTCAGGGGAAGACAATGTTCTTTCATGTGTTTTGCGGCACTGTCGTTCCATGAACCAAACCAGTTGTATCAGCTGTGGATCACTGTGGATCACAAACACAATCAACGAAATCTTGTCACAAGGAGACAATAATTTGTTTCAAAGAACCCTAGACAATCTACTCAGCAGAATCCTTTTTAGCAGATAGCCTTCCTATTGTAGTTCACCAGAAGGGAAATGGAGCAACGAGGTACTACATGTACACATAAAAATGATATCAGACTCACTTCTTTCCCTTTCTGTCATTGCTTTTATTTCGTGCTGTAACATACTGTCTTCATGTGCTTTTTCTGCTGAACTGGGTTCAGATCTACAAACGAATACACACTCAGTTAGCTGATTTTGCTACTATCTCCCTTTTGCCCTTCACTCCTTATGGTATGAAAAAAATCACAAAAGTAAAATCCAATTTTATTTGTGTTCAATACTACAAAATAATTTATAGCAACATGCAAAAGTTCTACCTAAGATAGTAACCTGGATAAACTTTTCAGATCAATAGGCTCTATACAGTAATGGAGACTCGACCCTATGTAAATGCCAGAATGTTAGTCATCAGGCCTAGAGACTTGAAGTGTGAAAAAACAAATTCAAACTTGAGAAATTACATGTGTGGGATTGGTTGACATATTCAGAAAGAACAAGCCCCCTTGCCAAAATGAGGCTTTTAGTGCCAATAGGCAGGATGATATAAGCACCTTTATGTGCTGATGACTTCATACATTTCCTTATAAAATGGGCTTGGATTATAACATGTATGATCCAGGCCTACGCTACAGTGTAACCAGTCCCATAAAGTCACAAATTTAGTTTTTCTGACGTCTTCATTTCACTTCTCTATTTTAATCAGTACGGTCTTATAGGTGGATTTTTATCGCAGTGCTTGTCAATTTTAAAAATTCTTACTTTGCCACTATTTCCTGGGGCTTTCCACATTTTTCGCACACCTTTTCCTGTTGTGCGCATCTTGAACAAACAGTGTGGTATGCATGCTTTATTGTCTTCTGTTCACATCTCACACTGTAAGTGAATAACATTAATTTATAATGTCACCATTCATATGCATCCCTTTTCTCCTAGCTACCTAAGAGCCTGTACTGTATATTAAACAGTCATGGCAAGCATCGTGAAAATCTTAGCTAATCTCAGGGTCCTTTTAAGTGCAAGTGGGACAGAACAGCTGGATCTGATTATTTACATTTACAAGTTTTTTTGTAACACATCCAGGAAAAAAGGCATGGTACGTGTACAAAGCTCAGGTTAAGATCCCTGCTTCTAGCAATTTTTAGCTCTGGTCTCCACTGCAGGTAGCATTTTGTAGAAAACAAAATCCTTCGTCAAATTCCTTGATAATTGAAAATCTTGTTCTTGACTCTGTTTTGGTTGAGATGTACCTACTTAAGGTTGGGTTTTGCAGAAAATGATAACCTGCAATCTGGCGGTCCTTCTTCCCTTTTGTTTAGGAGACAAGGGGAAAATTAACCTGATACATTTACTTTATGTGTTGTTTGCCCGTAGTCCAGAATCTGGTCTTTTGTCTGATCGGTTGAAAAAGAAAAGATCCTTTAGAGCCCTGCACCGATTGGTTACAAACAACATAATTCACTTCTTGCTTTGTCAGCTTCGCGTTTTCATGACAGAATCCTGAGATGATCGCTTAAGGTTATTAAGCTACCTAGGTCTTAAAAAGAATAAATAATGCTTTTTTAGTGAATCAAGTCAATAATGCAGAGGAAAAAACCTTGACAGCTGATGAGGACAAGTTATTATTTGTCACTGGTTAAGGATATCCAATATTTCTTCTTCGAAGCTTTCTTGCTCGGACCAGGCAGAATTTACCTCAAAGAGCATTGTCTTTGATTTCCGACTGAGTTAAACTGCATTGTATAAAACAATAATTATTGACAATTTTTCAAACTGATGAAAGACCATGAAAGATTTGTTGCCACAAAATCAATTCCTGTACTTTTTAAAAGCCGCCTTGGTTGCAAACTGCTTGAATTTTCGGTAAAATCTGATATGATAACACAAATGTTGACAGATGCCTTAGTTAGGGGGCGGCAGACAACACATGGAGTGAATGTATCTACCTGATTGCAGATTAAGAAAATGAAGCCCCGTTGATAATTGCAGATCTTGATGTTCCTTACACAGATCTAGCTGAAATACATGTAGCTATATCAAGCTTTTTTCAAGTGATTTTGAGAGGGTCATCATTTTCCTTGGTTGTTTTCCACCCTCACCTTCCTTTTCTTGTCCAGAACAGTTAGTGGTATAGCATACCTATCCCACCACTGCCCCCCACTTCTCCCCAACCAGGACAATAATATCTAAGAAACTTTCCAGGAAATTGAAAACCAACATAACAGTACATGGGTTATGCCGCATTGTAAATTGCGAGCAATTCCACAGGATAGACAGAAGCAAACAAAAAAACAATGACCAGCTGATCAAGGAAAACTGAGAAGATGGCCACCTATCTCTAGTTCCCCTTCTACCCCTTTCGCTCTCTGCAAGTCCAAGCCTGACTTGACTGACTGAAAACAACCTGCTTGCACTTTAGTAGCCTGCATTGCAGAGGTAATCTAAACCTCTGCGAAGCAGCCCCAAAGTCCCAACAGCATTAAACAAATCACTACAAATGCCTTTTGAATTTCCCTTCAACCTGATTGGCATATTAACAAAGGCTTTTCTGAACAGGCCATTCATGAAATGTACTCAAATCCTGGTAGCCAGGTGGGGGCCCAGAACAAGGATTTCGGTGCTGTTTCGCAGCTGGACTTATCAAGAAGTTTAGTTCCGTCTGTGGAGCAGACTAGCAGTCTGCAATTAATAATAGAAAGTGTCATTGATTTTACTGGTAAGTAACCAGTGAAATCAATGGCAAATTATAAGGCCACTACTTATAAATTTAAGCATACCTACCACTTTTTAGGAGCGGTAAGAGGTTTGTACTTCTTGAATTTTTTCCTCCATTCAATGATCTCTCTGCATTTTGCGCAAACACCACCGACAATCAAACCGTTAATCTGCTTTGTTCCCTTGCTTGTGTCATAAAGATCATTCTTGAATGCTTTTGTATTTTGATATTTCTGTCCTTTCTTTGAGTTATTTCCCCTTCTTGTACTCATTTCTTTTATTTTTTGACCTGGTATTAAAGGCTTCAGCAGACTTTTTACCCAAAAAAACTGTCCTTTGCTCTTCCCTTCTGTCAGCGGTACCCTTTCTAAAAATCATGCCTAAGGGTTCTTTGCGCCTAAACTTTGCGTAATGACTGCTGACCAAATTCAAAATGGCGGAGGAGGAGGCATCACATCCAAAAGTTCTCATTTTTACTGCACCAATTTTATGCTTTAAAGAAAAAGCTCCAAACCTCACACGTAAAGGTGAGTTTTTAATTGGAACGGGAAAAATTCAGTCCTGGTAAAAATGGCTTCTTATCGATGGCACCATCGTCCTCTGGTCGTCGGAGGGAGAATTTTAGTTTGAAGTGAGTTATCGAGGGCTATTTAACGTAAAGACAAAAGAATAACTAATGCGACAAATTTGGAATGAGGTGACCTGAGGTGTACGGACCTTCCAACTAAACCATGCGAATCTGGAGTATTTGAAACAAATTCCCCAAAAACCTGGAGACCTCAAACGTGAAAGATTTCCAAAATATGTGTCAAATAAAACCCAAAAAGCAGATATTCTTATATTCTTTACGTCGATAGGACAATGAATAGCCAAATAAGGATGCCATAAGGCTTTCCCACAGACCTTAGCAAACCTATGATTTCTGGGAATTAGGATGGAATTGGACTCAGTAATATTTTCTGATTCACTGTGGAATTTTGAGGCTAAATAGACCTTGTCACGGTTTTCGACGCCATCTTGATGAGTAGGCAAACGCGTGAGAAATTACAGTGATGGCATGAGAATCTAATGTTGAATAATTTCGGTAGGACGGCTGTTCTGAAAGAAATACGATTTGTGAACTAAAGCTTCACTCTTAAGGATTCTCCTGAAAAAATTTGAGGGCGTTACGTGCGCTAGAAGACCTAGAACCACTTTTCAAAATTTTCAGCACATTTGTCTGTAATTTAAGTCGCGGGAAAATTACAGACAAATATATGGAAAATCTAAAGCAAGCCTCTGGAGAAATTTAAGCACAGGTACGCCCCCAAATTTTTTTAGGACAATCCTTTGCTTTGTAGCTTTAGTTTACAATAATTATTGATACTTTGTTCAGAACGGCCGTTTTACGGAAATTATTCGACATTAGATTCTCATACAAACACTGTAATTTCTCACACGTTTGCCTACTCGTCAAGATGGCATCGAAAACCGTGACAAGGTCTATAGTTAGGCTGTGAGTTAACTGCCCAAACCGTGAGAGTTGGAAGGACTGGGTTCCCTCTGTAGGTACCAAGGCACAGATTATGTACAACATAAGAAACAGTACAACCAAACAATATTAAAGCCCCCAGGAGAACTCTTGTTGGCTCCTTTGTTTCTTTTGTGATGATTCTACCTGCAGAAATACCTAAAGTCTATGTCTATTGCACTCTCATACATGTATACCAGCGCTCAATAGGTCTAGGTCTTTGTTTTGTTTTTGCCTCTCTGACTCTTGAAAAGCGTAAACAAATCTCCTTTTCTTGGTGTAACTGGGTCTCCTGGAAACCTTAAAGATTCACAATCAAGTGTAGATCATTTTTGACAGTCTGGAACTGTGTTATTTCGAAAACAGGCCTGTTCAAATTCCTATTACATTAGCCCAATGTTCTTCCCAAAGTTTTTCCAGTAATGCAGAGTTTTTCGTTATTCTTGGTGCAGCATTACAGGACAATAAGGTTTGTAGAAATCATGGTGTTTTTTGGAACCTCCCCCAATAAGGTTTGTAGAAATCTTGATGTTTTTTGGAACCTCCCGCCCACCCTTAACACACCATGTGGACATGTTATAAGATGTTCATGGGCTGAAAACATTGCAACTTTGCCTGCAATGAATCCTACCCTCTTTTTTGCCCCCTGTATCACTGTGGCTGCAAACTAGGCTGTTTATTTATATATCTTCTCATGTCTGAAATCCCCTCTGATATGAATCTAATATTTTCATCTGAAATGTAGGTAGCAAGATCTGTTGGAGTAAAACAACTTTAAAACAAAGTGGGAAAGCATTTGTGCGGTGTGAGCAGCAATTTTCCAGCAACAAAGATGATGACCTCACTGAAGAGAGTGACCTAAGGCTTGAATATGAACCATTAGCAGTTCAGGAGTCTGTCTGTTTATACCTGGAAAGTGAATTTAAAAACACTGAACACACTTCACAGCCAACTGAGTCATCTTCATTTGGGTTTGAAACAGGGTGTCATGTAGCTCACAGTGAGAATGTTGATGCTGGAAATCTGCAGAGAGAGTTTGAAGACATAAGATGTGCAAGTCAAAGACTCCTCATTGAAAATGGTGCACGAAGTTCAAGCATGTCTAGTGATGAGGATAAAAAAGCGATCAAAAGGAAGTTTGATGCTCTTGGCGGTTTTGATTGTGATACTGATACACATCAGTTGACAATGGAGGATGTTTACACCCAAGAAAAATTCCCCTCTTCTTCATCAAGTGAGACATGTAATCCAATTCACAAAGAAGATACCACAACAGAGACTACTGCAGAAGTGAGCTCTAGTGTCAAACAAAGTGTTAACCCTGCTCGGGAACTTGGAAATAATGCTGTACCAAAAGTTTGTAACACATTAACTGCATTCAAAGACTGTAATGTAGAAAATGCTCTGGTTAACATTCTGTTTGTTGTTATCCAAGTGAATGACACCCGCGAAGTGCAAATAAAATCAGGCGCCAGTGCTGGAACATTTGTAGCTGTGTCTTCAGTTCTAGTTGCTGATGAATCAAAGCCATGTTTCAAACTTACACTTTGGAGAGAAGCCTCCAGGTGGACTGAAAAGATAATGCCTGGGGATTTTGCTGTTGCTACGTCAATTAAGATTGGAAAATGGCGCAGTGAATTTGTTGGGCAGACAACTTTTAACTCAGGTTTCTATAATCTGCATCGACCGAGAAGACTTCTATCCAACATTTGCCGAAAGTTAGTTTCACAGGAGAGATTTAATGCCCTTGCCAAATGGGTTAGAACAGAGCACCCTTACTTCTTTGGAGCTTCTACTCTAAAGAGGAAAGTTGAATTTACTGAAATTGCTCAGATGCTTGACAACACCTTGGTTCACTTCAGAGCTAAACTGATAAGTATTCATGACTCCTCCCCTTCATCAAGTACCTATCATTTTGGTGGTCAACAGCTGACCAAAATTATAGCAGGTAAGTTTCTTGTAACATTTTAGCTCATGTTTGAGTTTATGCAGGGACCCAGTTGTTCAAAGGCTGGATGGCACTATCCACCAGATAAATTTCTATCTAGTGGATATTGCAGTAGTTTCCCCAATACTTATCCACAGGATAGTGATTTATCTGTGGATAGTTGCTTGTACACTTGCTGTGCAAACTGGCTTCACATTATGAACCCCTAGCAACCTATCAAACTTGCTTCACTTGTTCAAATGGTGGATAACACTGTCGTATGGATAATCCACTATCCTCTGGATAGTACATTTTGGTTTTCCTAGCACTCATCCACTGGAGATTGATTTATCCAATGGATAGTTCATTACAACATTTTGAACTACATGTACTACCACAGGGTCCAGAGGAGATGTGTTTGTCGTTAAAACATCAAAACCCGTCAAAAACCTCTGAAAAAATGGGTTATTTTGATCCCGTTACAATTTCGTTACACATTCTATATACCACAAACCAAGAGACTGAGGGCTCGCAATATTGGCTTACAGTATATAATATGGAAAGGCTGTTTTTTTAACTTGACACTTCGTGCCTCAGTCACCCTTTGGGCAATGTGCTGTGCACCAGCGAGTATTTGGCTTGTTGATTTTCAAAATGGCGAACAACAAAGTCAATCAGGGTCAGATAAGAAGCGAAGTAATTCATTTATTTACACGAAACTCTTCTGGACCCTGTGGTACTACCCACAAGTAGACAACAAGTACATGTAGAGGGGAAAGGGGACTAGGAAGGAACAAATAAAGTGGACAGAACTTAGAGAGAAGTGAGAGTAAAAGGGAGGGTATTACTGTGACTCACAGAAAGCACAGCATGAAAGGAGAGCAAGAACGCCCCTGGGGAATCAAGTCAAGAAGTGGACACTATCTCACTTCACCTTTTTAGGGGCTGGAGGCGATTATAACAATCCAGGCAATTGTGTGATGTGGAGACTTCAGTTTCAGATCCAGGCCATTATAATCATAGCCTGATCCTCAGACGCCTGAGGTCATTCGCGGTTCCTTCACTTCCCACCTTCTTGAGGGAAGAGAAGGGACTGCGAACGACCTCAGACATCTGAGAATCAGGCTATTATAATCACCCCAGTCAATTTGGATTTTCCTGTATTGCATCAGAGGTGTTTCCTTAATTATCTTCTTGATTGTCTTAGCACAATGATTTTGAGATGATTACTGGAAATGATCGAGATGATTGGGATAGATAAATAAAGACTGAGCCTAAAGGTTGCTAAATATGCCAATTACACATCTCCCATAATGCGCCTTATTTGCCCCCCCCAAAAAAATTTGCATAAGCATTTTTTCAATTTCACTTGGGATGGCTGTAATACCCAGGAGAAATTAAGAAAAGGTTATGCAATTTTTGGGGGTGGGGCAAATGAAGTGCATTTGGGAGGGGGCAAATAGGGATCCATTATGGGAGACTCCCTACCCCTTAGTTTTTACCAAACTGAGGCATATGTTGATAAAAAATTTTTTTGTAGAAACCCTCCCTCAAGGTCTTTTGACCCCCCAACCCCGCCCCCCTATCTGAATGTCTGGATCTACCACTGGTATGCTGATAAATTGCGCAAAACACTCCCTCCGTTTTGACCCTTTATCAGATACTTTTTATACCCCACCTTTCAAGTTTCTTATGTGATAGATGATGATTGTTTCTTTCTTTTTTTTAATGCAAAGTCTTAGAAGAGCGACCGGGCGAAAAGATACAACTATTTCTATGGGGCAGACAAGCGGCTTGGATGAACCAACTAAGAGAGGGAATGGGGAGAGTCTGGGAGTTCCATTACCTCACGGCCAAGTACAACACTGATGCTGGATGCGTCTCACTGCACTCGAACCCGAGATCAACAAAGGTGAAACTTCCGGTGAACGACAAAAACGCCTCCTCTCTTATGTTACGTTTTGATGAAACTGCCAAGCCAACAAAAACATTTGCGAACGTACACGATCTGCTGGAATCCAAATTTACTGGCTTAGCAGAACTGGAAGCGGAAATAACTTCGTTGCAGTTTCACTGTAAGGATGAAGTCGTTGTTGTAGACGAAACTGTGCCCTCGACAGAGACACTGAAGAAGGCGATTGACAAATTAGTGTTCATCGGTTGCGGCTCGTGCTCTCGGGCTCTTGTGCAAGATAAAAACGGTGTTTACTGTCAATGTTCACATTGTGTTGTGGCAAATCCCAGTTACCAGTACACTACAAAATATTACTACAAGCCGCTGACCTTGGTCCTTGGCGACTCCCGTACGTCCTTACAAGTGGAAGCATTCGGTTGCGTCATTTCGCGCCTTTTTTATGACTTTCCCGCCAAAATGTTAGTCCAATCAGCGGCGAAAGGGTTATCAGATGACAAGAGTTTTGTCGATAGTTTTGTTACTTTCATTAAAGCTCTTGTAAAGAACCCTAAATGCAAGGTTACAGTTGCCTGTCACCTGACTGTAGATGAAAATAGCTTCATTGAGGATAGAACTTTCACTCTTCAGCAAATTGAGTTAATGCGATAAGGATTTGGAAAATAAATTTTCACGTCAATTCATTCAGTCTTGAAAATATTATTTTGTCCAGAAGCTACCAACTCGGGCGGTTTGTTGCCGCACTGCTCGCCAAAAAACTAAAATTCCAGCAAATTTCGAGCAAAAACTAAAATTCCAGTTAAAAGAGAAAACAGACTGGACCAATCACAAAGGAAAAAATGTTGGCTCGGCAAAATTGAACCCCATAAAAAGTAAAGCCGGTGCCATATGGTATTTCCTTGCAGAGAAAAGTCGCTGGATCGAATGTCTGAAAAATCGGATCACTTATAGATACTCGATAATGCTTCTTCGGTACTCCCTCTGACAGGATCAGATTGGTCACGTGTCTTTGCGTAACATGTAGCGACACGTCTCACTGATAGACAGTGCCTCAACCAATCATCATCTCCCTATTGAACCAGAAGGTCAACCGATTAGAGAGTGTTGGAAATCGAGACTTTAATATAACTCTCAGACTTACTTTCATTATGGTACAAGCGGTCGATCTCTTTTTACAGTGTACGGATCATTTACCGTGAACTAAATGGCGAACTCTTGGATTAAACGCTGTCGCATCTTATCTGGTGACGTATGAAAAGATATTTGCATAATTGTTCATTCCAGGCAAATTCTACGACTGCGCATGCGCAGTTGCTTTTTGCTTAAAAACCACCGAAATTGGCGTAGATTACCGTGCAGGGTAATAGATGTGAACGGCACAACACTTGCTTGTATCGCGAGATGGTAAAGCTTTTACTTTGGGGAGCCATAGAGTTTCCCAAAATAAACTTCAAATGAAATCCAAAAATTGCTCAGACTAATTGCCCAGACGACAGCGGGGCGTAATTTGCCAAAATTAAATTTAACATTCTTTCCGCACATCAAGCATTCTTGCTAGCTTTTCTTTGAGCCTAGTGCATGAACTAAGAGTGACTTGGATAACACTCTTAGAAAACCGTGAGGGAAGGGGCACAGAGGGAGTACGTCCCGTACCTTGTTTTCGCGACTCCCGTCCCATTTTTCTTGGCTTCCTTCCCTCAGCCCTTTTTGACTGCGAGACATTAAGCATTGTTGCGAATTTTCTCCCTAGTTCTCCCACTTCCTCCTTTTGAGAATTCCCACCTCCCGCTCTTTCCCGCTCCCACCTCCCGCAGCGTCCCTTCCCCTAATTTCCCGGCCTCCAACCCCCCTGTCCCCACTCCCCACACAGAACGCTCAGGTTCATCTCGATAGCATCCCACATCATAGAACGATAAGGAAGTCAATGAACGCCATGTAAGTCTACCGACTTTTAATCTTTACACGACAGAACCAGACTCAAAATCATTCCGATACTGAAGAGGTAATTTATTGCGTTTTAAATTATAATTATCTTAGAACAACTAAAATGACTTCAAATTTAGAACATATTTCCATCTAAGGCAATGATAAATCTCCACCCTCTTGATATATTAACTATCCTTACACATTTCGGGCCAGAGAGGAAGAAGGGAAGCAAACAAAATTGTAATTTTTCTTTTTGCATATTACGTCTTTAAGAAGCATAGCAACGAATAAACGTTTTTCATTTTCTATTTATATTCTTCCGTTGATGCTTAGTAAATGCACTTTTGTTTAATTAATTTTAACTAGCCTGTGTAGCAGATACCCTTTTTCTTCCTTGCAAGATCAGTTATTCGGAAAGAGTAAAGGATCTTGCCGAAATAAAAGGCCTCTGCTTGCACAGTGGATGTAATTTAAAACCTCAAATAATTTTCAGTGTCTGGAAGGTAAGTTAAGAGATATAGGAAATATAATTTTGTTGTCTATTTTTTCACTCAAATTAAAATACAGGGAAGTTGTAAAGTAAAGAAATTATTGATTACAATGTCGGTTGACAATATTTTCAGGTCTTGAAACCCACGCTTTCAGAACGATGAATGTATCCCAGTTAAAAAAAAATAACAGTAAAAAGTAAAAACCAAGGTAATACAATAACAAGCAGTTCAACTCAAGAAACGAATATGGCCTGAGTGTCAATGCATTTTCTTGTGTGTTGGTTTTCAAAAACATAGTAGGTCTGTGAAATCAAATCTGGAAAAAAAAAATATTTAAAAAAACTAGTTGTTTATTGTTTCTCTTAACAAAACTATTTGACTAATCGGACGGATATGTCAGAAGTCCCTTTAGAAACAGGGGCACCCAACGACAATTTTCGGAAGAATATCTGTTCGGAAGACTATTTTAGATCTAGAATTTTCGAAACATTTGTTGTAAAATTTCTTGCTTGCCTGCCTCTCCTAGGATTTTCGAACATCTAAAAAATGGTATAATTGCCCATTTTTAACGGATTTTTACCCTAAAAAGATCACCTAGAATTTTCGGGAGCCCTTTTTCTGGCTGAAATTTTAGAAAAGGTAAGTTTTGATCCCTATAATTTTCGGATCACTAGACTTTCAGCTAGGAAATCCGAACAGATGAAAAATTTTTAGGGGATAAAAATATGCCTATATCTACCGTTTAAATACTAAAATACGTTTAACAATGCTATGTTTAAGTGGTTTTGAACTATATTCCCGTTGGGTGCCCCTGTAGAAAGCCTAACTAATGTATTCGAATAATCTTTTGAATTTTATAACATAAATTTTCGCTGTACTTTTTTAAAAGGCATTACCGGTAAATAAAATAAAGATATTAAAAATAACATGGCAAAAACGATCAGTGGAAATTTTTGGAGAAACAGATCGACTAACAGCGGTAATTTTTTCCCTTAGAAATCTGATTGATAATTAAACAAACAACGGTATGAAATGCTTAGAGAAATGCTGTATACCATTTAGTCAGTTCAATTGCACGAGACTTGATGTAATGGTTTCAGAAAGAAAGAAAATAAAAATCTACAATCTACATCTATTGACCTTTTTAGCTTGTAAGTCTTGTTTCCCAATTCAGCGCACGTGATGTTCTCCGGGGAATTTGCCTTTAGTCTTTTCATAAATTACCTACAAATTCCGAAAATAAGCCCCTCCAAATATAAGCCCCCCAAACTCTCGACGCAAAAAAACCCTCCGTTAAATCGCCCTTCCAAATATAAGCCCCCGGGGGTTTGTACTTGGAAAACAAAGACTGTACAGTAACACATAAACTTTTGCATTTGCCAAAGTACTTTTACTTGTGCCAAATGAACTCTTGGTTTAGATTTCCTCGCTCCGTATAGACAAAGTACTGGCATGGCTGAGTTTTAGTAAGTTCTACGTCCTTAAGGCGAGTTTCAGTAAAAACGTTCCGCAAACTACTGACATAAATTTACTTCGAACTATAAGCTAGCCCAATCGATTTTGGGACGTAAATTTCCCTCCCAGTATAAGCCTAACCGACTTTGAAAAGCAAATTTCCCACCGTATAAGCCCCTCAAAAAACGCCTTGGAAAAAAATAAGCCCCGGGGCTTATTTTCGGAATTTTACGGTATCCACCATATGCTCGTGGATGCATATGCATAGGACGACATTTAAAAGAAACAGTTCTCTGGGGTACCATCACGCAGTCTCAGCTAAAAAGCTAAAAAGTCTAATGCCAAAAAGGGCACAGTTTTTAGTTTTTTATTAGCCCGGGGTTAATTCTTCTTTCCCAATCTTCTTATAGGGGAGAATAAAAGCGAACAAAGGTCCCTAAATGTGCTATATTCATTTCTCTTTCACCAAAAATTATAATGAAAGGGTGCCTGGAACGACACCCCAAGTGACCTCTGTTAAGTAACTAGATTCTCCTTTCAATTTACCTTGTATATTTTTGTGAATCAAAGACAGAATTTGGTATTTGATCAAGACCCACTTTAGGCTTTATTTCATCCTCTCTTCACTTATAAATTATTTTACTTGTCTATTACAATTACCAGTGTTATCCAAATTTAAGTCATCTTCTGACTCACTCTGCAATTTGAGTCTGTGAATGAAATAATTTGCCACTGAGGAAAAGTCATGACGTATTGTGTACAGTAGCAAATTATCTTTAAGAAAGTACCTGTGGCATCTTTTTAACTCACAGTAGAAAGCAACTATCTGTGCTAACTTGTAACAGTGTCAATGGATTGTTAATAATAACTATCATTTAAATAACTATGACTGTGAATTAATATTACATAACCACTGCATTTTCCATGAGAGAATCAGCACAAGCTTTTAATCTGTCTCTAAATTGCCCTGCTAGTGTTCTTGCAGCTAGAGTAAGAATCTGTCGTTTGGAGGAACCTGAAGGGAAAACAGCAAAAATCAATGATAACAAGATCAGTGATAATTAATGGAACATTAACCAATATGAATAATAGCATTGCGCGCAGTTACTACTTTATAGACCCGAAACTCAGACAAACTGTAAAATAAGAGTGGCGTTTCCTCACTTTTGTCTGACTTTTGCCATTAAAAAGTCATGTTTGTCTGTCTGACAAAAATCAGACAAAAATTGCAAATTAGTCACTTTGACGTCATTCGCGTGCTACGCTATTGGTTGCCAGTTGTTGTTGTTGTTTTTTTTGTTACCTTTTTTCATTTCCTTCATTAACCAAATATATACACATCCTTACTACTTAAATTACATGTAAACTTTTACCAAATTGTTTTACATTTTGTACCGTATATGATGAATGGTGACAGACTGGTCTTTGGAAATTAATTTTTTTCTGATATTTCTTTGTAAGGCATGTCACTAGAAACACAGTGCCATTTGACAATAGAGACCTTAGGTTTAGATTGAAGGACAAGAACCACTACTAGTACAAGATTTAAATGAAAGGTTTTTTTGGGTATTCTCACAAAATAGACCCCCCAGAAAGCTTCATTGTATGTTTGATTCACCAGAAAAGTTAGCACTGTTATCTTTATTGCAAAAGGTTAAGCCCTCTCCCAATTGCAAAATGATAAGACTTCAAACATTTTGATAACTTGTTTCCACCTTTCCAACATTCTCGCTAAAACTCCCAGTAGAATGACGACGGCTATCAAGTTTTCCCACCAAAATGACCCTTGCTCAAATGCAAACCCTATTAAGGTCTCTAATGTGTCATATAACTCAAGAGTGGGCAATAGTTGAGTTACATGATTAGAGAGCTTTAGATCCTAAGACAAGTAGGACAGCGAGTACAAGATTTTCTCAGTACTAAGTAGTGCTCGTGCGTTAAACAGCATTCACAGCATTATTTTGGTGGGAAAATGTGGTAGCCATTGATCACTCTTCTACGAGTTTTAGCAGGAATGTCAAAGTGGCAGAAACAGGTTATGAAATGTTAGAATTTTTATCATTTTGCAATCAGGAGAGGATGTAACCTCCTTCACTAAAGGCAACAGTGCAAACTTTTCTAGTGAAAAATGGTAAAATGAAGCTTTCCGGGGAGTCTATATTTTGAGAATATGCGAAAAAGCTTTAAGTCAAATCTCGTACTTGCTGTTGTACTTGTCTTAGAATCTAAAGGTCTCTTTTATGTTCTCTCTACCAACAGGGCAGTTGGCACCGACTGGGATAGTTACAGCTACTGTAGAAAAGACAGTGAAATGCCCCATCATATGGGACTTTTTCAGACTATTTAGTAGCCTTAGGGCCTGTTTACATGGAGGTAGGGGACCCCAGGCAGGTGAGGTAGCCCACCTGTCCATAATATAATCTCTCGTGTGGTCACCCCACCTATCAAGTAAACATGATAAAAAATGAGAGATCATATGGACAGGCAGGTTTCCCCACCTAAGCTGGTTACCACACCTACTTGGGGTCCCCTACCTCCATGCAAACAGGCCCTTGGTTACTATGTTAGTAGCCATAGTGAAAAAGTGGCTTACCCGAGAGTTTAGACTGCCAGTCACCATGTGCCTGTCCAGAACCTATAATGACTTCACCAAGAGTATATGACAAGCCAGACCATCTCAAGTTATAGTTTGATGGTGTACTCTCCTCTGCTTTAGAGATGTACAATTTGGGAATATGCACTGATTGTGAGAATGTTTCACATTCTAACTTTGAAGTTGGGTCACTCAGAGCTAGACATGTCAAGCCAAACCACCTAGCAAAAGAGAACAAATTCATTAAGTAGAGAGTAACTCTTTACATAACATAAGTAATGAGAAACTATACCCATAATTAATTAAGTTAGTCATAAAGAAAACAAAGACAAGTAAAAGGAGTAGAAAACCAGGTCTACACTGTATCACTCTGAAGTCTGGTACCCAACCAATAATTAGCTAATTATCATATGACTGGTTATGAGAGTGGGCAAGATAAGGAAAACCTGGACGTTCTGTTACCTGAGTGGCCAAGGTGAGCCAATCCTAAGAAAGGTTCATTTGGTCTTAGAAAAAATTATATTTAAATGGATCAATATACCTTTCTGCGAAACTGCCCACCTAACCCTCCCCTAAGCCAACATTTTGCCCTAAATGAGAAGTAAGTGTTAACGTTGGCTTAGGGGATGGGTAGGTGGGCAGTTTCCCAGAAATGTACTTGTATAATGATCTGAATAAATCTCTTATTGACCAAGCTTTTAGGTTAAGATGGCTGGATATTAACCTGTGGGCAAGAAGAAGCAAATCTTGTTTTCTGATTAGCTTCCTGAGCAGGCATGCTTAGGATTTCCTGCATTTGGCCATATAATACCTTATTCTCACTTAATTTCATGAGTATTTGCGATTTGGGGAAAATTGTGAAATTTAATACTCAGGAAATCTAAAAATCCCTAAAAATCCCTAGAAATCGTGAAATTAATTGCTCGCGAAAAATGGCTCAAGACTTTTTGCAAAATCAATTCTTGTGAAGCAAGTGAGAATAAGGCAATTAATTCATTAGCATGCGAGCAAGCTCACTGGGGTGCTCTAGTGGCAGGGCGGGAAAAGGAAGGAGAGCTTGCAACCACGTCTCTGGAGTTTGAATATCTACACCGAAAAAGTCGATGCGAAATGCTGATTGGCAGAGATGACATTAGTAATGATGTCATTACCCTTGGCATGTGATTTTCAATGTCTGTTTACATTCGTGCTTGTTTCCACTTGCGCTGATGGGCAAAAATCTGAAAGTTCAGTCGACGGGGAGAAAAAGGGGAATTGGAGGTGGAATTCAAATTCTGGAGATGTAGTTGCAAGCCCTCCTTCCTTTTCCCACCCTGCCGCCAGAGCAGCCTGGAGAGCTTGCTCGCAGACGATTATTTTGTTATTGAACAAGCCTCAACTCTATCTTGTTCCATAAGGAACAAAAAAATAACTTGACCAATAATATCCAGCCATTTTGACCTCACGCTTGGCGACATGCTTGATTAATAGCACAATCCATATGACCAGTCAGAGTAGTGAGAAGACTCTATACACACACTTACTTTCCAGGTAGAAGCTCACAAACCATTTCTTCAAAACCAATAATGACCTGGCCTTCAACGATTTTCTTTCCTCTTACTAAGTTTGCTATCCTGTGCTGGGCTCCCTTAACTCCGGCAGAGAATCCCACTGGTAAGGGAGCAATGCCTGACACAGATGAATGTGGCTGTATCACAACATGCTCAAACACCTGTAGGAAACCGTCCTTAATGGCTTCAACTGCCTCAGAATCATCAGTTGTAACAGCTATGTTTATAGATTGGTCCCTTCCACCTGTTAAAAACAAAGCATTGAATTTACTAAGATTAAAGTTTTCCATGGAGACATGATCACTTTGCAGTCTTATTGTGTCCATAACTAAAAATATAATTCTGAGGACCAGAAGCAAAATACTGTAGGACTCATAGGGCGGATTCAGTTGCAGTAAAGGCGTACAGCTGTTGCATTTGCCCGATGGACCTTTTTATGTTTTAAAGCCTACGAACAGTACAAAATCCATAGGGAAAAACAAGTTGTCTCACAGTGTGCAGATTAGAAATCCTTATACAAATGTTTTAAAGACTGCCAAAACTGTCAGTTAGAACTGTGCAATGTTTGGGAAGGGGTATGTGGCAGAGATGGCCAGGATTTTTGGCATGCACTTCTGTGAGCACAGAGATGACATACATGTACACACATTTAAACTCCTCGGCCATTCAAGAACACACCAACACCACTGTCCACAAATCAAGTCAGTATAAATGATGTTAACATTCTGACAAGGAAAGTGAAACTGGTTCCAAGGAAGACCAGGGAGACCCTTCAGATATGCCACAAGCACCTGGCCCTCAACAACAGCCAAAGCTACGACGTCATGCCAGGGTTGCTCAGTCCCTATAACAAGAGCACCACGATCACGTGACTCAATTAAGTCACCTTTGTCTAAGGGATACCATCAAAAATTAGTTTTAAAAATTACTGCAGAAAACAACCAAATCCTTACGTAAATAATCCTGCATTTCTGGGTCGAGTGTTGTGATTACACTTTCAACAGAAGTCTAAGAAAGGAAACAAAGAAAGAAAATCATCAAAATGTATTCAGCATAATACACAACTGTAAACTTTTTTAATTACCAAACATATGTTTATAAGCTTAAATAAGATTTAATATCGAAATAAACTAATAAGTTAAGCTTATGTTTTGTTTCAAGAATATTTTGAACAAACTTACCTTGGTCTTCTCAACGATATTTCGGCCCAGATTTTGCGTTGTCTGTAATCCAGCTGAAACAGCACTAGACATCCAGCTCCACATACTACCGATTTGATCATCCTCGCTCGTTTGACCCGAATTTTGTCTTTGCCACGTCGATAAAGAAGAAGATGAACCCAAATTTGTCTCATACGGGCTTTTCACAGTTGGGTTTTTTGGAGCATTAGATGAAGGGAGATCAGCCCTAATTTGCTGTTGAACAGGGCTTGTTACTCGACTTACAGGCTGAGAATTTACCGAAGATCCAGCTGATAAACTCGATGTGTTATCGGCAAGGGAAACAGGGGATGTTATCGTAGCAGTGGTCATTGTGCTGGGTGATGTAGAGTCAATTTTAACATATCCTTCTTCTTCTAAGGCGCTTTCTACCTCTTTGGTAATGTCCATATTAAAGAAAGAAACTTCTGAAGTCTTGAAAACCTCTCCTTGGTTATTGTATAGGGGCAAAATTAAAATTCACAGATAATTTTTATACGAAACACAACATCGAGTACAAACAGATTCCATTCACTTGTGACTGAACTCCATGGTAAGGCCTCGCTTCAGTGGAACGGAGCGGAGGAATGGAGACTATTTTCTTGAAAATCCCGCGGTCTCCCGCGGAACAGGAACAGATCGATCGAAAAGGAAAACTGCCAAAAAAAAAACAAAAGAGCTATAGCGGATAGTCTCTGGCCGTTCAAATTCTCCTCTTAAAAGTATGACCTTGTTGGAAAAGGATTTTTTTTGTTCATATTTTTCATTTTCCTTTTCCCCGTACTCGTTCCCCGCTCCCCGTCCCTCATTTTACGATAAACAACCAGTTGCTGTGTTCGCTTTCGTTTACACGTGCAATGGTGAGAGCCAATCGGGATACGCTTTTCTAATCACGAGGATGCTTTGCGGCGCTAAAATTCAAATTTAAAATTCAGTGATGATTTCACAGCACGTGAAAGAAGACGGGTTGCGAACAGTTCGGTCCGGGAGTTCGGTGAACTTTACCATAACATTTCTCTTCGCAACCTAGTTATTTTGACTTGTCTCATTACCTTGCACCCAAAAATCTGACGGTGAAAACAACTTTTGGATTAATTGATACAACAACAAGCCAGAAGGTAGGTAGAGGCTGTTTGCGGTTCAGTTATGTTGCAACTTGAAGTTACGGCTGACAAATTCCAAATAAAATAGCTTATAGTTTGATGTTTTTAATTGCTATGTTTGATAGTATTGTCAATAATGCAGATAACTGTTATCATTGCAGAAAGTACTATTGGAAATACACCGTGCAATTCAACTCAAAGCCGAGATAAAGCGGACCATGGAGATGGTTTCCAAACGTCTACACGTGACAGCGGCATGGGTAGAAGAAAAAGTCAACCTCCAAAAGGTAAAACATGCTCAGTATTTTTTTTTCAAATGAGTAACAGAAACTGTGCAAACTTAATGTTTTTTTTTTATTTTGTTGCTACAGTGAAACGCAGTCTTGCGGCCACCTCGATAATATATAATACAGTCAACTAGTTATTACAGCCGCTTTTTTTGGTCGCCTGGCGGAACGGCCATACATTTTCTTGTAAAAAAAAAAACCCTCCTTCATACGGTCACCCGTTAATACGGCCGAAATTTTTTTTGGCCCATTGGTGACCGTACGCGTATTAACGGGGTTCTACTGTATTTTATATAATTTCGTAAGGTAGGATAAAACGGTGGATGAATGTCTAAACAACCATTCAGTACCTTTGCTTAATTATCTTTAATTTCAGCATAATTTTCCAAAAGTAGTCTTAATGTTAACAACTTGAGAAATGAGTTGATTTTAAGACTCGAACGAAATTGTACTCTGCTTACACGTGGCAATCGTAGGAGGAAAGGGCAACAGTGGACACGCGAGGGCTCCGTCTTTTTCGTGGGGTGAGGGGTGGGGTTCGTAGTGTTAATCACGAACCTTCTTTATTATTTGGAGAAGGTAAAAGGCGATACAAATGCGAAAATGTTCCAAGACTTCTATCGATGATCAAGTTCTATAAGTAGCACAGAGTACCAACAAACTTGGAAGCAATCCCGTAATTAACAATAACGTGGTGAGCAGAGTCGAGCCTACCGTAAGTTGACAAGACAAGATTTTCTCACTGCTGCCACATGGACATTATTTCATGTACTAAGTGGTAGCTTAAAATATTCAAAAACAGTAAAATTAATTTATAATTCCTATGTCATTTAAGGACGGGTGTTTTTTTTTGAGAGATTCAAGTATGTACATGCATAGTGCTTTGAATGAGAAAGTTTGACGTTTTTGAAAGTTGGTTGCTTTTGGTAGAAGGTCGAGCACAGAGATTTGACTGTAGTTTAATAACGGGGAGGGGATATCTAGGAAAATGTCTTTGCCCAGATCACATCTTATTTCGTCAGTTTCTCGCTGTTATAAAAGTTTTCAAACATAAAGGTTACGAAAGGAAGGAAGAAGTCATCAGCCAAGGAAATTAAATATAATCTTTCTACAAATTACCTTTAGTTAGTTCTTAAATGTCATACAAATGTACTGGAAAGGGTTAGGAGAAGAAAGGTGTTGATGTTGAAGCCTGCTATTTTTTTGTAAAATAGGCTTTTATTTTTCTCCAGTTTTACGTTTTGATATAAAACCATTTCAGTTATTATTTCTTTCTTTACAATTTTCAGTCTTCCGACGTCTACGAGACGAGTTTTTATCAGGCGGACCACCAGACCAGACCATTTGCTCAGCAGACCATAAATCAGACCAGACTATTTTCCTCAGGCAGACCAATAGGTCAAACATCCTCTCAGACAGACCACCAGACCAGACCATTTTTCCTAGACAGTCCGCCAGACCAGACGGGCACCTTCATCTGACCAGCTACCAGTGAGCTTCAACTTTCCAAAGCCGTGACAATCAGCCTCCAGTCAGGATTCTAAGGACATCTTGTAATTCAGGTCAGGTGCACTCCTTATGGGTTGGGTCAAGGGAGGTTAATTTATAGAGCTCTGGATGAACCTTGCAAAGCATACTATCCACACACGTTCGGTTATAGAAGTCCCTGGACTTCGTTTGTTTTCGGCTTTAATTAATTGTAGTTAGATTAGCTAGCGGGGTTCCCTGGGCTGGTAAGGGCCTCCCCTTCCCTTTTTCCTAATTTGGGTTGCTTTGCAGGTACATGTATTCGGTCAGCGATAGGAGTTCGATTTTTTCTCCTGGAAGAGGTTCGGTTTTTATTCGACGTCTGCTCGGATTTTTTCGGATTCACTCCGTCGTTACGCCATCATCGTCTTCGCTTCAGTGTTCCGCTTAGCTGCGCCAAATTCAATTTATCTATTACACTTCAATTGACAGATGAGACGCTGGACAATTGAAGCTTTCATCCGCACGGTTCAATCAGACAAACACTACCTTAATGGAAATTTAGGAAACTAGAGATTACAGACCATTCAACTTCTGTAACGGGACCTGATTTGGCACCTCTTACAAGTTTAGTGGTTTCTCTAGTTACAGGTAGCTAATTAGTTAAGCCTCGCAAATCTGGGTCTACTTCACTTAAAACGACCAGAATATTAAGCTTGCGAACCGTAATATTGTATTCACTCACTTTCAAAGACAAAAAGTATAAAAACGGATCATATATAAATGAACGTTTCAACTTGGTATCAGCCACCAAATTTGTGAACGTGGAGTAGAGTATAGTGTAAATCAACAACATGGCCCGCGACCAGTCGTTTTTTGCCGTGAAGAGCTAACGACTTGTGGCAGGTTATCGCTGGGAATCATGGGACAATGCACACACCCTAAGTAGATCGTTTACAAATCGTAAGCGTAGGTAGTCTTCGAGACCAATTTACGACGACGCAGTTTCATCGCTGGAGGAGCAACATCAGCTCGGTTTCGCCACTTTTGATTCGAGAAAGAAACTGGGCCTAGTTGACCTTCGCAAAGACTTCTGGGACTCTCTCCAGGGACGGGGAAAAATTGGCCAATAGCTGACCGTCGCGTACCCAGTAACGATCCCAGAAACCATTGCGGGACGCATTTCGGCTCCAGGGTCCTTCTCAGTTCTAAAGTGGAGAATAGGCTGTTAGTAGAGTTAGTAGCCTGTGGGGTAGGTGCAAGACCAACATGGACCGCAGTTATATTTCAGGAACACGCTTGCGTAGGACACTCGTTTCTTCGTCTGTGAGTCCCTGAATATGCGCCCAATGATGCTCTTGTGTGTACATCACAGGTTATAGATAGATTTCTGAAGCTTACCAGGTTATGGGAAGTTCTCTCGTTATGGCATTATTAACACTACGACGACTGGGTTCGTCTTCTTGTCTATCTTGCCATTCGCGAGGATTCTCTCGTTAGGAAGCCCTGCATTGCAGTACGCAGGCACTGATCGTCTACAAATGGTAGGCGTAGGCAGTCTTCACGTCGATGATCCATTGATAGCGGCTGCTTCGTCCTGCAGGAGTTTTCAGCAGATTTATTCTTCTGTCACCTCTTGTGGTACGTCAAGCGGCCTGCGATCGGATCCTCTCCGGTACAAGATGCCTGTCCCATTGTACGATGATAGAAGAAGCCGGCGGAAGAAAGAAGAACAAAGATCGTCGAACGCCATAGAAAGTTAATGTAGTTAGTTAGGCAAGCGAGAAAGCTGCCATTGCGGCATTGAAAGAACAGGACTAGTCACCATGCGCAATCAAAGAACGATGGTGATGACGATGGGGATCTTGATTATACCCCTCGTTACTTCGGAGTACTCGCGAACTTCACCGACCTCGAAGAGCAAAGGACATGCTGGTTATTAGGCAAAAGGATAGTCAGAGGAGATATAAAATAGCAGTCAGTCACCTAAGAAAAGAGCTGTTTCAACTAGTATTGACGTCTGCTCAAGCTAGCGAAAAGAGAACAATTTCGCATGAAAAGATGTATTTCTGATACATTAGGTACAGGGTACGAGGAATTTTGCATAAGTTTACTTATATTGATACAAATTATAGCCTTAAAGGGCACATTTGGCCTGGAATCGTCTTAGGACTTCAATAATTGGTTGAGACAGCTACAATACTTAATTAACATTACGTGGCCGGCTGGACTTCATCGTCGTGACCGACACCGCCTTCTGATCAGGACAAGCAATACAACCACGCCCAACTATCCAGTGGCTCAGTACGTACACCTTCGCGGAGGAACGAGACCAGCGAGAACGAGCCCAGTGTTGCCGAAACCTGACAGAGTACAGCAGTCCATATAAGGTAGGGCTGATTCAAATGGTACAGCGCCTGTTAAAAGCTGTCGTCTACTAGGCAGATTTTCGTAGTAACGTTTGTCTCCATGGAAACGTTCGTTTCGCAAGCCAAATCGTGTGATGTGGGCTCAGTTTTAACAAACGTTGCACCATATGTATCAGCCTAAGTCTGACAATAAAACGTGGCAAAAGGTTAGTGAAACCATTTATTTTTATTTTAGCTAGCAAGCGATTGTTGAAATTCGACTCAATCTCCGATTCTTCGATTCGGCTTTCGGTCTTTCTCCGTATTTTTCTCGAAACGCTTTCAAGGC